TGAATTAATATTGACGCGTCGCTTACCCCAGAAATAATAATTTAATATTTTTAGTAACAGCGACAGCTCAGGCAGAAAAGAATAAAAATAGATTTTATTGTAGGCAGAATTATTCGGAGAAAATATTTATGACTAATGCTTTATTATAGCAATATTTGCTTATCCAAATCGTAGTTCTATTAATATCACTTACCTTGCAAAAACATATAAATAACCTTTTACTTTTTCACATAATTTTTCCTTGTACAATTTTTGTATTATTTTTCTTAATAAAAAAACTACACGAAGTTTTCACAGACTTGTCTTTTGTCTTTTCTCTTTCTTTAACTTTTTGCTATCAAAACAAAAGCCATATCAGCGAACAATTCATCCAAACCCCCACTTTCACGGCCATATTGAAAGGGGAGCCCAGAGAGGGAGACTTTAACTATCTTGGTAGAAGGCGAAAGAGAGGGATATGCAGCGAAGGGAGCAGGGAAGGAAGGAAGACTAAAATTAGGTTCAACCTTAAGCTTTTGATATAATTTAGGGCTGACAGCGATCTCGGCAAAAAGACGAGAGCAGCCCTTTCGGGTTTTGTCAGAAACACCCCAAAGATGTAGTTTACCACTACAGAAGTGGTCCAATTCTTTCAAAAAAATTTTTTGCTAATCTTCAACAATCGTAATATCGATGAGCATGGAGTGAACAAAGGATCCAGTGTTGTGGTTTAGGTAGGTTTAAGTAATTAAATAGAAGTCAAAGAAATAAAAATAAAAGAAAATAAAACAGAAGAAGTACGTTGAGACTTGTCAATAAGTTTATTAAGAATTGAATTAATTCAAGTATATGTTATACAATATAAGAGTTAATAATGTAAGAGTATTTATATATTTCGCGGATAAGGATGATGAGTAATAAGAAGATAAAAATATAACAAATTGTATTTGATAATATAATTATAGAAGGATTACTAAGAGTTATAATTATAGATATAGATTCATATCTTTTATATATATTTATTTTTATAACTAATACGTGTATTCTGAGTAGAATCAATTATTACGCGTATTTGTATTATTCTTAGTTTACCCCAGTTTAACTTGTATAAAGTTATTTTTATAAATTTATATTCAGCAGAACAATAATAGAAGAAAGTATATTTTTAGATGTAGGACTTTTTATTAATTAATTATTTTTCTATACAAGGGTAAATATACTAAATATGTTTATAGAGAGAATTATTATACAAATGCACTATGTATTCTATTATGACTATTTATCTCATTGAATTAAGTTATAAATCTTACAACCATGACATCCAGTCAAAAAGGGACGGATCACTTTGTTCGAAAAGTGATCAATGTGAGGAGGCGAATCAGCTCGAGGCATGGATGTTCCAGATCCATTACCGGGCAAGTGTGAGGGGGATCGTCTCAACGGGCTAGCTGATGAGCTAGATGCTGCAGATGATCCTCCTGAAATGACTTGTACCCATGTCTTCCTCCGATGGAGGAAGGAGGGCAGACCCTGAAAGGTACTATTCTGATTATTAGCGGGAAGAGCCATGAGCAACAGAATAAAAAAAAGGGGGGTTACACTTCATTTAAACATTACAGCATAATAATTGGGATCCTAAAAACCTTTTTTTTTATTCTAACACCAAAGGATGCACGATAAACCATTTTTACTTACTGAGATAGCAATGAATAACAAATCTTTGTTCTAGAGTTGTAACTACTTAATTTTAAAGTTCTTTGACTGCACAGTTGGGTTTTTTAAGACAAGACAATATTTTTGCTTTATCTATTACTTGGTAGAATATCTTATGCAACAGTTTGAGGTTATATGCACATCAAGTATATGATGGTAACATTGCTGCTATATAAGTTTTTGTTTTTATCTTTAGTTATACAGAAAGAACGAAGGTGAACGCATTAGCAGTAATTTCTTATTTGTTTTCATGGGATAAGCGCATTAAGTTCTTTTTCTAAATATATTTTGAAATGCCTTTTGGTAAACATTTCTTTTATTAAAAAGTCTAATCGCATAATTCAAAAAGTGCCAATCATTTGTCAATCAGTGCAAATCTTATTGTCAAAGGCCGTGATTCAAAATTGCAAAGGGCGCTAATTGAATGTCAAAAACCAGTATTCCATTATGACTATTTATCTTATTGAATTAAGTTACAAATCTTATAATCATGACAAGAGTGTCCCATCTTCAGCGTTGCTATCCCAATTTTTTTTTTTTTTTTTTTTTTTTTTTTTTTTTTTTTTTTTTTAAATGGCCCAACTTTTTTTTTTGGTGGCCCAACCTATTTTCTTCAGCTGTAATAATATATATGCATTTGTATTTACATTTAAAATGCTTAAATCTTCCAATTCTAAGTCTAAAAAAAAAAAGAGCGAAAAAAATACACTTATTTATTGTGTTTGACAAATAGGTACGGTTACCAAATGGTTAATAGACATACTTATGATGTACATAAAAAAATGCAATCAAAACAAAAGCGCTAACAAGCAAATGATTCCAGGTAACATATTTGGTTAATAAAAATATAATTTAAGATGCGTAATTTGTAATGATATCTAATGAGCTCAAAAACTTTCATTTCTTGATAAACACAACTATTGTAGAAACTGATGCTAATAATGAAGAAATCAGTATTAATGATGAAGAAAATGACTTTGAAGAATTAGCTTTCTCTAATAATAATGATGAAGAAAATATTAAAGGTAGACTAAAATAAACATTGATATTGTATAACATAACTCAAAATAATTTTATTTTTATCATCTTTTTTCTACTTTTTTTCTTTTTTTTTAATACAAAAGAATCTAATATACCTTCCGCAGACACCCCTAATCAGTTTTTTAATATCAATTTAGTTGGTGCCTTGCCCGCATTCATTATGATCTTTATCAACTTTTTCCAGAATATTGCTGGATTGTCCGATTCTTCTACTAAAATTCTATTAAAATTTATAAATGCTATTTTTGTCTTATTTCAATCTAGTTTTATTCCTCCTTCAAAGCTTAGCAATATAAAAGCTAAAATTAACGCTGATTTTGCTATTAAAGGTAATTGTTAATACATTAAATTTATAAAATACTTAGCTTATTTATTATTAATAATATGATTAGTACTTCAAAAATATGTTGTCTGCCCAGAATGCAATTGTATTTATGCTTATGAAGACATCATGAATGGATTGGTGTCATATTTTTCTAATATGGTGTTCAAGCCATATAATACTTTAAAAATAAAATGCTATGCTCCACTAATAACAAAAGATTCCAACACTGTCATTAAACCAATAAAACGTTACACTTATAATTCCATTAAGACTACAAGACTACTCTACAAAAATTCTTTATGCGTTCAAAGTTTGTAGAAAAAATAAATGAATAGCAAAAGAGAAGCACTGTTGAAGGAATGATGTTCGACATTTTTGATGATGACTATTTTCGTCAATTTAAAAAAGATGGAGAAGATACACCATTTGTTCAAAAAGATGGTTCTCATGTTAAGCTTGAATGCCGACTGGTTTACTCCAACTAAAACAATGAATTATCATGTTAGAGCCATCTACTTAGTAATCAATAATCTTCCTAGAAACGAACGATTCAAGAAGTACAACATGATTCTTGCTGGCTTAATACCTGGACCATCTGAGCCTGCTACATCTAATATAAATCATTTCCTGTGTCCAATGGTAGATGAATTGCTAGAATTATATGATGGTGTGTTCATGCCCACTTTTAATGCCCTGAAGGAAGAATTATTCGTTGTGCCTTGGCTACCATCAATTGTGACATACCTGCTCTCAAAAAAACATGTGGATTTACTGCATTCAATTCGTATGTTCCATGCCATAAGTGCGCTGACAAGTTTCCTGGACAAGAAGGGCAGTCAAACTTACGATGCTTTGACAATGTTAATTGTGAATCTTGGATACCTAGGAACAAGGAATCAAATTATGTATAGGCATTGAAATGGAGGGACGCTAAAACGGCTGCAGAACATAAAGCGATTGAAAATCATCTTGGAGTAAGATGGAGTGAACTCCATAGATTACGTTATTCGGATCTTGTTCGTTGTACTACTGTTGATGGTTTGCACAACCTTTATCTTGGGACAGCAAAGAAAATGATCAATTACTGGAAATCTACCAAAAAGATTTAAATTCTACGAACACTTTTTAACCAGTAAAGATCTTACCGAGATGGCACAACAAGCGAAAAATCTTATCGTCCCTCCACAGTTTTCAACATTAGGTTCCAAGATTTCTTCTGGTTTTTCAAACTTGAAAGGTGATGAGTTTCGTTCCTGGACATTGGCTTATTCATCATTGCTTTTAAAGGGAAGAATAATAAGGGAACATATGACTAATTGGTTACGTTTTGTTGGTGCAAATCAGATACTCTCCTATCCTTCCATAACTTTTAATAAGATTAATGATGCTCATAAAATGCTTGTAGAGTTTGTGAAGTCCAATGTAAGATTGTATGGTGCCAATTTCATTACTCCCAATATGCATCTACATTTACATTTATGCCAAACGATTCGTGACTTCGGGCCAATGTACTCCACATGGTTATATAGCTTTGAAAGAGCCAATGGAGATATCAAGGGAATTACAACCAACTTCAAAGAAGGTCTTGAGTTTACTTACATTGAAGAATATCTTCAGTAAGTTCATTTGTCTGATTATTTTAATATGATGCCTGTTGAAATCAAGTACAACTCAACAACGATGAATGTTTTGAAGCTTTTACTTCCAGTTGGTCATGATTTTGAATTTGGTTACGAAAACAACAACATGATGGATAATATTCATGAGCATCATCATCAGGAACAACCTTTTACTTCTGAATTTGATTTAGCAAGTTTTATTCATGATGCTTCTAGTGAAAGTGCCTGTTTAACTGGTAGCGAACCATTGCCTCCTTGTTCCTTGCCTTCAAAAATAAGATCACCTACTGTCATGAATAGAAGCCATTATGATTTACTTTATCAATTTTACAGATCAAGTTATGATAACAAATTTAATATCGTACATGTTTCTAATATCACTTTGATGTTGTCAGATAATATTGTTGTATCAGATCGTATCAGCAAGTTTGATCAGATTAATATTCTAGGCCAACAATTCACATCGATGAGTTGCAGAAACAAACGAGGTGCATATATACAGGTAATTCATCCAGCAAAAGAAGGCATGTTTTGTATTGGGAGAGTACTGTACTTCTTTACACATAGTTTATCGTTTCCTGGAGAAGATTTGTTTTGTCATCGAAAAAATAAGCAACATGTATTCGCATTTGTAGAATGGTACCAAGCTCCTCAAAACAACTTTGATTCTTTTTTTGTTCATAACATAGAAGTTTGGAAGAATAGTTTTGAGCCCTTAAGTGTTTCGTCTATATTACCTGTACAACGAATACATACTTGTGTTGCAATTACTGACTACATTGATAATTGTATTTTAGCTATTCCTTTACCAAGAAAAACCATTGGTACTTAATCATAACACAAATATATAGTTTCGCTATAGTTAATTATCTTGAATAAACTATATATCATTAAAGCACTCAAAAAAACTTGTTACATTTTATTATGGATATTTCTTTATTCTGTTGACAATTTTATTTTTATTTTTGATGATCGATTGAAAAAAACAACAAAGCCAGCATAAAAGAAGAGCTGGTATATGAAAAAAAAAAAAGAAAGTGACATTAAAAGCTAAAGGCCCAGTCTGGAAAATCTTCTTTATCCAAATAACTAGGAAATTTGATATTCGTCACCACAGGCTCTACTCTAGTCGACCTGTTATTTCTTTTTATTCTTTTGCTAGGATCTTCAGGGTGACTCCATTTATAGTCAAGATTATCCATTATGTCATTGAACTAAAAAAAAAAAAAGGTAAGTATACAAGCCATTTTTATTTATATAACTAACACTAATAGTCAAATTACCTCTTGACTTCTATAAAAAGGACGTAATGCCCGAAATATTGCGTTTCCCTGAAGATCCTTATCTAAAATCTCTTCTTCATCTGACATCCAAGCTGGGATCATCAATTTATTAAGACCCTCATAATTGCTCTCGTTATAGATATCGTTATTTTCTTCAATCATTTTTTTGCGGCGAGCAAGTTTCTAGTAAGATATGGTAAATAAGAAAATTTACATTTAATGTGTGTTGAATAAAAAAGGCTGACAATTATATATAGGAGTGTACTTACTGCGGCTTTTCTACTTTTTATTACACTTTGAGCCTTTCTTGTCTCTTTCTTTTCGATAGATAACTTTAATTCTTTTTTTTTTTTTTTTTTTTTTTGTTATGAAACATCTCAGAAAGAATTTTTCTTAATTTATCATCAGTAATATTATAGTTGATTCTATGAAATTTTACATAGGCAAACAAAGCTTCCCTCGTCTTTTTGTTTACCTGATGCTTAAAAGTAGTACTATAATCGTACTGTTCACTTTTAGGCAACTCTTCAAGTTTTTGTCTGACAATTGTCTATTATTTATTATAGACAAAATTGTTAGTTTATGTATATATTTATACTATATATTTCATGACATATTTACTCTAAGTGATTTAACATTCTCTGGTAGGTTTATAGTTGATTTATTGGTAGTAGTAGTAACTACTCTAGCCATATTTTGCTGTTGAAGCACCATAATCGTATTACTTAACGTTTCCAACCTATAATTAAGCTGTTGAATAAGCTGATTTTATTCATCTAGGTGTATTTCAGGACTCAATTGTCTTTCTAATAATTGTTGAATAATAGCATCTTTATTAGATGTATTATCATTTCTACTGCTGCTATTATTATTACTGTTTGAAGGAGCAAGCATATTGACATGCGTTTGTCTTTTATTATAACCTACTCTACTTTCAGAAGATCAAGTAATTGTTGGTCGCTTACTAATAGAGCTGATAATAGTATTATTATGGTGATTCATTATCGCTTGTTTATAAGTTATTATTAAGATGGAAGTTATTGAAGAGAAAATACAATATAGAATGATGTTGTAATAAGCTGCTTATATAGCAATCTATTATTTATGATTAGTCTTTGCAATATTATGCTTTATTTTATTTAAAATGCAATGACTAATTAACTTTAAAAAAATATAACAGCACCAACAAGAATGAAAACAAGCTTCATACTGTATAGTATTGTTAGTAACTGTACTCATATATTCTAAAGGAAAGTAGTATTATAATGACTTGTAGTGAACCTTAAGATGAAATAACATTAATTAAACAAGTTAGTTAGTAATAAAACATTGCTGGTTATATTTTACATATTTCGCACATATTCCAAAAAAAAAAAATTGAATGATATGCTTAATACGCTCAATGCACAGTTAATAAGACCTGTTGTCGTTTTTATTATTATTATTATTATTATTATTATTATTATTACAGACCGAGTTATAATAATTTAACTTTACATATTTTTAATATGCGTTCTGAAATTGACGCGAAGACTAGTTCCAGTTAAATAACGTAATAAGAGATTTTTCTCGTGTGCTTCTTTAAGGCATTGAGCCCAATTCATGCGACTCACATTTGTTTTGAACATTTTAACATATGCAATTTCTTCTGCTAATTGAGGTGATGTAGGAGAACGTTCGACACCAACAGGTAACTTTTCAGGAAATTCTAAATCGCTTTCAGAGTCTGTGGATATATTGGCTATCTGTCTTTTGATTGTAGTGTTGTACGTAAGTCCTTTTTCAATTAATTTTTCTGTCTTTCTAATATCATGTACACCTGCTAAAGACTTTTTAATTTGGTTTAAACACTTTTCATTATTTGCCAAGACTATATCCAAAATGTTTCGAGAGTTATTTTCATATTGGGTTTCTTCAATAGTTATCTCTCTCGCTATCTTATATAAAAGCTTAATGGTATTGTCTTTGCTATATGAATGATCAAATAGTGTTGCCTTTTGTTGGCAGAAAAAAGAAGATATTGCTTGAAGGGCTTCAAGAGGACAACTTCCAACATCATCGTTATTTTCAAACACCAATAAATATTGCTTAGCCCAAACTGGAGATGGAAATAATCTCAAGTATCACTGATTATTGGTAAGTTGAGTAGTAAATTGAGCATCTAACGATTTGGGTGAGATCTTGCAAACACAGAAAATCAACACAATAGGCTTTGCATCAGTCTCATCATGAACTTTTCTTCCACGATTGCTTGTACCTCGATCAAGATAGGAGGAAGAGATTTTTGAATTTCTAATTTGGGCTCATACAGAATGTCGCTCTTTGTATTATTCAGCCATTTTCTTGAAGCGACTCCATAGGTTCCTGTTGGTATTATATTTAATAATGAAGTTACTATTAGATCTATCACTTTTTGATTTTTTAAGATTCTTTCTGACAATATATCTTGTTCTGGTAAGCAAGTAGATGGTAGTTTGAAAGTTAACAACTTGTTATCTTGTAGGTACATAGTTAAAAAAAAAAGAGTGAATAAAACAGTCCAAAAAAAAAAAATTAAATGAGCATACCTTCAATATCTAATTCGCTCGTTTTTGAGAAGTTAGTAGAAAAAAAAGAAATTTAAACATTCTTTTCTTTTATATTATTCCATAACGTCACGGGTCATTGTATTCCACGGCTAATATTACAAAGCGTATTAAGTGTATTAAGTGTATTAAACGAATTAAGCGTATTAAGCGTATTATGGTCGGTATTTAATTGGATCAACATCTTCAATTAACAAGGATAAAAGTAATTTATACAAACATCTATTGTATATAAGGAGTCAAGCTTTGATTCGTATTCGTAATTACTTTTATATTAAGTCAGTAAAGCATACCCTAAATAATAGTAGTCGAAGTTGTATATAAATACTCCTTGATGAAAGGGTAGTTAGAATTCTTTTTTTTTTTAGCCATCTTTAAATAGCCAGTATTCGATTAATAACTTATATTTTTATTGAATCATTATCTTTGTTGCTGAGGATATTTGAAGGCTTTCCTTTAAGAAGGTAAGAATTCAAATAATTTCACTACAGTAAGACCAGTATTAAAGCGAATCACTGACAATTTCTTACTTACTACTCCTTAATTTTCCATACCTTTACATAAGTAACTTATCTTAGTCTCTATAGAGTATGAAATAAATTGTTATCCAGAATCTTATCATTCTAAAATTGTAATGACAAAGCGCTGAGAACTCCAGCATATAATATCAAAACGCCAAATAGATGACACTAATTTTAAGGAAAGATGTAGCATTTGTAACAAAGTTAAGAATAGTAAATAAAATATGACAACAATGTCACGTAAGTTGTATCATTTTTTTTTTTGATATAAAAGGATACATTTATAATCAGAATCAAAAAAAAATATGCATTAGCTTATTAGATAATCATTGATATATTCTTGTTTGTTGTCCCTAAAATAATAAAAGGTTTTGCTGCTAGGATGATTTTGATTAATAGAAATAACCCTTATAACAAATAGGGCTTGTGCTTGGTCAAAGAGACCGAAGGAAGAGGAGGATCATGAACTTTCTTGGAGTTGTTATTATTCATAATAACAGACATATTCTTAAATATAATGCTAGGTTTATTCAAAAAAAAAAAAAAAAAAAAATGCAAAGTTTTATTCTATGCCAAATTGAAATGAGTTTTTTTTTATCAAATCAACCAAAAATATCTAAAATTTTAACAACAGCGCATTCCTTATATAGTGGATTGTTTTACAATAAAATTGGAAAAATGACAAAGAAATATCTGGTCTGGTCTTTTTTTATATAATATATACAAATACATGTCAACTATTACTCCACATAATGCTCTATATGATTCAATGACACAACTACCTCTAAATCAGTATCACCAACAAACAAACTGTTCTTCTCTTAACGAACTAAGACAACGTGTTTTAGTTAACCTAGCAGATAAAGAGGTTTATAGCATTAGACGATGGATCAATTCAGTAATCAACTTATACGAACAGGTTCGTATACAATATTTTTTTTCTTTAAACACCATTTTAATAATTATTAAATGACATGACATTTTAAGGGAGATTATGCTATTCTTCACAATGATCTAGAAAATGCTTATGTTTCTTATATGCGAGGCTGCAGGTACAGATATCTTATGCCTTTTGTTATTATCTTAATTGTCTGATATTAGTGTACTATATTATAGCATTTTAGTAGAAATTATCAAAAGGCATTCTACTTATGAACAATTCCGTCAGGATCCCGTTTTAATGAATTTAAAAAGGGTAACGATCGATATTTGTCCTTTGTTTTTTTTTATGACCACTAAAACATATAATCAAATATTAGAGAACAAACGATGAAATATTTTTGATTTTAGAAGAGTTAGCATTAAAACTCGAAGCCTTATATATGTTAAAACCGAAACAACAACATAAAAATTATATACAAAAATCAGACTATTCTCATTTAAATAATCCTTATATTCATAAACAAAGTCAATATTCCATAACAAATAATAATAATAATATATCAACACAGCAACAACAATCTATTCCTTCTTTAGTATCTAGTTCTAATTTATTGCATAATCAATCGTCTCCAAATCAAATAATGTCAGCAAATTTGAAAATACCAAATAATACTGTCATCCGTTTACCTTCATGGACCTCTAATATCCTTCCATTTAATTCAACAGTTGAACCTATTGAACTAGCACGATGGATTACAGCAAAGTCAAATCCACCTAGTATTTTATTAATTGATGTACGGCCTAGAAATATCTTTAAAAGCGGCTGCATCAAGCATCAATGGATTATTCAAGTAGAACCTATCGTATTACAAAAAGAGTGAGTTTTTCTTTCTTTCTTTCTTTCTTTTTTTTTTTTTCCCCTCTGTTATCATCGCGGTATATAATTAAAAACTTATATAATATTTGAACAGGGCTATGACAATTAAAATTCAGGAATCCTTATTACAAAATCCTGAGGCAGAACAAATATTATTTTCTGAAAGAGCAAGATTTGATTTGATTGTTTACTATGATCAAAATTCTAAAACAGTGGAGACTTCTAATATACCTACTAACAATATACGACGAGCTTTGGAGGCTGGTCAACTAAGAAGACCTCCAATGCTATTAGCTGGTGGATTTGATGCCTGGAAATCTACCATAGGTGAAAGAGGCATTTATGATTTTTCATCTTTAAAAGAAAGAAGGCATTCATTTAGTTTAACGGATAGCAGTAATAGCTCTAGAACGAGTAGTCTTCATTCTTTTTCTAATCAACCAGATCAAGGTTATAATTATCATAACGGAAAATCCATTCCTCAACAATATCCACTTTCATTATTGACATCATATTATCATCATCTTACAGTGCCTCAACCATTACCAACAGCTCCCAAAAAAGAGCCTTATAGATATCCTGAGCTTTTATCTCCTACAACTACTGAAACAGCTTTGATTCCTTCTTTACAACAACAGCAAACTAATTTATGTCCAATTCCACCTTCTTATCCAAATCCCCATAAACGAAGAACATATATCGATAATCCATTTAACGGCTTTACAAATGCTACTAGTACGCTTTATGATGTACCCCCAATTAAATTAAATAATAATAATAATAATAATAATAATACAATAAATAAGCAACGACCCTCATCAGCAGAGTCTATGTCTACAACTGTGTCATTAAATAGACCTTCCGCTTTAAAGGAATTTCATCATTTTTCAACAAATAATATTCATTCTGTTTCTAGCTCTATTTCTCAATTAGGAGGTGTCATCCATATTGGTACTACAGGATTGAAAAATTTAGGAAATACATGCTATATGAACTCGATCATTCAATGTTTAAGTGGAACTATACCTCTTGCTAGATACCTTATATGTAAGTTAAATAATCTAAAGTAAATACTTGGTAACTTTTCTTTTTTTTTCTATTTGGGATATATATAGCTGGTACTTTTAGACAACATGTCAATAGGGGTAACAAGTCAGGAACAGGAGGCGTTTTAGTGGAGACATTTGCGGATCTTTTACGGGTTTTGTGGAGTGAAAGTTGTAACTTTGTATCACCCATGACGTTCCGAGAGGCATTAATACGATTTGCACCTCAATTTTCAGGCACAGACCAACAAGATTCACAAGAGTTCTTGATGTTTTTATTAGATGGACTTCATGAAGATTTGAACAGCAGAAATAGTCATCATAGTGTAATTAAAGAATTGAGTGATGCTGAATTTGAAAAACTCCCTGACTGGCAAGCGAGTTCTTTATCTTGGGAAAAATATCTAGCTAGAAATTCGAGTATTATTGTTAATTTGTTTCAAGGACAATACAGAAGTAAACTAACATGTCTATCCTGCAAACAAGTAATATATGGCATATACATATATTTATGCATTTCAACAATTACTCTAATTTTTTTTTTTTTTTTTTTTTTTTTTGTTTTGGGTTCTGATTTAATTTTAGACTTCGACATCATACAACGTATTTATGTCCCTGTCACTCCCTATTCCTGTAAAAAAACTACGACTGTCAAGTGTCACATTATATGACTGTTTAGATTACTTTGTTAAAGAAGAAACGTTAGATAAAGAAGATGGTTGGAATTGTCCTAAATGTCGAAAGAAACGAAAAGCATTAAAACAATTAACATTAACAAGGACACCTGATATTCTTTTAATACATTTAAAACGAATTTCTCCTGATGGATTATTTAAGAATAAAATGGATACCATAGTGAAATGTCCCACAAGGTAAAATGAAACATTTATATGAATATACACACAAAAGATTATCTATTCAACAATTATTATTTTGTATAAATAGGAGCTTGGATCTATCAGATTATATTCCGACATCAATGACTCCTGCCCCATCTCAGGATCGGCCATCATATATCTATGATTTATATGCCGTTTCTGTAAGTTTGAAAATTGTTGTTGTATTACCCTAACTTTATTTTTTTTTTTCTGTAGAATCATTATGGATCACTTACAGGAGGTCATTGTAAGTGATAAAGATGAGTTCAACGTGTTATCTATTCTATTCATTTTTTTTTTTTTTTTTTTTTTTTTTTTTTTTTTTGGTAGATACTGCATGTGTTAGAGATGGATATAAAGATAAATGGCATTATTTTGATGATAGTAAATTCTCATTATGTGAAGAAAACAAAGTGATTGTAAGTATAGAATGACAGTCTTTATAATCAGAATCTAACTCTCTCTCTCTCTCTCTTTTTTTTTTTCGGGCAATTATTAGACGAAGGCAGCTTATAATTTGTTTTATGTTCGATCCAAAATTAAATAATTTTATTAAAAAGAAACACAATAAAATATGTATGTATGGGGAAAAAAAAAGGAATGTTTTCTGGAGCAAAGTTATTATTAAAAAAAAATAGTTATGTGTATGTTTTAAAGCATAGGGAAGATTCTTATTATTATTATTTTTTTTTTAAAAAAAAAGGGGGAAGAGATAATAAAAAAAAATAATGCAATGTATTATGTAGTAATAAGATTGAAGGCATATAAAAACTGAATAAAATAAATAAATAAAAAAAAAGGGGGTATTATAATAAATAAATAAATAAATAATTAAACTACTTTTTTTTTTCTTTCGAACGCTTGCATTTAAAAAAGAAAAACCAAAAAAAAAAAGGAAAACAAAAAGAAGAAAGAAAAAGAGCCTTTACATAGATGAAGATGTCATAAGTAAGTCAAAGCAAGAATCATAGTAGCCACCATCAATTGAAGATACGGGTGAACCGGTTGAAAGCATAGGAGTTAATTGCTGTGACATTGGAGAATAGTAAAGGTCAAGAGATGAAGATGTAGAGGTATTCCATTTTGAAATAGGATAGTCTTCTGAAAGTGACCTAGTGATTAGACGAGAGGTGGAAAGATCATCTGGTATTAAACGTCTATCATATAACTATAAGAAATATACAAGATTAATCAAAATGACTATAAAATTATATTATATTTTGATATTTACCAAGTGATTGTTATTAGATAATGGCCATGGTGATGGATACATAGTATTCTTTGTTCCTAGAATAGGGCAAGATTTCCTTCTCCATTCATCAGAACTCATTTCAGAGGAAAGACCAAAACTCTCTGTATTATCAATTACTGGGGCTAGAGGATGAATAGGCATCTTGAACCAGTCATTTTGATTTATCAAAACATCATCAGGTAGTGTGTTATCAAGCATACAATTAACTGCTGCTGCAGTAGCAACTGATCGAGCATTGTTATTAAAGAATTGAGAAAAAAGGATAGGTGATTCTTTCTTGATTTGTTGTTGCTGATGCTGATGCTGATGCTGATGCTGATGCTGATGCTGATGCTGATGCTGATGCGGTTGTTGTTGTTGTTGTTGTTGTTGTTGTTGTTGTTGTTGGTCAGTTTTATGTTTTTGAAGTTTAGCTTTAGCTCTACGATTTTGAAACCAAATTTGAACACCACGAGGAGTCATATCCAATTGCTGAGCCAGAATACGACGAACTGTTGCATTGGGCTTTGGATTTTCTGAAAATGATTTCTCAAGTACTTTAAGTTGTGCACGAGAAGTACGACGACGATGTTTGATTTCAAAAGGGTTATAAAAAGTAGTTCTAAAATGACCATTTGGATCCATATCAGGATGCTGAGTAAAGTCAAAAAAGTAATTATTATTATTCTGTTCCGTGTCAGTGGTAGCATGATTATCAGTAGATGATTGATAATAATTGTTAAACATAGGTACAATACTAAAGGATTGCTCGAATGGTTGCATTAACATTTCAGGTGACATGAATAAAGTAAAATAAAATTTATCAAAATTGAATACAAAAAAATTAGCTTATATTTATATAAATCGTAATAACTCCACAAAAAAGAGGAGGGAGGAGGAGGAGGGGGGGGAAAGGGAAGGAAAGGAGAATATAAAGAAGGAAGCTGGTATTACATGTGTATGTAATATATATCTTTAGAGAGAAAAAAATAGAAAGAAAGAGAAGTAAAATACTAATACAAGAAGGGAGAATAAGACTTTAGAAGAAAGGGGGGAAAATAAAATTCCACAGTTTAGGAGAAAATTGGAGGATCCTGTAAGGCGGGATACATAAAAGTTTTACACGAGACAGGCATAAACCCTTTTTGTGTGTGTGTGTGTGCTTAGAATACTATGCATATAAATTTTGCAAAAAGAAAAACTGTCATATTCCATAGTAAATGAATATCCTTAGAACATAAAGAACAAAATGACATAATACTTTATAATAAAGATAATTTAGTAGACTAGATATAATTGAATATAATGTATTAGCTATTTATATATTTCCTTAAAATAGTATAATTGAAAATTATGTATATGTCTTATAAAGCAAATATATCTTTTTATGTTTATTTGCAACACATATAGAAGATACAATGACAACGAGGGGAGTTATGAGTATGTTGTACGGTAACGGTAAAATGCACAGGGGGGGGAGAGTGTGTGTGAGGGGAAAGGAGATGTTTTATATGTATATAAATGTACTGCTTGGTATGTGTACTTAAAGTCAGAGGAGCATCATTATAAAATGAAAAAATAAGAACATTAGGTAATAAATGTATATAGGAGGAAAATGGTGAAAGTGATAGCATATATAATAAGTAGATGAATTTGCTATAGAGCAAGAGATGTGTATAATGTATGTATATTATATAACAGGATGATAGTAATGCATATAAAGCTTAAAACTGTAATTATCCTTAACATCACAAGCATATATGTATACAATCTTTATAATTTAAACATATCCAAGTCTAACATAATTTCTCTAATATATTATATTAAAAACAATAATTAAAAATGAGGAGCAGTAATTGAAAATATATTATATAATATTATATTATTTTTATTAACTTCAAACCGTATATTAATACTCTCCCATTCTATTTTCATCCCCTTTAGCCCTGACCTTTGTCATCTATAATATAATTCAGTATAATGACTTAATATGATGTGATTGATGTACAAATACCCCTTATTATGTCAATGGTACATTCCTGGAATTATCCTTTTTTTTTCTTTTGCAGAACACGAGCAAATATGCTGTGTTTTCAGTAATGAGCTAATTCTAAAGTATCTCATTATATAGTGTATCTAGTTTATTACCACGAAATGATTTTACAGTTGTTATACATACAATAGCAAAACTAATATATATGTGTATATACTATTAATAATACAAATAAAACAAAGAATCGAAAGAGAATGAAATAGTTACATATATGTTATGATTTTATGAGTGTTTATGAAATCAATTTCATATATGAATATCAAAAGTTAAATTACTAAAAATGATACTTTATTTCGTTGTTAAATATATATCTATTTACCTAAATGTATACTATATTTCATCACATATTAGGTAAACTTCTTCGAATATTAAAATAATCAGAGCAACACTACTTGATAACGATATATTTAAAATGATGTGACATCTGTAAAAATCTTTTTACTTGTATTATCTACTGATGACATTTCAGACATAAGAAAAGAAGAAAAAAATCAGTTTTGTTAATAGAGCATTTTGCAGAATAAACGATAATTTGCTGTTACTTTTTTTATGTACAATAAAAAAAAAATTTATTTTAATTAGATATAACAAATGACACTACATATATCGACCCTTTGTCTTCTGTAAGTTCACATATAATCAATAATAATTAGTAAAGATAGAATATAGAGTCAATAAAGAATAACTCGACTCATGTATTAAATGTCTTGAAGAAATACTCATATTCTTGCCTTTTTTTTTTTTTTTTTTTTTGCTTTAGATTGTGGAAACTCTTTTCAAGTTTATCCCACATCGTTTTGTTGAAGAGGCTTAACCTTAGAGAAATTAATAGTGCCAAAGGGGGGGGAGATACATCCTATAATACTTGTATTGACACATTTTTTGTTATGTACCTTGACTTTAGCTGCTTCACCAACTCTTGACCAAGCTCTACCACGCATCATTTGAGTGTTAAAAATCAGCTCCGTCAATGAATACACTTTTTTTTTTTTTTTTTTTTTTTTTTTTTTTTTTTTTTTTTGAAAGAAAGATTTTTTATATACATGTGTATTTAGTATGAATGAATACGAAACTATCAGTATACCTTTACCAGTTAAAATTTCTGCAAAAAGCAATGTTTTCGTTCAGCTAAAACAGTTTATATTTCAAATAGTTTATAATATTACCAGTCCACCAAAGCCAAAGCTAATGGGAACATTTATGAAATTTGGCAATTTTGTCTGGATTCATGACAAGAGCTTTGCCAATCAAATTTACAGTAACGGGTTTTTTGGTAAAGGTGATCTTTCTAGAAGTCAACCTACTTGGTATCAACGAATCAAACAAGACAATAAAAATGCTTTAGAAGAAATTACAGTAGAGAGACGAAAGAAAAGAAAAGAAAAGAAAAACAAACATGTTGATGCTGAGAATTATTTAACATCTGATGAGCTTTTAAATTTTGCAATGAATGTAGATGTCGAAAATTTTCAGCTAGATTTATATGAAGCCTTCTTTTTAGTGTATGGTCTAAATGCACTATCAATTGAGAATAGTAAAGAGGTATATAATTGTATTTTTTTTTATAATATTGAACAATAGTCAACTAAACATATTGGACATAGATACCAATGTCAATTGAGGAATGTTGGTCCACTTTTAATAAATGTAATGAACTATTTCATATAAATTATGTCGTATACCATTATTATCGAAGCTTGGGTTGGGTACCTAAAAATGGATCCAAATTTGGAGTTGATTTTGGTAGGTAATTTAAACTTTATGCTTTACTTGTTTTATTAAAACTAATACTTTATTATCAAGTATTATATCAATCTGGCCCTTCTTTTAGACATTCTGATTATGCAGTAGTTGTAATGCCTCTATATTCAAATAAAACAGAGGAATCCAAAAGCTGGACCTGGTTATTACGTCTTAACCGTATTTGTACTCATGTAAAAAAGACTTTAATTTTATGCTATGTTCATATCCCAGAAGACACTTCTTCTTGTACAAGTTTAGAAAATTACTCAATTAGACAAATCATTTATAAAAGATGGTCTCCTCAAAAAAATAGAGAAGAAAAACAAAAAGACACATAACTTATAGAATAAATCACATTGTAAATATTATTGAATAAAAGAATTTGAGCAAAAGATGCATGCAACTTACATATTTTGACGTTCAAAATTGCTTGACATTCCACTCTATTAGTCATTTTTGAATCTAAATAATTAATATAAAACTAGTTATTCCAAATTGTTTATATATGTATTGTACTTTTTGGATATCCATATTGGTATTTTTTTTTTATTTTTCTTATTAGGAATGGTACTATCCAACTGCTGTCTACTTTCTAATACAGCCTAATAATTCAAGGAAAATTTATTTCATAACGCTAATAACTTACTCTCTAGTATGAGAGATATAGTATCATTTTGCTTGATGCAGGCTGGACAGTAATGATAAAGATATGTTAAAGAAGATTATTAAATTAATCAGATACTAGCTATCTAGAGAGCAAATAAAGACATTTAAAGTCTTTCTTAGGGCCCAATAATGAAAAGACAGATAATATTATAAACAATTTAAACTGTCAATCGAGTCCTTTAGTAAACTATCTTATGCCTTGTATTGATTGTAAAAGAGTAAAAAATGTACTTGTCATGGTCAGTGAGATTTTTTTTTCTTTGTATCTTTATTTTATTTTGTCCATTGCTCTTTTACGTCGAAAAAATAATTTTTATCTATTCATTTTATTATTGTATTTTCCTTTGCACTTGCCCTCTGAGTAATACTAATAATTTTTGCTACACAAAGCAATAATTAATGATTGGTCATTTTTTTTTTTAAAAAAATAAAATTCTTCAGTTTAATAGTATACACATGTATAAAGGATACAGTTTTAGTACATATCATTTATTAATTTTATTTGCTATTATATGAGGCATACTTGCATATTATACATGTAATGCAAAAATTATAGTATTATATTGTATATGTAGCGAAATATTTTCTTGACCAGAAGAAGATAGAATTACAAAAAAAAAGAAAAAAGAAAACGGAAGGGGAAGGGGGTATTATTATTATTCTCATTATTATTAATATAATATAAGCTATTTTGCTGCTGTAGTCGAATTATTATCCGAGACTTTCCACATCCACCAAGGACCACCATATTCTTCATCTCCCCATCGTCCAGAAAGACCGATCGGCCAAATAAATCGACCGGTATATTCCCAAGTTTCACCAGAGTCGATATAATTCTTTTCCCAAGTTACTTGTCCTTCTTCAGTGTCATCAATAAGACCTGTAATCGAAAAATGGCCCAAGTTATCAATACCTGTACCCTCAAATCGAGTCAGGGGGCATGCAATGAGATGTTTTGAGGGGAATTGATGTTCCCTTGAAGGTCTTGGTGATGCGACTGCATTCTGAATGGTACTAGCTAAATTATTATTGTTCGTCTTTCGTCTCTTTCTTGGTTCAACAGTACTGTCTTGATCGTGATCTAACCAACGAGAGAGCCAAGAGGATTGACTGATAGGTTCTCCTGATTGATCCTCTAAGGGGACAACCTTGATTGTCATACGCATAGGCCCATCAAACCAGTCCTCCATGTTGGAGTCATCGTCAGGATCTTGAAAGGTATAATAACCAACCCATTCACCTTCAATTAAATAAGCTTCACTAACAAAGCGACTCGTGGAAGCAAAACCTGAATCTGTATAAATATTATACAATGGTGTACTACTGTTATGGATCTTCTTCATTGATGATGATTCACCGTTTTTAGATCTCTGTAAGCTCACTAAAAACAGATTTCGTTCGTAGCGTCTTAAGAATTCAACGTCAAATAATTCCGAATGTAATGTAAATAAGGGGATTGGAACACAATTTGGTATAGCCTGATAAAGCTGTGGATGATGAGCAAATAAGGTGACAAAAAATAAATGAAAGGCTGAAGAGAGAGGATCCTGAGAGGGATAAAAAGCTGTTATGTTGATGGATGAGGTATGTTGTTGATCTATGGGAATAGACCATGAGGTATGGAAATCTCTTAAAGGTGTATATTGTGTAATAAGTGCGTCCGCTTCAAAATTATATGCAAATTGACTTAGCTCGGTTGAAACAATGGTATTATTGGCTTGGAAGAAATGTGTGATTGAAAAATCTAAATACACATAATGCAGGAGGAAAAAGAAGAAGAAGAAGAAGAAGAAGGGTATAAATATATTATAATGTTAGGTAGGATCTTCATATTTAATTGGTTAAAAGAATACTTGCCATAATTGACAAGCAGAGATAAAATAGGTAACACTACAGGATAACTTTCTCGATCACGATAAGGGCCCAATTGAAATGCGGCACCAGCGGCTAATTGAACTTGATATTTTAAAAGATGTGGAATATTATACTGATCTATAGTACAAAGTATTAGTTTTTTTTTTTTTTTTTTTTTCGTTTCTTTCACTTTCTTCCTGACACTATGTATGTATGTATGTATGTATGTATATATGCGAATGTATGTTACCATGTTCAGTAATCATATCCCAAATAACTTCCCAATTAATCGAGTTTAACAAATCAATTCGCTTCGTATTTGAAGCAAATAATTTACACAATTGTAAAGCTTTACATCGTTTTTGAAGAGCAGTGTACCAATTGTAATTATAATGAAGTCGACGTCTATAGATAGCATGTGTATCAAAACGATAATGAAAGGCACAAGGCCATAATTTCTTTTGTCTCCAAGGATCTTTGTGTATAAGATGATACAAGTGTTTGCAACATTGAGATAATTCTAAAAGTGAAGTAGGTAATAGCTGATAACTTGCGACATGTATGATTATTTCCAATAAAAGCTCTTTTGGTAATGATAGTAATAAACTTGATTGTTTTGTCATATATATTACACAATAATCATACAACAGAAAGAAAAGAAAAAAGAAAAGAAAAAGTAGTTAAAAGAGAGAGAGAGAGAGAGAAAGGAAAAAAGGAGTCTAATAATACAAAAAAAAAAAAAAAAAAAAAAGAAAAAAGAATATTTATTTTTTTTTAGGTCTAGAATTTTAAAAAGCTAAATAAGGTAAGATTTTTTTAGGCTCTAAGTTTTTTTTCACTATAAAAAAAAAAAAATTAGTGCTTATTCTCCTTACCAGCCCCTATATATTCTGTGACCTGTACTAAAATAGTCTACTTATTATCAAAATGTAGTGTTAACATGCTTCTAATTTGGATATTTCCCGAAAGAATTTGGCTTAATTCACAGATAAATTAATGTAGTATACATATTTAGTTTAATTGGAATCCAATAATAATTTAACAAGTTGCTCAAACATAAGCTGACAGACTTTCTTAGAGTGTTTTACTTTTATGTTGTTGTTCTAATTATTAAAAAATATTGTGAAACAACTAACGAAAAAAGGCTAAGAAAATATTTTAAAAAAAAAAAAAAAAAAAAAAAAATACATAAAAATCTACTGATTATGTTTATTTTGATATAAAAAAATAATAATCGAAATCACTCTTCCACATCAAGCTTGACCTTCTTTTTGTGAATATAATAATGATAATAATAATAAAAGATGATGTCATATCTTAAACTAAAAGGTTTCGCTTACATGTATAATGTTTTGTTTTTATAAGGAACTAAACCAATTATTTAATATACAATAAATTGCTGTTATATCGAAAGCCCAGATTTTAATTTAGTAGGATAGAAAATCATGTTTTATAATTATATCCACATTGTTCTTTATTTGTTAAATACTTGTCTATACATGTGAAAATGTATATGTATAATATCTCTTATCTATGTACAATTATTGTCTTGCTCGTCTAGTACGCTTAAATCGAGTCTCACGACGAAGACGTCTAATATTTCTTTCTTGTGCAATTAACAGTTTCTCTAATTCATCATTAGATAATACCTCAAGTTTAGGTACCCAATTTGCTGCTTCTGCTAACTTTCTGAAACCTGTTTCTAAGCGCTCCTCCTTTTTATACAGTCCTTCATACTATATGCCATAATTAGTCTTTGATATATAAATTGCATGTATTTTTATTTACCTCTTCTACAATACGTTTTCGATGTCGAAAGAGTTGATCTCGTATTCCATGAGCAATTATACTAACATATTCTCCTCCTAATCCTAATTCGGCCGCAAGTTGTCGACTAAAGACTTCAGGAGCATTACTATGTACATTATCTAAATCCCATTCAAACTTATCACGTAAATTTACTTTCCCTATCTGAAGATCAAGCTATACAAAAATAAAATAGAAAATAAAGTTAATAGAGAATCTAAAAAAAAAAAAAAGCGAATTATAAAATCAATATTACATTAATCTCAACTCTCTTATTTCCTCCGTTTGGTAATTCATATTCATAAACAGCTTCAAAATCAATCACCTGCGCACGAATGGATTCGGAAATGGGTTTTATAAACTTTGTTGTATCCAATTGCAAATCTTCACAAAGCAACTCTGCAAACATTTCAGGTGTCAAGTATTGTTCATTCATATTCCACAAAAAAACATCTCTTAATTTTACATCGTCTAGATCGATGTCTAAACGAATAGGTACAAGGATTTCTGTTGTTTCTGAAACACGATTTAAAGATTCTTGAGTTGGAGGAAGTAAGAAATTCTTTTTGTGTGGGACTTTGGGTAAGTTAGATTGATCAAAATTTTCAGCATTGGTAGTTTGTTTTGATTCTTCATATTCTTCGTTTTCCAAGAACTCTTCAAAATCATCATCGGAATCATCGGCTATGAGACGATGTTTTTTTTCTGAAATATAACTAGAAGGTAATAAAAGTGCATTATCTTTGGATTGTTTTATACGTGAAGAATAAGAAGAAAAATAGCCTTGTGTATTTGGTCCTCCATACACAGGCTGTAAAGGCTGGAATGACTGAGGTACAAATAGCTGCTGTTGTGGTTGTAAGGGAGCAAATGGTTGATTCATAAGGATAACGCTATCCACTCAATTTGCTCAAAAAATAAAATAAAAAAAATAAAAAAAAAATAAAATAAAATAAAATAAAATAAAATAAAATAAAATAAAATAAAATAAAATAAAATAAAATAAAATAAAATAAAATAAAATAAAATAAAAAAAAGAATTTAGATATTTTTTTAAAGCGCGTAAACTACCCTTTCTTTTTGTTATTATTATTATTATTCGTACTTTATAAAATATGAAACGAGCACTGGTTGAAGAAGTTTCTTCAAATGATTCTTTACAAAATAGAAAGTACATATAATTTAGATTCTTTCATTCGAATTAATAACTAATGCATCAAAAGTGTACTAGATGTTGTGTTTAATGAATCAACACCTAATCTTGCAACATTAGGTGTAATACCTTCCAAAGTATTATTTATTTATAAGTTCTATTTGTAAATTGTACTAATGATTATTCTTAATGATAGTTACATTTAAATTTGTTAAATTCAGATAAAGTTGACGATCGTATCAAGGTGAAAATAAAAAGCCTTCTCAAGCACATTTCAAAAATTATGCGTTATTAATACATGTTGTACATTCTTAGTGTCTTTTAGAAATTGCTCGATATCTTTCATTACTTACGGTTGAACAACGAAAAGAAATAACGGATAGTTTGATACATCATCTTGACAAGGAAGTGGATAATGATGCAAAAGTATGTATACGAAAAGAGAAAGAGAGGGAGGGAGAGGGAGAGGAAGAGAGAGATCTCAACAAGTTGATCACACTAATACATTATTAGGCCATGTTGATATTATTGATAAAAAAATGTTCAAGATTTCCTAATGTAAACGCCCATGTCATTGTAAAATGTCTATTAAAGGAGGTAATATCATCTATTTTATATTAATTCGAAATGTTAACGATTATCTTTATAGCTTCAAACAAATTCAACAAAAGTAAAATGGCACACGTACAGTTGTATTTATTACATCTTGAAGGTAAAATTATTCACTATTCATTAATATGAATTAACCCCCTTTTTTTTTCAATAGCACCGTCAAATTACCAATAAACAAAATGATGTTTTACAGTTTCTATTTAATTCCTTAACATCTGATCTATCCAACTCACATCACAAAGTTCGAGCCATTAGCATATCCGTCCTTGCCTTGCTACCTTTTGTTTTTAGTGATCAGACGATCATGTCACAATCCAAGATTCAAACGATCATTAGTAATTATGCAAGAGATTGCGATCCACGTGTTAGAAAAAGTGCACTTGATGCTTTACTACAAATGCACTTGAGAGGCTGTCCGTTAGATCTTACGATTTACAATCTTTCAGTATGGTGTTTAAGGGACGATTATGAAGAAGTGCGTATGGGAGGATTAAATTTGATAGGGTAAATAATGAATTAGGATAAGATGAAGTTCTTTATTAAGTGTGTTCCCATTAGGGTCTTGAGTGCATTATACCCAGAACATAGGATGAAACTGGCCCATAAGGATGTGAACGAGACGACACGATTGATAGATGATGCATTTAATAAAGTGTGTGACTTGGTAAATGATTCAGCTGTAGCTATAAGGACCAAAGCCTGTGTCATGATGGCATCTTATCAGCATGTTGGTTCAGATACTTTAAATCAAACATTTAGTAAACAACTCATGCTTAATTTAAGACGTAAACTTCCACGTTATAAACAACAACAAAAGAAGTATGCCAATGATACGATACCTGTGGCTGAAGGAGATATTGATGTAGAATCAAATGAGTTTCATTTACTAGATTCTGGTGCCTGTGGATCTTTTATTCATGGTTTAGAAGACGAGTTTCAAGAAGTTAGAAATGCATCTATTGGTAAAATTAGCAGTGAATAGAGTTAAAAAAAAAAAGATGCTTATAATTATTTTATTTTTTCTGTGTAGACTCTATCTGTGAATTATGTATGTATAACGAGCAGTTGACAAAAAAAGCAGTGGAATTTTTGGTTGGTAAAAATAAAGAAAAAAAGAAAAAAAAAGCTATTGCTAACTAAATGTTTTATTTTAGATATGTTTAATGATGATATTGATAAGGTCCGACTTAATGCAATACATAGTTTACGAAAAATTGGAACAAGAAATACTTTGGAATTTGATGAGGAACAACTTGAAATTGCTGTAGGAGCATTAGAAGATAGTGACCCATTAGCCAGACAAGCTACACATGAATTATTTACGTAAGAAAACACAACTAAAATAATAATAATAAAAAAAAAAGACTCTATTTATTCAATTGTATTATTTTATGTAGAGTCGTTCGTCTTACAGTACCAACATCATTAACTATTTTATTGGATGCATTAGAGGCCAACATGAAAAGATATCCAATGGATACATTATCTGTGTATCAATGCTTACGTGATATCGGAAAACGGCATGATGATTATGTTCAAGACCTTGTACCTACATTGTTAAACTTGGATAAACGTTATCTCCCAAAAGAAGCCAATGTGGAGGATATAGTGTGTAAGTGAGTTTCCAATATTTCAATATTATTGCTAATTCTATTTCAAATATGTATATGTATATGTATATCTATATACATATCTACATCTATATCTATATCCATATGTATATGAATCTACATATTAGACACTGCTTATGTAATTTTAATTGTGAATGCTTGTTCAACTAATGTGAAAATATTGTATGATTTGCCTAAATATATATTTCGTCATTTTGCTTACTTTCAAAGCAAATATCCTGATTGTATACCTGATTTAAGAGTAATTATCACGTAACTTGGATTTTTGGCATGGTATAATGACTAATTTTTTTGTAGAAATTGTATAAAATAGCTGGCATTAAATTAGAAGGAGATATCGATTGTTTACCCATGACATTTAACCGTAAGTAGAAATTTTGTTTAGTAATGTCAAACTTACCATAAACTGCTGCTGTAGCTTCAGACAGTAAATTAGTGACAGCCACTGAAGATGACATAACGGTTGATATGGTTCAATTGATTCGGGCTCAGGTGAAAGACAGAGAATTATCAGCTGCATTATCGACAATTGAAGCTGCTATTCGTAATTTTAAAACTGTAAAACCCTACTTGAGTGGTAAAGCTGAATTAATTCAACTTTATTTAAAATGTTTTGAAATTATTATTAAAGCAAAACAAGGCCATATCAATGGACAAATTGAGGCATCCAATCTATTACGCTATTCCTACACAATTCAATATACCTTTTTGGGTATATCAAAAACGACTTTACATGCTGCTGTTTACTTTCGACTTGTGGCTAATATGATTTGGATGTTTGATATCTTGAAACAAATGCCAATGTAAGCTCCATGAATGACATGAACCTTCGAATGATTGCTTATCCTCCTTCTCTCTTTTTCATAGGTCAAAAAACACATCGTTTAGTATCAAGAATATGATATTAGCATTTTACCAAAGAGTAGTACTATTACAAAAAGAAGAATTTGGTCAAAATAATGAAACTATAAATGATTTAAAGGAGACATTATTATCTACAAGTGAATCACCTACAACTCACAAGATGATAAAGCTTTATTCATTTATTATTGTAATATTGATTTTTTTTTTTTATTTATTCTAGTGTAAAAAAAAATGAATTTAATATATTCATCTATATTACCTACATAGGACTTTTTACCGCTTGAAATAAGTCTTGATAATCCAGTTAAACGTACAAAAGCCGATATCACATATCCTTTACCGAATCCAGATAAGCCATACAAGTTTAATTCAAAATATCCAGCCAGTATACATATTGAAGCTGATATTTTTAATTCATGCGATACAAATTCATTTGCCATTGAGGTAAGTACATGTTTTCTGTGTGTATGTGTGTGTATGTGTGTATGTGTATATGTGTGTGTATGTGTGTATATGTGTGTATATGTGTGTGCGTGTATATATACATATATGGATGTCTGTATCGGTATTCATATTATATGTAGTTCATTTTACCAGATCAGTCTTCATTCATGTTTTGGCCGCCTTCTGGACATTTTAAACAAACAACGCCCTATTGTTTTAAACTTTCCACTAATGTTGAACTTTCTTTATCGTCTTGGTCAGGTAAAATTTACACTAAAGATATCTTTAATATCATCTAATAGGAACTATTTTTTTTTGTGTATGTTACGTTAGAATCTGGAGTAGTTATTATTCGTATTGTTCAAACATTTGAGCCTGATTTACCAGGCCTTGATGAATACATTATGAATTATTTTGGATCTAATTTTTCAAAGTCGACTTCTTCTTGTGTTATCAGTGAACATTTAAAATATCATTTATATCCTTCAATAAATGCCCGAGTTTAAATTAAAAATACCCTTCCTTTTTCTATTCTTTTTTTTTTTTTTTTTTTTTTTTTTTTTTTTTTTTTTTTTTTTATAATAATCATCATTTCTTATTTTATTTTTTTCTCAAAATGTCACGACGATCATCTTTTGAAGATGTTGGAAAAGTTTATAAAAGATTGAAAACAAACTATGCATCATTTCCTTTAGGGAATAATTACAACTATGAAGGATCGTTTCCGATTTACAAACAACCTCAGGAACTAGTTTCTTATAGTATTGATCATGAACGACGTGTCTGGTTTGATGATCGAGAATTGGTAAAATGATTTTATGAAAAGACGTAATTATGAATGTATATATTCACTGATTTTTTTTTGGTGGGGGGGGGGTGGTGGTTGAATTTATATGCTTGCTTAGAAATATTATAGTCCACCTAATGAAGATGATGATCAAGATTTAAATATTGGATATGAAAAGATGATCAAAAGAGACGATAGTATACCAGAACATATTGATACATTATTAGATGCCCTTACGTTTTACAATACAGAAAACAAAAATACAACCACAGCTGATATAGTAACAAATGAACAAGACTTTTTGTATTGTATATTAAATTAAATTCTTCTTGCGCTATAGGTTACTTGGCGGGGTATTATGACCAAACTTATGTGTACACCTTATTCTAGAAAAGAAGCATGGACATTACGCGCTACACGATATAAAGTAAGTTGCAGAGAGTTAACATACATGTTGGTTAATGTGTTGTATATAAAAGGATACAATTTATATAGAAGAAGAAAAAAAAGAAGAAGAAAAGATGACAGAAAAACAAAAGTTAATGAGTTATTGGGGATATAGATTTGAAACACTTTATACAAAGCCTTATTCAATAAATGATAAAGAAGACGACGACGACAAGACGATAGTAAATACAAATATACAATATTGTACTGTTGTCAAGACGAAATTAGGAAACAATTCAATCATCATGGGAGCAGAAGTAGATTGTTGTAATAAAGAGAAAAGTAAATTTTGATTCGCAAAAAAAAAAAAAAAAATAGTAGTAGTAGTAGTATGTAAGGTATTAAAAAGAACTGTCTTGATTAGGTAAGCAAAAACTTGAAAATTATATCGAATTAAAGACTTCAAGGATAATTGAATCTAAACAAAATTTATATTCATTTGAAAGGCAAGTAGTGTAAACAAATGAAATCCAATCATATTAATTTATTTATTTTATTATTTTAGATATAAATTATTAAAATTTTGGGCACAATCATTCTTAGTTGGAGTTCCAAAAATTATATGTGGATTTAGAAATGATGAAGGAAGAATATTAAATATAAAGGAATACAAGACATTAGAAATACCACGTCTGATAAGAAATAAGCCAAATCTTTGGGTAAATAGTTAATTAATATTTTGCCTATTTTGCCTATTTTTTGCTATTTACTAATAATAGTTTATTATTAAAGAACCCTTCTGTTTGCTTAAACTTTGCTAATGAACTCTTAAATTGGATAAGATTAAAGATGACAGAAAATGATGCTACTTTAACTTACTTAATAGAGTTTAAATATCCTTTTAAAGAAATTAACTTGACAAATACAGGCCATTCGCACGTATTTTTAACTCAACGTTTTATAAATGGAACAATACAGCACGACATTGGTGGTGAAAGAGCAGCAACAACAGCAGCAACAGCAGCAATAGCAGCAGAACAATCAGCTGAGATATAATCAATAAAGAGGAGAAGAGAGGGGGTGAGGAGAGTGGTTTTTGCCAAGTCCTGTTAAAAAAAAAAAATTTTTTTTCTATTATTCTATAATTCAATGGACATGTTTCAAAAATTCGTTATAAAATAAATAATCATTATTTATAATAGTGGCTTTGAAACGTTTATTAGATATTTTATTTTATTTGCTTTTACTTTACCTTACTTTGTTTACCATTTTCAAATGTGATAATTATTTGAGTTTAAAAAAAAAAAAGTATAGTTATAATAATTATGCTATCATTTTACTCCACTTGATGTATATTTTTATTCAAGATATTTTTGGATACAAAATGAATTGTATAGCAGAATTATATGTTCAGCAGATATAATTTAAAACTCCGGATTAATTTGTCATAGATAAACAAAATAAAAAAAAAAAAAAGGGGGTGAAGTATTCCTTTAAAAATGACTTTTTCATATTATATTTTTTATTTTATTTTATCTTTTATTATTATTATTATTATTATAAAAAAAAATAAATAAATAAAATGGGACGTAGAAAGATACAAATTCAACCTATTAAAGATGATAGAAATAGACAAGTAACATTCCTGAAAAGAAAGCATGGTTTAATGAAGAAAGCTTATGAACTTAGTGTATTATGTAATTGTGAAGTAGCCTTAGTTATCATTCCCCAAAATAATAATAAAATGATACAATATTCAAGTTCTGATATGAATACTATATTAAAGAGATTCAAGCAGGTATATAAATAAATAAAATAAACACGTAACAAAATAGATACTAAATGAAAATAAAAATCTATTTAGAATGATAAACCAAAAGAAGTAAAGACAAACAAAGATGTAAAGTTTTCTTTTCTATTTTATTCATAATTATCAAGTGTATTAATTCAATTTATAGTTTGTAGAAAGTAAAGATAATGAAGTAGAAGATGAAGATGAATATAGCTTACGACAACAACAACAACAACAACATTTAGTTACTAGCCAACAACAGCCTATCTTAATTCAACCTAATATGATGTATAACTCTTTATTATATTCGCAACAAACACCTGCTTTATATCATTCACCTCAACATCAACAACAAGAAATTACTCCAGATCAATCTCCTAGATCAGAGCCTGGAACACCTGATAATAAAAGACCGAAACAATTAATAATAAATCCCGAAGAATTTAATGTATGAAATTACACTTATTTTCTTCATTATTACATGTGAATTAATATTCTTTTTTTTTTTATTTTTTTTATTTTTTTTCTTTTCTTTTTAGTATTCAAATGCTTTGCCTTCTCAATTTGTTCAAAACTTGCCTTCTCCTTCTACTTTTTATCCTGAATTTTATCCCCAATCAAATTTCATCATGAGCCCGATCCATACTAACTCAGCATTTACGATACCGACTATAAAACAAGAACCTTATCATCATCAACAACAACAAAATGAAACCATGACAACATCGAGGTAATAAAATAAAATAAAATTAAAAAAAAAATGATTTGTAATAAATGAATTTTGAAATCTTATTTGTAGTAGTCATTTACTAGGAGGAGGACCGAAGAGGTTTATGCCGCAACAACAACCAATGATAAATAATGAACAAAAATTAGTTAAACTATTATAAACACTTACACCTATAATATATACACACACCACACACTTGTAAATAATTTTTTTTTTCTCTTTCGATTCATGATCACTGTATTGTATTTTTATTTATAATAAAAAGATTATATTATTTATTTATTTTTCTTCCTCTATTTTCTCATATCATTTTATTTGTTGCATGTGTACTTTTTTCTTTATCTATTACAAGCAAATTTACATATTCTGGCGGAGCTCACAATTTATTGTAGTTCCTCATGATTAAACCCTTTTCATTTGGAAAAAAAAAATTTACATCTTCGAAAAATGAATAAAGAACAAGAATTAGAAAATAGACAATTACAAAATGAAGAGATTATGGCACTAGAAGCTATTTACCCTGACGATTTTCATAAAGATGAAACATCATCGGATGCATATATTTTCACACTTAATCTAGATCAAGATGATGATACAATACGATCACCGCGTAAAGTTATTTTAAGATTTTTTTTACCTCCCACTTATCCGAATCAAGATATGCCCATCTATGAAATAGCTTCCATCTATTGCGGTACAAAAAAACTAGATAATGACATGCTAGAGGCAATTGATGTAGGCTTTACTTCACTTTTTATGCCTACTCAAGTAGTTTTGTTTGAATGGATAAGCTGGTTACGTGATTATTTAGAGGAACATGTTGAAAAATATGTGATAGAAGAAGAAACGGAAATATCAAATGCATTGTCCCAACTTCAAGTGGAAGAGGGAAATGTAGACGAAGAAGAAGAAGAGGAAATCTATGATTTTAATCCTGAAGATCATTATAAAAAGGAGACATCGGCTCAACAAGACGATTCTCATGATCGTCCTACTGTACGCTCATTAATGGGCCCCAACAGTTATCATACTGAAACACCTCCTTCAATTTTTTCAAGTGAACCTTTGGTTGATCGAAAGTCTATCTTTGTTGCTCATGTAGCTCAAGTTCATACTATTCATCAAGTAAAAGTAGTAGTGGCTCATTTGTTACAAAATAAGAAAATTGCAAAGGCAACACATAATATTTTAGCATATCGTATTACAATGCCAGATGGAAAGGTGCTTCAAGATAACGATGATGATGGAGAGTCGGCTGCAGGCGGTAAGTAGTACAATCTATACAAAGATATATACGTTATTTATTTATTTATTTTATTTTATTTTATTTTATTTTATTTTATTTTATTTTATTTTTTGAAGGTCGTCTTTCACATTTAATGCAAATTTTAGAAGTAGAAAATGTAGTAGTCGTAGTAACTAGATGGTTTGGTGGTATTCATTTAGGTCCTGATAGATTTAAAGATATTAATAATATTGCGCGTAGTGCTCTAAGTGAGTGTGGATTTATCAAAGACAAACATGAAAATAAACACAAAAAGAAAAAATAATAATAAAATGAATTCTCCGCGTAGTATTCGGCTTTTTCTTTTTCTTTTCCTTTTTTTTTTTTTTTCTTTTTCTCTTAATGAAAATGAACGAAAATGAACAAAATGGCTTGATGGATGATATTATCAAGTCAATCATGACACCAGGCTATACTGCAACTGGAGTAATCAAAATCATGTTTTATGCCTTTTATGCACTTTTTATAACATTATTAGTGATGATTTACTTGACAGGTGGTAATCCTCATGTCATTGCTTTATTGTTATTAGCTTTATGTCTTTTCGTGACAATCAAATGGTAAATATACAATTATTTATAGAATATTCAATGTATTCAATTTTTCTTTCTTTCTTCCTTTCTTTTATGTATAATAGGTTTATTTCTGAATTACAGGCCTCTAAACAACAAGAAAATACAGCAAAAAATGAATAAATTAGAATATCTTAATAGACGTCAAATATACCTTACTTTTAGTCTAAAATTTGGATTCTTTGTATTGTTTTCTCACATACATATACACACACAATATTGTAACTTTAATTTTATACATATTTTTATATGAACAAAGAGAAATAGTTGAATAGATTATTTTACATAAACTACTTTTGTAAATTGAATAATGAACCCTTTCAATCCTCCTATTTTAAGCTTTTCTCCCACACACACACACACACTCTCTCTCTCTCTCTCTCTCTCTTTTTATATATATAAATATATATTTATCTATATATAATATAAATACTTATCAATCCTTCTTCTTCTAACTTTCTCCATTACAATAATGATATTTCTAACTTTGAATGAAAAGTATTCACTGGCATGGCTTCAGATGAGTACGATCATTTTATTTACAATGCTTGGTTCTCTTTTCTATTTACATACAAACATTTCAGATTACATGGAAACAACAAAAGATAAATTTGGTTCTATTTGTACCTCTATCAATAGGTCCTCAGAGCAAATTTACAACACACCCTTCATTCTCTATAAAGCCTCTCTCACTTCCATGTATACAACAAAAGAAAATATACACCGAAATTTATCAACAGCCCTTGAGATGATTGAAAGCTGTCTTGTATTTCTCATTCGCATGTACAAATCAACGTATCAATGCCTTTTAGGTCTTACCATTCGTACTCTACTATCATTTGTAACAACGATCGCGAGTCCTGTTGAAAAGGTCGCGAATGGAATCGCTTCCTTTCTTCATCTAGGTGATGGTACCTCACTTAACTGGACAACGTCCTTAAATCAGCTACAGTCACAAGTGGATCAATGGTTTCAAAACGATCATGTACGAGAATGGCTAGATATCCCCTTTGGTTCCCTTCAAGGTCAACTCAATTCATCCTTTCATAGTTGGGAACCCCCTCTGCTGAATAACCTAACCCACGAATCCCTCTTTGAACAGCCCTGTGACCCTACTGCCCTCTTGAATGCCCTTGAACGTGCAAGAGATGAGATGTTGTTCTTTGTCAAGGTCTTGATGGGGGCTCTCGTGGGTGCAATCGTGATCTGTACATTGGCTAACGTCGTGATCATTCGACTTCAACACACTCGCCTTACTCAAGCACATGCTCACTTTTTACAACCAAAGGAAGATGAGAAAAGAAAAGATGATGATGATGATGCCTTGGATCGCTATATGTGGTCTATATCGACTTTGCTCCCCTGGGAAAGACGAAAGAATAGGTTCCAGCGTGTCCTTTATTTCATGAGTCAACCCATTGTTCTTTATTGTCTCTGTGTGGGTCTAGGAGGATTAGGGTTGATCGCCTTCTTGACCGCCACACTTGAAGGAGGCTATCATGAGATTTATAGTAGACTTGAAACGGAAGCTCAAGCATGGACTCAGAACGCGACCTCCCTCTGGACATCAAGTGCGACGCAACAAATAGATCATCTCAATCAATGGATCGGTACTGCAGAGTCGAGTCTGAATGATCATGTCTTGAGCGTTGTTCAAAGTTCTGCAATCGCCTTAAATAGCACCTTAGCCAATGTGGTGAATGACGTCCAAGAGTTGATTCAGACTGTCTTGGGTGGTACCTTCCTTGAGGGACCAGCAAAGGATTTAACACGATGTTTGTTATTGAATAAAATTGAAAATATCGAACAAGGACTCACATGGATAGCGAATCATAGTTTTATTCATCTAAGTAGATTAGATGCAACTCCTCCATTCAATGCTCTCATTGCGGGCCCTGAAATGCAGGCATCTATTCACAATCATATAGGCTTCGTTCATGCGGAGAATCATTCCCTTTTCATTACAGAGCAGTTGAATAGTTTATCGAGCTTTTTTCAAATGTTACTTGTCTTTTGGAGTATCAGTTTATGTATTTGTATAGCCTTTCAACTTGACTATCATTATTTTAAAAAAAAATAAATAAAAAAAAAGGGGGATTTATTATTATTATTATTATTATTATTATTATTTTAATTTTTGTTCCCTTAAAAATATCCACTCAAGCTCTAATATCTCTTTCCATAATTTACTCTGTTTCCCAAAGGCAACAGCGATTGTTTCCTTTGCTGACACAATCCACCTTCGAACACCCCTTTCATACACCTTTTCTAATCCTTTATCACCTACCACCAAAAGTTCAGATTGAACAATTGAATTCCAACCTGCTTTCGCCATGATCAGGAAATGCTGTGCCAACATGGGGTGATAGGGAGGATAAATCACACAATATTGAACCAAGATGTACAAGCCTACTTTAACTGCATTTTGCCACTTGCCTTCTGAGATTAGATCATAAAACAATCGTGTACAGATAGATAATGTGCTGAGTCGGTAAGGGATAATGAGGAGTGAATCTGCTGTTGAGTCGTATGAAAGCATCTTGTCAATAGAGGTAGCCATGATATCATCACAAGTAGATGGAACCTTTGGCCTTGCTTGTGATGGCAATGGATCATCAAAGTCTGTTAAAGAGCAGGAAGTCTTTGAGGAAGAAGGTCCCAGCAGATGTAACTCGGGTTGATTACAAGTTAAAAGATAAGGTGAAAAGAACTGAACAAAATAATGGCTATAACTGGCTATTGTTAAAGCATGATCAGGAAAACCATCATGCCTCCTATCATATTTTTGACACATATCTAATAAATTCCATATTTCAATTTCTTTTAGAATCTGTGCTCGTTTATCGATATGCTTATGATTGTATTCTAAAAGTAGCTGTTCCGCACGATCCCAATCCGATTCCTCTTCACCTAGTAAAGTATCAATTTTACTTAAATAAGGTCGATTGGCATTTTCTAGACATCGTTCACATTGACAATCAAAAAAATACTTTTGGTGTAGTAGAGTTTGTCGATACTTTCTTGAATGAGCTGGATCTATATAAGGGATTGTAATTTCAGTACCTGGTTGAATATCTTCAATAGCACGAATACAAGCTAATGCGCCTTCAAACATCACGACAGCATTTGGATGACACGAATGATTAAACAAGGAAGCAATCGGATAGGTGCCTTCACCGATCGCGAATAATTCCACGTCAGTAATCGAAAAGTTATTGGATCTGAAAACGTTCAAATAATGGACTAATTCCTCTTGCGAAATACCTTGAAAGATCTTTCTTTCAAGTGTTTTACGAGCTAATGCCGTATTCCTTTCCGTAATATGTCGTGGTTGTAAGGTATCATGACCCATTAAACTAAAGAATGCTTCCATCGTTACCTCCACTGTCTCACCGTCCTCTACTGATTCCTTATTCATCTTATTTCTTTGTCTATATCGTGCCACATTAAGAGCAACACGCTCGAGCATCTCAAGATCCAATTCATCTTCTGCACATTGATGATTCGATTGAGCTGTACAAACAAACTGATGATAACTTAACCAAGCATTCTTAAAGCAAGCCATATCACAAAAATAAGCTTTCTTGCATTGAGAGCAACGTTGTAAAGGAGGTGATGTTTGTTTTCGAAAGCAATAATTGCAATATTCGTTCATCATCTGAGGTATAGCTACTGTACCTAATGGTTGTGAAGTTATAATGACTGTTCCTCGTGGTAAGAAAGCATTTGCTTTTATATAACGTCCTTTAATAGCGTCTTGAGAGTTATGTATTGAAATATGATTTTGGTTTAAATACTTTTCCATTTTAGATTTGCAATCCATAAAAAAAAAAAAAGAAAAAAAAAAAAAAAAAAAAAAAAAAAAAAACTCCAAGTGATAGAGGCGGAGACTACAATATGAAATTAAAGAAACAAGTGGTGGTGCTACATTTTTCTGATTTGTGCTTGCCAACAGGGACCAGATTCACTTTCCATTTTTCTCTTTCCCCTTTTTTTTTTCTTTTTTTTTTTTTTTTTTTTTCGTTCTTCTTCTTCTTCTTCTCAATTTTATACCAATGTATATCTTTTTATTTCCATTATTTCTATGTTTTTTAATAAGGCATGTTTTATCGTTAGACATCATATTGAATAAAAGACAAGGCAAGTATAACAAAAAGGGAAAACTTTTTATTTTTTTTTTCTATTTTATTTTCTTTTTTATTTTGTAGTTAATACTCGTTTTTTTTATAGCCATAGCTTCTAGAAAATGTGGAAATGAAAATAATACAATATCTATTTGCACACCTACATTTGATTCTATCTGGAAAAACGACACAGATCAGGAAATAACATGGAAATGGAAGTAATGTTAGATATACATATTACATACGTATCCTATTTACTTACAATTTGCTATCTATCTAATACACACACAGTAATCCTACTCTAATTGCCTATGTACGTACGTTCATTCACAGATTTGATATTATTACTTTGTTAAGTAGTCTATTCTACATGTGTATGTATGTAACTTGTTTCATAGGATAAACTTGATCTTTATCTACTTTATCAGCCTACAGAAGGAAGTTATCAGGTTGTAAAGAATTGGACTGGTTTGGAAAGAACAAAAGGTATCCTTGTACAACATATAGACGATAGTTGGTATCCATCACCACCAATCACCAATAACGTTTCATGGACAATGTATTTTTATATTGTGGGCTCAGAATATGATATCCAACAAGATCTTTCGTTAATACCAACCTATCATAATTACTTTTCCGTACCTCAGTCTTTTATATTAATACGTAAGTTGTATTCATGTATAAAGTAACATGGTGTGTATATATCTATTTATCTATTTTTATATAGAGCCTGCCTATGTAGATACTACTACTACTACGACTACTACTACTAATACAACTACTAATAACTCATCAACAGATATACCTTCCCCTTCACCAACATCTGAAAGACATTCTGATTCATTCCCTAGTTGGGCTATTGCTGTTATTTGTATTGTTGCAGTCATATTCTTGATTATAGCTATTATTATCATTTTATGGGTGCTTAAAAGACAGCAGAGACATAGAAATAGAACAAAGAGTCATGATGAAAAACGTCCTGTCTTATTAGCTTCCACCCATGAATCGAGTTTAGCTATACCTGTCATGTCTACTACTACACCATCCCCGACTTACACTGAGAAAAATAGAAACACACCTTCTTCACCTCTGGGAATGCATAAAGAGGGACAGCAATCAAGTAGTATCCTCTCTTCTACAGATGCATTGATGATTGCTGATACTTTTAGACAATTCATGAGAAAGCCTGAATGGAACGACAACATCAATAAAGAAGAAGAAAAGTCTTCAAATCTTTAAAAAAGGAAAAAGGACAGGTGATTTTCAAATTCCGATTTTATCATTTATTTTGAATTATACAAAAGGAGTTATTATTATACGTTGTTTAAACGAATAAAGTTTTGATTTGGAATTAAAAAAAAAAGAATAGAATAGAATAGGAGAAAAGTTAAAGGTTTAAAAGAAAACATGTACATACAATGAAAGTAAAGAAAAGAAAAGAAAAAACATGAATATAAAGGTCGTTTATACCCCACAAAAAAAAAAAATATATTAAAAAAGGGCGACGACGTCACTATGTTTAATACACCTTTTTTTTTTTTCTTTCTTTCTTTCTTTCTTTCTTTATAAATCACGTTTTATTATTATTTTTTATTGTGTTATGTATATGAACGATGCATGCAAATAATAATAATAAAAAGAAAGCAACAAATGTACGTAAACGAATAGAAGATACTAAAACACACTACTCAACAACTATGACTAATGCAAAGAATATGCTTCATTCTGCTCGAGAATGGCTACGGCCTTCAACCGACTGGGCCTCTTCACTCACACAACTATCTACAGTTATGTTCAGTCCATTAGCCGCCCATCCTGTTTACAAATCAGAATCAATGGTGAAAGCTATTCAGTTGATGCAACAACAACAACAGAGACAAACTAATCTAGCTTCGTCCTCTTCTCATGATCTTGTTTTACATGGCAAGTCATACGCCTGGCCTTCAAGTTCTATTCTTTTACAAGCAGACATACCGCAAACAAATAATCCTGTTACTTTATTTCAAGGATTCGCAGCTACTTATCCTTCATTAGCCAAATCTTCGAGATCGCATAAGAAAACAAGGCAAAAGAGGAGGAAGCAGTCAACTACAGAAAATGGGGATGCACAATCAAAAGGTATTTTATTTTATTTTTTTCTCTTTTATATATACATGTATATAATGTACAAGTATATACATATATATATATATATATGCATATACATATATATATATATATAGCGACTCATAACTAGTTAGAAGTACCAAAGACCTTGACTCAAATCATGTCAGAAAGAGAAAGAAAAGTACGAGAATGTGACAAGATTAGTATGCAAAAGGTAACGTAATATATACATTTATAAAGGAATTATTACCATCAAACGATAGACTAAGTATAATCTAGTCTTCTACAGTTAATGAAATCGAACAGATTAATCTTCAGATTAATGAATTATTGGACCAAAGGAAAATATTAGAACAAAAATGGCAAAAGTTGGAAGAAAAAGATTTTGAATTACAATTAATAAGTAAAAAAAGATAATATGGATAGTCATGTATGTTATCCCCTAAAATTGATTCTCTTTTTCTTTTTTTTTAATATTATAGTTGAAGATTTGAATGAGACCATTTTGGATATAGAAGAAGGTCGTAGTGACAGTCTAAGTACTGTTCAACAATTAAGAAGAGAAGATGAAGACGATGAATCTGAAGAGGACGAAGGTGAGATAGGAGCTTGTTTCAAGATATTAGAGGGTCATACAGATGATATTGTTTGCTTGGACTTTAATCATCTAAAGGGTATGCTTGTGTCTTCTGCTTTGGATGGCACGGTGAAAGCATGGGATCTCTATCGCAAACGATGTTTAGGTAATATAGAAGGACATTCAGGTATTGTGCGGTGTCTTCATTTAAATGAAGCACGTCTCTTGACTGGTTCTGATGATAGTACAATTAAACAATGGGATTTGTCCTTGATACCATCTCCAATCATGCCCTCTTCTTCTGCTTCTAGTGTATCCAGTGTATCAGCTATTGATGGGGGTATCGTGAACGAGACATTTACGTTACAAGGACATCAAAGTGAAGTGACGGTCTTGGATGCCGATCAACACACATTAGTATCAGGTTCAAATGATAAAACCATTCGACAATGGGATTTGGAAACACAACAATGTGTTTTGACACTGGATGTTTTGTGGGCAAGTAATAATAAGGGCACCTTGGGAGATACAAGAATGGCACATTATGCATATGCAGCATATGATTTTGTGGGCGCATTACAGTTTTGGGATTTTGCTTTAGCAAGTGGTACTTCAGATGGAAAAATTAGAATGTGGGATTGTAAGTGTGTTGTTGTTCCCTGTATAAATAGAGAGTAGGCACATATTTATTATATATTTTATTACTATATAGTAAGAACAGGACAAGCGCATCGTACTTTACCCGGACATAGTGCACCTATTACATGTTTACAATTTGATGAAATTCATCTTGTCAGCGGTAGTTTAGATAAAACAGTTCGAATTTGGGATTTAAGGACAGGTTCTGTGTTTGATACACTCACTTATAATACACCTATTCTGAGTCTACAATTTGATACGAATAAAATTATCAGCTCTGGTACATCCAATGCTATTGACGTAAGTATTTTATGAGATTTTTTTTTGTAAGGGTACAAAACTAATCTATGTTATAGGTTTATAATCGTACTTCATTTCAACATACAACGCTTACTAATGATTCAAGTTATGTTAACACAGTCCGTTTCCGTAATGATGTGCTAGCTAGTGGCGGCAGTGATCATATTATCAAGTTATGGTCGATATAATGAAAGAATCTCGAATACATTATTGTTATTTTATTTAAAAGCTAAATTTGTACAAAATTTTACAAGATACTTGTGATAGACGCTTATATTTAAGTTTTGGTGAATATCGTTTCACCTTTTTTTTTTTTAAAGAAATCATAAATACAAATCTTTAATATAAAATGTATATTGGGCTATAATATGTATAGCATACTTTCTGTATGTACAAGTTGGATGTATCTTATGTTTTAACACGAAAAAAAAAGAAAAAGAAAGAGGAAAGGGAGGGGAGATGTGTCATTCTTCTTTTGATAGAACTGGTGCATCCTTATTGTTAACAAATTAATGTTGCGATGCATCATCTGCAATAAAAACAGGTGGCTTATATTGAATTTTAATTTTTTTTTTTTTTTTGGAAAATACTACCATATTATAATATTATAACGTGAAAAAAGCAAAAACAAAATACAAGGAAAAAAAACCCCACTCCTCTCTTCATGAAAGATACTCCATATAGAAATTCTAAGCTTAAGCTATAGACTCTATAATAACACGTTTATTTTATTTTTTGTGTTATTATTAATAACGAAATAAAAAAAAAAAAAAAGATAATTTACCAAAAAAGTTGAAAATGTGACGTAGACTAGAGATTTTTTTTCTTGAAAAAAAAAAAAAAAAAAAAAAAAAAAAAAGAAAAAAAAAAACAGATACGCAGTTTTTTTTTTATTTTTTCCCTTTCTACTTTTCCTTATTCTAATATTATGTCGGATACAGAGAAAGAACCAGTTCAAGATCAATTTGACGATGAAGAGGTATTTACTCATTTTAAACAAAAAAGAAAAAAGAAAAAGAAAAAAAAAAGAAAGATTTTATTCACTTAAATTATATATTCCATTGAATACTTTGTAGGTTGACTTTTCAAAGTTGAAAAAGAAGAAAAAGTCCAAGAAGAAGGTTGAGTTTGATGCCGAGGCTGAACCTGTTGAAACACAAACTGAAGAGAAACCAGTTGAACAACAAGGTACATTTTATAATTCATCTTTCTCCGTTCCTTTCTCCATGTTCCTAAAATTAACATTCTATAAATTGTAGACGATGCCGAAGAGGATCCCGAAGCTATGTTTGCAGATTTGAAAAAGAAAAAGAAGAAGAAGTCTAAGCTTATTGAAGAGGTGAGAGAGAATAAAAAGGAAGAGAGAAATGACGGATAATGTCCATTTTAACAAAAATAATAATATATAGGATACTCCTGATGCTGATTCATCAGTTGCTAATACTGATGAAGATTTAGACTTTAGTGGTTTAAAGAAGAAGAAGAAGAAGAAGAAGTCTATGGCTCAATTTGAAGCAGATTTGGCTGATGAGAATGCTGATGAGAATGAGGTTACTGAAGAAAAGACAAATGAAAAGGAAGCAGGAGAAGACGCATGGGTTAAGAGTGATAGAGATTATGCTTATGACGAGGTAAAGATAAATATTTAATACATACATATATATATATAATACTGAATTTATTTGATATAAGCTTCTTGATCGTGTATTCAATATTTTGAGACAAAATAACCCAGAATTAGCCGGTGAAAAGAAAAAATATACAATCGTTCCTCCTTCTATTCATCGTGAAGGTAACAAAAAGACAATTTTTGCCAATATTGCTGAGATCAGTAAACGTCTTCATCGTCCTGCCGATCACGTCATTCAATTCTTGTTTGCCGAATTGGGTACAACTGGTTCCATTGATGGTGCTCAACGTTTAATCATTAAGGGTCGTTTCCAACAAAAGCAAATTGAAAATGTTTTACGTCGTTATATTGTTGAATATGTTACATGTAAGACATGTAAGTCTCCTAATACAATCATGACCAAAGATAACAGATTGTATTTTGTTACTTGTGAACACTGTGGTTCTAGTCGTACTGTATCTGCCATTAAGACAGGTTTCAAAGCACAGACTAAAGAAGATAGACGTGCTCAAAGAGCATAAAAATATGATAAATAAAATACACGGATTTTTTTTTTTTATTTTTATTAATAATTCAGAGATATTTTTTAGTCAATGATCACTTCTCTTGCTTTTGTTTTCTTTTTCTTTTTAATGGATTTCACTTTAGGTATTGAATCCATTGTTGATAATGAAGTAGAAGATGGTTTTGCTGCGATGGTTTGATCTTTTTCTTGTTCTATTTTACGAATCTGATCAGTCTCAGAAAGATATTTGAGTTTTATTGATTTTAGTTTATTAGCTCGTTCTTTTAATTGTTGAGATCTTCCTGATAACATGGACATGGCTGCTTTTAAGGAACGTAATTTTGTATTATAAGTTGCTACTTGATCCATCTAAAATTACTTGGTTAATAATTTTTGAAAGGGTTATATTATATACGATGGGTTTTTTTTTCTTTTTTCATACATTAGCTTTAATATCATTAAATTCTTCTTGTAATGCTGAATTAGCATTTAACATGGAAATAGATTCAACCAGTTCATTTTGTGCTTTACTAAAAGAAAAAAAAATTAGAATGATGCTAGTAATTAATTATTCATTTATATACTTTATTTCATTTAATTGAAGTTGTAATTTATTAACGATTAGCGCAATATCTGTTGAATACACGTCTGTAATATCTGTCATATTTAAAATAAATAACAAGAAAAATAAGAAAAATAAAATAATAAAAAATAAAATAAAATAAATGAAAACTGCATTAAAATTGATATCTTTTATTTTATTTTTTTTTTGTCTAATCATTTATTGATTTACTTATATTTTTCGGTGAAAATGTTTAAACACACAACTCAAGCTAATCCAACTTTGATCAATTGTCAAACAAAACAAAAAGAAATAGCTCATCAGCAAATGCAAAAAACACATTGTCATGACACTAACAAACGTCATCAGAAGCATGAACAAATAGAAATTACTAAACAAGATAAAGAAAACAACGAAAGGCTACTAACAGAGAAAAATGCATTAAAATATCGATAATCCTCGTTAGAATACTATTTGTTTTATTTAGATGCCTCCTTCAAACAAAGATGATCTAAAACAAGAAGCAGGCAAATTTTAAACAAAAACTACGATGCTTACTAAAAAAAAAATAAAAATAAAAAAATAAAAAATCTCCGGAAGAAACCTTTATGCTTTTTTTATAATAAATTTCCTTTTTTATTTATTTCCTGTTTTCTCTCCTTTTTATTTATTTTAATTTTTTTTTTTTTTTTTTTTTTTTTTTCACTACAAGTTGATGGAATATTAATATGAGGTTTAAAAATAAATTATGGCTTCTTTTTAGTTTAGTCATGGTTACTACTGCAGCTAAGTTTACACCTTCTGATTTGATTCAATTACCAAGACCTTCTGCGTCAGTTATTTCACCTAATGGTACGTTGGCTGTTTATGCTCAATCAGTCTATGATATTTCAGAAGCAAAGGTGAATAAATAATATAAATTTTTTTTTATTCTAGTATAAACTGACTCCCATTTTTTAATAGTCTACTCGTCATCTTTATCTCTTGAATGTCGAGGATAATACGATTGAAGAATTGACCAAACCTTCTTTTGACACTTCAGATAGTGAACCCTTCTTTTTAGATGATAGTCATATCGCTTATTTTCATCATAACGATGAAGAAGTGGATCAACTCTACGTTTTAAATTTGGATAATAGACAAGAACCCTCTTATCGTCTTACTAATTTTCCTATCTCCTTTGGGAATGTGAAATATAATGTGAAGCATCAGCTTTTGGCGTTTTCTGCTTCTGTTTATAATGACGAAGGTACTCTAGAGGGTACTTTTGAAAAGGATAAACAGTTGAAAGAAACCAAAAAGGATACAGCTTTAGTCTTTGATGAGCTTATGGTTAGGTAAAAATATATATAATTATCTATATGGTAATTAATAGGCATATGAACATTTTTATATATATATATAAATATACATATTAGACATTGGGATGATTACGTAAAAGAAAAGAAAAATAATATTTTTGTTGTTCACCTTGAGGTCATTGAGGATAAATACCAACTTAAGGATAAACCTGTCAATTTGTTAAGAAAGACTGGATTAGAATCTCCTGGTTTCCCCTTGGGAGATGCTAGTGATTTTGATATATCACCAGATGCTTCTCAATTGGCCTTTGTTGCTAAAATCAATACCAAAGATAATGCTTGGCAAACATCGGCCCACATTTATACTGTCTCTACGTCCGGATTAGATGAACCTGTCGCTATCAATAAAGATATTCCTGCTGCGTCATCCAATCCTCATTATACATCATCGAATCTTTTGGTTTATTTCCAAATGTTGACTCCCCAATATGAAGCTGATCGTAATCGTATTGTGATCTATGATCCTGAAACTAAAAGTCGAAAAGTCATCGCTAAAGACTGGGACAGTAGTCCCCATGAGGTCACTTCCTCTCTTGATTCCAAGACCTTGTATCTCACGGCTGAACAAGAGGGACGAAACAAGATCTTTGCTATTGATATAGAGACAGAATCGATTGAGACCTTAACAAACGACAAATATGCAACTAAGCTTCAGGTTTTACCTTCAGGAAATATCTTTTACAGTCTTAGTTCTGTGAAGCATCCTGTATTACCTCATCTATTGGATATTTCAACAAAGGAAGTCAAGAGGTTCAATGCTGAACCTAATCTCCTTGAAAAGCTTAAATCCATTGATTTTTCTGAGCCTGAAGAATTTAGATTTACTGGAGCCTTGAACGAACAAGTTCATGGCTGGCATCTTAAACCTGCTCAATTTGAAGAAGGTAAAAAGTATCCTGTTGCCTTTTTGATTCATGGTGGACCTCAAGGTGCTTGGAATGATAATTGGTAAGATACGAAAAATAAAAAAAAAAAAGGAGTGAGGGAGAGAGAGAGAAGTCAAGTGATTTTTTCATGTACATTTACCTTTTTTTTTTATTTTTGGTTCATGTTCATTCTAGGTCAACACGTTGGAATCCTCAAGTATTTGCAGGAGCAGGCTATGGTGTAATTGCTATCAATTTCCATGGTTCAACTGGTTATGGTCAAGCATTCACTGACTCTATTGGCAATCATTGGGGATCTTATCCATACTATGATCTTGAGACAGGTCTTGATTATGTGTTGAAAAAGTATTCTTATCTTGATGCTGAACGTGTTGCTGGTTTAGGTGCTTCTTATGGTGGATACATGATTAATTGGCTTAATGGACATAGTGATAAATTTAAAGCATTTGTAAATCATGATGGTGTTTTCTCTACAACTCAAGTTTATTTTACAACAGGTATATTATACTATTTGTTGATATTATATATATATATATATATATGTGTGTGTGTGTGTATGTTTGTAGAATTAACTTCTTTATATATATATATATATATATATATATGTCTCTATTAATATCATAGATGAGATTTATTTCCCTGAAAAAGAAGTAAGTTTAACAGACATAAATATATTATTATATTAGAAATGTTAATAATATGATATAGTATGCTGGAAATCCTATTGATCCCAAAGGAAGAAACAATTATGAAAAGTATTCTCCTGCCAATTTTGTTCAACATTGGAAGACACCTACGTTAGTCATTCACGGAGGACGTGATTTCAGATTAACTTTTGGTGAATCATTATCCACTTTTACTGCACTTCAAAGACAAGGTATTCCCTCCCGACTTGTCTATTTCCCAGATGAAAATCATTGGGTTTTGAAGCCTGCCAATTCTCTAAGATGGCATAAAGAAGGTAAAATCTATAAATATAAAAGTGTGTGTGTGTGTGTTCTCTATGACGAATAATGTATACTAATAAGTTTTATATTCTTAGTTCTTGAATGGATCAATACATATACAACAGTTAAAAATGAGTCTCAAGTAATGACTCCTACCTTTCACTTGCAAGAATAATGAATTACAACTAATAAACAAATTAATAAAAATAATAAAATAATTCGATTATTGACTAATAAAAGTGAGTCAATAAGGTGTAGACAAAAGAGACATACTTGTACCATAAAATAATATACCTGATACCACTTTGTAATAATAAATAGAATAGTAATACACTTTATTTAGTTCAATAAGGAGATGATTAGCTAATAATTTTAAATCCATATATGGAAATAAACTCCCTTCTTCATTTTTTTTTTTTTTTTTTCATTTTCTTTATTCCAATAATAAAATGTTCAATCTTTTACGTTCTTATGTATCAGAAAATCGAAAAAGATATATTGATGAAAAAGTAAACTTGGACTTGAGTTGTCTGTATAAGCATCTGCATATGCCATGTAAAATAACTAAATGTGAAAGTTTGTAATAGACATTACGGATAGAATCATTGCAATGTCTTATCCATCTGAAGGATTAGAAGGTTTTTATCGTAATTCTTTTATTCAGATTAAAAAGTAAGAAATACTTTATACATTTGTTGTTGTTTTTTCTCTTGCTTGTCACTAATTATAATGGACAAGACAGATTTTTAGACAATAAACATGCAAGACATTACAAAGTATATAACTTGTAAACGAAATATATATGCATCTATATATATATATATATGTTCATGTTCATAATACCTATAATAACAGACGTTGTGAAAAACAATATGATTTGTCAAGATTTGAATATGGTACATCTTATTATAATACGAGTTATACAATACTTTTTTTTTTTTTTTTAATCATAAAGAAAGCTGCTAGTTATCCATTTCTTGATCATCAAGCCCCACCATTTTCTATACTTGTAGAATTTTGTATAGATGCTTCTCAGTGGTTAGAAAAAGATAAAGATAATGTTGTAGCTATTCATTGTAAAGCTGGAAAGGGAAGAACAGGTACTGTCATCAGTGCATTATTATTACATTTACATTTAGCAAGTAATGCAAAAGAAGCCATTGAATTATATGGTAAACAAAGGACACATAATTTAAAAGTAAGCAAGTCAATGTATTATTTTTTCATATACATGAATAGATGACAAGAAAATAATAGGGTGTTACTATTCCAAGTCAAATTCGATATGTACACTATTATGATTTCATGTTGAAAAATGTTCAATTATATGAATCAAACAAGAATACAAGTTTAATAATTACACAAATCGTTATTCATGAATTGCCTGAAAGCTTAGAAAACAATAAGGAATTTGAATTAAAGATCTTTGGAAAGGATGAAAGTTGTATTTATCAAACAAAATCAACCAAAGTAAGTAATCAATACAACAACTAAAGTAAAAAAGAAGTTTTTTTTTTTTTTTTTTTTTTTTTTTTTTTTTTTTTGTTTTCCTAATTATATACAAGTGCAATATGAATCGTACCTTGGACAACATTTTAATTGAAATGGAAACACCATTTTTGATTGGCGACTATAAAATATCGTTTGTAAATGTATGCATATATAAACATTATTCACTATTTTATCTTGATTCTTATCCTTTATATACAAATAGTCAAAAGGCAAGGATATTTTTTATTTTTGGTTTAATACAGCCTTTGTATTCATCATGAATCATAATGTGCTTCATTTAAAAAAACAAGATTTAGACTTGGCTTTCCGAGATGAAGAATTTCATGAAAATTTTTCTGTTGGGATTACATTTATTAAAGCTTAAATAGCTTTTGCTTATTTATTGTTTCAGAAGAATTTATAACTTATTTTGCGGGGCAACAAGTGAATAAAAAAGAAGAAAATGGGTGCGAAAATCTATTCGTCAGCATAAATTATTTTCAATTTTATTCAAGTATCACTCAATAAAGTTTTTTTTTTTCTTTTTCTTTTAATTTTTTATCAAAAAAAAAAAATGCCAGTTGAAGGATTTAAAGTAGACGTTGAAAAAGCTGTTGGACATCAATTTGATAGTGAGCCTGTTATATGCAATAGAAGAGATTTTATTTTATATGCACTCGGTGTTGGCGTAAAGGAAGATGAGTTAAAATATCTTTACGAATTAGGTACATAATAAGTCTGGTTTGATAATCATCATTCAGGAGAGATTTATATCTTTATTTTTTATTTTAGATCAACATTTTACACCTTTACCTACTTATCCTTTAGTCCTTACACTGAAGGGTAATGATTTTAATGTAAATCTTTTTAAAGACCGTGCTCAAGGTAAAGGTTCTCTTCCCGGTATGCCTTATTATGATCCTAATAAAATTGTTCATGGTGAGCAATCTTTAAATATCTTTCATCCTTTCCCTGTCGATGGTGGTCAATTTATGGCTAAAAAGACATGTACTGGTGTCTATGATAAAGGTCAGTTTTTTTTCTTATTTAGTTAACAAATAAAGTCATTATTGAAATGAGCATCTATATAGGTTCTGGTATGGTTATTGAAATGACTGTTGACATTTACGATGAACAAGAAAAAGTGAAATATTGTAGTATGGTATCAAAATCATTTGTTCGCGGATATGGTGGCTGGAATGTAAGACATTTGAATATAGTAAAAATGTATACATGGCTATTTACATATTTATATAATTAATTATTCTTTTTTTTTTTTTTTTTTTTTTTTTGTTCATGCTTGAAGGGTCCTAAAGGACCTAAGGCAGTCTCTTATTTGCCTCCAAAGCGTAACCCGGATGCAATTGAAGTATTTACTACTACATTAAATCAAGCTCTTATTTATCGTCTTTCTGGTGATTATAACCCACTTCATGCAGATACTTCTTTAGCTCCTAAGATTGGTTTCCCTAAACCTATTCTTCATGGTCTCTGCACTTATGGTGCATGTGGACACGCTATCATAAAAGCTTTAGCTAATAATGATCCTTCAAGATTTAAATCAATTGAAGCACGTTTTGCTTCTCCTGTCTTTCCTGGAGAAACAATTGAAATCTATATGTGGAAAGTGGATAGTCAAGATCATCCAAAGACAGAGGAAGGTGTGATCTTTATTGCGAAAGTGAAAGAAAGAGACATAGTAGTTATCAATAATGGCTATGCTGTACTTTATAAAAAGTCCAGTGAATCTAAACTTTAACTCTTTTTATTATGAGGAGTAGGAAATTCAAGTCTTCTATGAAGACCATACGTGATATCAATATAATCCGGTTCATCATCAGGAGTAATAAAAGAATGTCGCATCATGAAATCAATTGCCACTAATGCACAATTAGGTTTCCATTCATTATTTAAAATCGTTTCTTTTACTTTTTCTAATGGCCAAAGATAAAAACATTCTGCTTCCCCATCACGAGGAGTAGGTGTAAAGTCTTTTGGCATTTCCAAGTCAAATATGTATTGAGTCTCTGGCTGTAATCCACCAGATGTATATGTATAATATGTAATTGTATTTACACTACGAGCCTTTGTAAATACAATATTTAAATTAGTCTTAAAATATCCATATTCTATGTGTGTGTATAATGCAGTAAAAGAAAGGGGTGAGAGATTTTTTTTTTTTACCTACCTTTGACGCAATTTCAATAGGTATACTTGCTTCTTCGTCACATTCTTTAATAATGGTATCTTTCACAGAATAATTATATGAAATACCACCAGCCACCTACAACATTATTATTATTATTATAAATGATACATATTTACAATTTATGAATCATTTACACAATTGTCTAATAAATTAGGCCATGTTTGCTTTGTTTTTGATCGTTTAGCAACCCACATTAAAATTTGACCCTCCTCTGTCTTGGTGTATGCATTGAGATGAACACCAAAGGTAAGGATACCAAATAAAGGTGACGCAGCACGTTCCATCACAAAGGCAATATTATCAGGTTGACTTTCATCCCCATATACAGGATAAAGCTCATTCCTCCATCCTGTTAAAATATCAAATGTCTTTTGGGCTCTCCAAGAATCCATCAACTCCTTGACGACCATCGTTCGTAATTCAGATGTATTGACCCATTGACTAAATTGAATGACATTAGGACGAATGTCAAAAGGTTTTCTTGATTGTTTATCGTTGTATTCATTTAATGCAGGTAAAACATGAGGTAAAATGTGACCTATGGTGTAAGAGCCGAGAATGAAAGGAACAGCGTGATGCAATTCATTATTTGAGGTAGGATCAATCGTATATGGGAATTTATCACAATATTTGACTGCATCTAATAAAGATTTAAAAGCTGTCATTTTTTTTTTATTTTTTTCAATAAAAAAAAAAAGAGAGTTGAAATTAGTATTAATTAATGTCTTCATATATATAAAATAATAAGCTTCACTTTTGATTGTTCTTGTTGTACCTGTATTTTGAGTGCTACGACTAGACATAGTGTAGACTTCTAAATAAAGTATAGTTTAAGATGGCAGTGAATTGCGTTTGAAATTCAAGATTTTCAAAAAATAGAAATCAAGATTTTTTTGGCCAATCAAATTTTTTTCGCTCATTCAAATTTATTGTAATCATTCAACTTTTTTTGGTAACCATTCAATTTTCTGTTGCCTCTTTCAATTTCCCTGGAGATAGACTCAAGACTCAATAAAAAAAAAAAAATATGAATTAATGTTTATTGTTTTCAATTTTTATAAGTCGTTCATATCCAAAAAAAAAAAAAATAACTTTGTGAGTGGCGAACCCAACCCCTACAGTTTTTGACTGTAACTTTTTTTTTTGCCGCCTCTTCGATACAATCAGCCAACAGTTCTTTTTTTTTTTTTTTTTTTGGTTAACCAATGTAGTAAATATTATGTGCTTAGTAGAATTTTTTGCTAATTATATCATGTATGTATATGCAAACTTTAAACCTTTCTTTTCTTTGCTTTTCTTTAAATAGTTCTTCTTGGTAGCAATCACTCACTGCAACTTACTGAAAAAGAAAAGAAATGGCACAAATATTTCTGCTACCAAGCGTTACCCAATCCCCACTCTTATTAAAGTTAAAACTTCTTATAAAGACTTACAATATTGCAAATAATATCACTTTCAGATATATCTTCTCGATATTGTGAAGGCTTCCTTCATCTATTTCCATAAAAGACATTCGATAATTCTAGCCCATTCAATGGAAAGTAGTACATACGTACACAAAAAAAATATTGGATGTACACAATTATTAGAGTTTGTAGTATGTAAAAGATGTTATAGCAAACGGATTTATTCATGAATGTATATTTTCATTCAAGTAGTTTATGATATAATAGTGAAAACAGTATTTGTTCATCATAAGCAGCTGCTCTTTTATATTTTTTCATTATTGGTCCTCTTATAGTTGCTTGTCTAATACAACGTATTATTATCTTCTTTTTTTTTTACAATTTACATGTTAAAAGAAACAAGTATGACTGGAAATACTGGCTTCAATTTAAATAACTATGTATTTAACGCTTAACGATTGAAGCATTACTATAATGTGTGTATCTAAGTCGTCTTTTGAAGTGAATAATATGTGAATATTCCACCCTGTCAAATATTGAAATAAATACTATTCTAATTCCAATAAACAAATATACCACAAAATAACAATCAATTCTAGATAGAAATGGCTACTCTGAAGTGATTATCATGAAATATTATTTATTAAATGGTGAACTTTAACGTTGTAAGAATAAGTTTGTTCTAATAGAAAGTGTAACGATACACTATTATTAATGAAGATAAAATTCTTACATGACTAAGGCTAGAACTTGATTATCAGATTAAAATAATAACAATAATAATAAGATTGCTGTTTTTGATTTAGGTAAAAAAAAAAAGAAACCACAATGTTTGGAGGCCATGATTGAAACCGCTGGGGCTTCTAATGAGACTCCTCGGCATCATTTACGGAACCGTGATATGGCGGTAATCTTAAACTTCAGAGATATTCTTTTTAGGCTGAGTGAAGAAGGCAAAAGGCCCAAAGGACTTTATAGGGTGAAGATAATTCCCACCATCAACACCAATTGAAAGGAGAGCCTCATTAGCTAGTAGATGCTGGTCACCCAAAAAAAAAAAAAAGCAACAGATTCTGTATAGTTACCGCTGCATTAATTTTATATACAATATAATCTTTGAACAATAATATGATTTCGCCTTCAAATTTTTTAGCTCGTATTTACAGAAAAAAAAATTTGTATTGTATATTTTCTTTACTCACTTGCCTTAAGCATTTTGCGCGATCGTCTTATTTATTTTATAATGTGTTTAACTTATTTTTTTTTTTGCTGATCCTTATTCCTTTTTCCTTAATCAGCTTCCTCGGAAGAAACTAAAGTCCTTGCAATTAGCTTCTTCTTGGTTAATTTGTTAGCCAGCAATCTGTATCATTTTATATCTGCTTCATCCTCCTAGTATCAATTGATATAATGGCTGCCTTCATAGTAGACCAGTGTACTCATACTGTTTCTAGTTTTTTTTTTCTCCTGCCTTTTTTTCTCTTATTCCCAAGAGGTATCGATTACCTTGGAACTGACTATGACAATTCAATATAATAAAATTAATTGATATGCGCTCATTGGTCATTTTCATTTTATTTTATTTTTTTAATAAATATTAATTCTTTTAATTATAATAGGTGGTTTTCTTTTAATAATAATGTAATAGCTGCACTCTGTTCCTTTCTTTTTTCGTCTTTTACCCTTGTCCCCAAAAGGATTTTTTTTTTTTTAGTATCTTTTATTATTTGATATAATTAATGTTTTGTGCCCAATTTTGGGTTTTTTTTTGAAATTTAAATAAAAATCGTCCGGTCGTCAATTAAAAAAAATAAATATTTTCTGTCTCGACCCTTTCAAATAGTTCATGCAAATCTGATTGGTATTAACATTTTAGAATAGAAAAATAAATGTCAAAAATAGTTTGAGACATTTTTTTTTGTTTTACTTAAAAGATTTTTTTTTTTTTTTTTTTTTGGTTTCTTTTATTTTTTTTTTTCTTTTTCTTTTTTTTTTTTTTTTTTTTTTTTTCTTTATACATATTTAAATTGACATTCATTTTTATAAATTTAATTCTGAGATGCATTTAGGATTACTGTCACAAGAGCGTTTGACATTTGATCCAATTAAGCCGTTAATTCTTCGAGGACCACCTTCAGAAAATGCTTCTTCTGTATTTACAGGGACTGTTGTACTTTCTTTAGCTAAATCAACAAAAGTTAATTCAATTACAGTTACTTTTAAATCAACTGCTACTACTTATTGGCCAGAAGGTTTGTGTGTGTTCGTACAGAAACAAACACAAACAATCATTCATTGAAAAAAAAATTTTTTTTTGTTAGGAATTGGTGCACGTGGTACTCGATTGACACACGAAAAAGTCCTTAGTGAAGAAAGTGTACAGTTATTAGATACTAATAAGAATGACTTTATTAAATTACCAGCAGGTGTACATCGATTTTCTTTTGCATTTATTGTACCTAATGTAAGTACAATGGAATAGATAATTTCTTTTTTTTTCTTTTTTCTTTCTTCCTCCTTACCCCTTCCTTCGCTTTACTTAGTCTATTGTTGAAACAATTGAAGATGTATATGGTAGAGTTAGGCATACAGTAGATGCAAGAGTAGTTGGACCTGGTATTCAAATATTAAATAATTGGCATATTTCAAAGCCTGTCCTTGTATTACGAGCTTATATGTCTGACTCATTATTAACAAATAATTCATTACAAGATTTATCTCGTACCTATGAAAAGCATTTACCGGCTGCTGATGTACAACTCGTAGTTGAAAGAGCTGCATTTTCTTCAGGTGATCTCTTTTTCTTGAGACTCATTCTTCAACCACAACGCAAGAAAGTTCGTTTAGAACATATGGAATTAACAGTAACAGAAAATCGACGTTATAATGTAGCAGAGGTACGGGCTAATCGTACTGACACTGAACACTTTCCATTACCATTTTTAGCATCAACTAAATTAGCTGAAGGTGAAGAGATGGATACAAAAAATGAAAGTGATGATTTAAGATCTGTATTTACAAAGCATGGAAAAGGAATTGATTTAACAGATACAATAGCTTATCGAATTACATTTGCTACACCTACATGTATGAGAAATATTCATCATACTACTTATTACAAAGATATTTTATTTAGACATCATCTTAATATTACAATGACAATATCATTCGTAGACGATCACTTAACTTCAATAAGTTCAAATAATAGCAGTAATAGTAGTATTAGTGAAGAATCTTCAAATACAACTGTTACTCCTGCTTTACCTACTACAATTGAACAGCAAGCTGCTGAAGCTATGTTTGCCTTACCTCCACCACCACCTGCTGCATTATCTCTTCAATCGACTAACACAAATACACACATTAGACAAGCTATTCAACTTAATAATCCTACACCTATTATCTATCCACATAATCCTTACAATAATATTAATTCTAATACACAACATTTATCTCAATCAACTTGGCTATCTAAGCTTCGAAAGCCTGTCCATTCAAAAGAAGGAGGTACTCATGTCATTCGTAAACGAGAAACAATTCGTTTAGAAACTCCTGTTACCATTTTTGATTGTCGACTCAAAGAAGATTATGGTCGCTTACCTTCTTATTCAGAACTTAATGTCACTGCTCATCCAACTCATGGCGATGATAAAACTAAAATGGCTGATATGTTGGAACAAGATCTCATGTTACAATGTATGCCTAATTCTGATCAACAAATACCTTCTAATGAACCACAGCCTCAATTATGCCCTTGTTATTTTAAGTTTCGTCGTCAAATGGAAATGGCTTCTCAGGCACAATTGTTAGCGGCTAATAATGATAGTACATATGCTTTAGAGAGGATACCGTCTATTCCACCACCTGATTATGTCGAAACTGCTAATTAAACCCAAAACAAAGAGAAAAAAAAAAAGAGAAAAATACCCTATAATTCCGATTACTATTATTTTATTTAAATTTGTATTTTTTTTTTAAGAAAAAGAAAAGGAGCTCTTAATATTGTAATTTTACATTAATTGAAATAAATAATGCATGTATTTTAATTTTACTTACAACGTAAAGACATATATGCGTTCTAATGTTACTATTTTTTTTTTCATTGCAGATCTTCTAAACTAAGTTTTTTATTTGATAATGTGCTGCCTTTACTAGTAGGAATAGACAAGTTATTATCTCCTACAATAGACTTGCATTGTTTGAAACTCGCAGCAGCATCATGCACTATTTTTTTAATGAATAAATAGAGTAAAATCATTTTCATATACCGATATTTTCTTATTAAAGGTAATTACTACACATTTGAAAGTTGAAATCAATATTACTACTTTTATAAAATTATTAGTTGACAATGTTGAAATAATCCTATTCATTTTCGTAATGAAGCAACCTATATTTTAGTATTTCAATGTACCAACACAGCTGTTTCTGTTTTAGTATAGTTTTCTCTTGTAAATTTATGTTTAATATTATGTCGAGGGCAAATGAATTTAAAGAGATTGAATACAGGTTACTGTTTTGTGCACATGATAAATTTAATTTCAGCACTAGTGTATTCAAGAAAATTTATCTCTCTCTCTCTCTCTCTCGCTCGCTTTTTACCTCTTTCTTTATTTTCTCTTCATAAAAAAAAAATGATAAAATTCCAGGTTAATAAATGGGCATTAACATCTATTACAACAGCCATAAACATTAAATATCCTATTATACAAGCACCATGTGCAGGTCATACAAGCGCAAAGTTAGTTGCCGCCGTAAGCAATGAAGGTGGGCTTGGTTCGTTAGGAGCAGGTATGATGCCACCATCACAATTACGAGAAACTATTCGAGCTATACGTCAACTTACCTCGAAACCTTTTGCTGTCAATCTATTTTGCCGAAATCTATACCCATCACTCACCTATAATGAGCTTCAAAGACATAATGATAATATGGACAACATCCTAAATGAGATTCGGTCAGAATTAAATATTCCTATCCCGACAGAGTATCAATTGAGATCACCGCCATTTGAAGAACAAATAAATGTGTTGATAGAAGAACGTGTACCAGTTGTCTCCTTCACATTTGGTTTTTTACCTGACCCTATTTTACAAAGATTTAGGAGTGTAAATACTTTTTTAATAGGCACAGCAACAACTCTTGAGGAAGCCTTTCTGTTGGCGGGTTTAAATGACTCAGGTCTTACACAACGAAAGGCAGATGCGATTATCGTTCAAGGATTAGAAGCAGGTGGTCATCGTGGATCCTTTTTAAATGACGGGAAACAACTACCAGTAGCTGATCTTGTAAAGGCCATCATTACTCAGTCCTCTCAGTTAACTAAGCGTTTCCCTATACCTATCCTCGCAGCTGGGGGTATTAGTTCAGGTGCTAACGTTTACACAGCATTGCATGATTGGAATTCAGATGGTGTCGTAATAGGAACCTTATTCATGATGGCAACTGAATCGATGACCTCTAAAGCTCATAAAGAATGTTTATTAGAAACTGAAAAAACGACAAAGATTTCAAATGCAATTACTGGTAAAAATGCGCGTGGTTATCCTAATGAACTTATGAAACGTCTTGAACAAGCTAAGGATATACCATCATATAATATACAATCTTCCAAGACAAGCGATATCCTTGCCTATGCCACTCAACATGGTATCAAAGATTACATGTTATTATTATCTGGTGCAAATGCTCCTAAAGCAGCCAAATATTCCGAGAATGGAACACTAACTGCAGCTGAAATAATGCATAAATTGGTATTGGATGTAAACAAAATGTATGTAAATAATGAATAAAAAAAAATTATTTTGTTAAATCTACATATAAAGACTTGAAATCATAATCATTTCCTCTTCTCTTTTTTGATATCGTTCGTATCATTATATATATATATATATATCCTTATAACTTTTTATAATGGAAAAAAAATACGTTTTAAAACAAATACCTCTTACAAGACTCTTTGTGCTCTGATAACAAACTTACCATTATTAGAAAAATGTTTTTTTTTTTTTTTTTTTTTTTTTTTTTTTTTTTTTTTTTTTTTTTTTTTTTTTTTTAGCTTTACAAGTCAATTCATTTTGCTTGTTTAGAAACAGCATTTTACAGTTTTAAAGATAGACAAAGAAAAACTTTGTGTCTTCTACATTATAAATCAAGGATACCAAGAGTGTGTACATTAAACTTAAAAGCAGTTTACTAAATAAATAAAGCCGGGTATAAATGTATTAGAAAATAATGTAAAGGTAATTTTATTATAAATGGCATAGACTTATTTATTGGAAGAAATCCCAGTTTAATTCTCTACTCCTTAAATAATATAATCCATAACTGTCGATATGAGATATTTTAATAAATTCTAGTAGTAACCTCCTTTTACTAGACTAACCTCTTATGTCATTAAATCCTCTCCTCTGCCTTCTTATACGTTTCTCTTTTGTGAAATAGATGCATTTCTTCGTAGTTTAGTACGACTTAATTGTAGAACACTATAAATATAACCTATAACAGTTACTTATTACAATACAATGCTTACAGATGTAGGTGATTAAAGTAATTAATGTCTTATTCTCCCTTCTTCTCAAAAGGCTATCGACTATGCTTCTTTATCATCAAAGCATTTTTGAGGTTTAGTCGTTGGCATTACTCTGCATGAGCTTAAATACTTGAAATACGCTCTAGTATTTGTCTTCACCATTTCCTTTCTTAGGAAGACTTTCTGAACATTTTCTTTCTTTAAAAGAAAAAAAAATGCTTCAATTAATAATGCATATATTATATGGCTTCCTTTTATAAAAAATAAAATAAAATAGAATAAAAAATGCTAAAACTGTAGACTGGATTTAAAACTATAAATTAGTAGCACAACATGGAAGCAATCATTTATAAACGATCAGCACTAAACATATTACACTTGTTCTCCCTTGTACAACTAATTTGGCCCCTCAAAATTTTTATTTTTCTTTTCTTTTCTTTTCTTTTTTCTTTTCTTCTTCTTCTTCTCATTCATATACATCATGATTAGAATTCAACGATTTCTATATTATATTCTAATCTTGGTGTTTTTCGTATTCATTTCAATAACTTTATTAACTCATCTCAAAACACCATCACCTGATTTCAAAGATGAACATTTTAAAACAACAAAAAAAGTAAATCCTAATGAAGAGAAATATTTATCATGGTTCCCACATAGGTAATTTATATATTTAATAGAATAACTGGAGGAAACCACTCTTTTTTTTTTCTTTTTTTTTTTCGATCCCATTATTAATAAGTATATTACAGTGATTTTCCTGAACAGCAAGAATCCTTTAGAAATGCACTCCGACTTGCTTTAGAAACAAAACGTACAATTATTGCACCTATGCTTCGAATTAATAAGATTTATCCTTGGATGCCATTCGAAGATCTTGCTAAACGTTATGAAGCACAAGAAAAATCCACACTAAAAAAGGCATGCGATAATAATCAACCTACTTGGCAAACAGCGTTAGAACCTTGTGAGACAATAAATGATTGGATTGAAATACCTTGGTCCAGTATTATGGATTTAGAGATTATTAAAAGAGAATATGGTATTCGAATTATTGAACGTACAAATGGACATGGTTGGGGCGTTCATGAGTCAGCTTTAGAGAGTCATATCGACCCTGAAGATGTAGCTATCATTGATGTCATGTCATTTAAAGAAAATGGCACAGACTGGGAACATATCGATCCTACTGAAGAAGCATTAAAGCTTTCAAAGCAATCAACACTAACTCGTTTTACAAATTGGATTCAATCTCATTTTACCCCGCCAGCTAATGAAAAATTGTCTCAGCCCCTAAAATTTGTGCTGAGTGTCGATCGCTTACATGCAATTGATGCAAAAATTATTCAATTTGGCGCCTTGAATTCAGCTGCGCGTTATGAGACCACTCAAAATGAAATTCAATCAGACCTTCGAAAGGCATTGATGAAGTCACGCTTTATCGTTCCTGATCAAATGGCTCAACTGACTGCCCAATCTTCCAAGATCATTGAGGTCTTGGGTGGCCGTTTTCAATTTAGCACATTAATTCTTAATTTATCCAAACTAGTAGCAATGGATGCACGTGCTGGCACTATCCAAAATATGGCTGTCGATTCAAACCAAATCGATAATCGACCTCCTCCTGGCATGGAAGATTTAAATGAAAAGTCAAGATGGGATTTGATGGAGGCTGTCGTACTCGAACTCTTTGGTGACATACCTATTAATCAAGCCGTTTCCGCTGCTATGCCAATTAAGCCATCCTCAACATTAGCCGCACTTTTAAACTCCGGTTTCTCCACAACAAATCGTACCTCACCTCAAGATCGATTCCAGTTGTTAGAAGCATGTGTTGACTATCATCGACATGTTGAAGAACGTTATCCTGTATATTATCTCATTAACGACATGCAGATTGCAGCAGAAACACGACCTGATATTTTTGGGCCTCTTTTAGAGATGTTCCCTTGTATCTTTTCTAAAGCTGACATGATAAGCTGGGGGATTCAAACAGATTCCTATTTATCTGGTCAACCTGGTTTAATAGACACACATATTAATTATGAGCAACTATTTCAACCTCTTCTTGACATTTTGATTGCACAAAAAGGTAACCAAAAAAAAAAAGTAAAAAAAAAAAAAGGGTTTTGCTGTATTTAGTAATTTAATTTTTATGTCATTTTTTGTTGCAGGCTATTCATTTTTTGAAATTCCAACCACACCTTTAACTCGATTTCTCAATTGGAGTCCAAAAGAATAAAAATAGAACGGTTTTTTCTTTTCTAAAAAAAAAAATAAAATTTATATGAAAGAGAAGTAATATCATCAAATGATGTAATGATTGAGTCAGTTAGAAAAAAAAAAGATTTTATAATAAGACAAAGTCAATAACTTTTGTATTTTCCCTTTATCTCTCTCTCTTTTTTTTTTCTTCTTAAAAGAATACATTTATATATCTATTTCTCATACATGTATCGATTACCTATCCTCAAGACAAACACACAAGCCATGTTGATTCGTCGTCAACAATTGGCTATTCGAAACAATGCTAGATTAATGTCCAGTACACATCAAGAAGAACAACGCCGTGGGATAAATAAAGGTGCAATTGCTGCTATGTTTTTAACTGCTGCTGGTATTGCTGTATATTATCAACGTACAAAAGACGAAAAAAGCAGTAAGTGATCATATATATGTATATATGTATATTTGAATTGATTGATTAATAATTCATGTTTATTTATTTATTTATTTTGATAGAGCTATATCAAAATGATGATCCTTATGAAAAGACAAAAAAGGATGTGTCACAAATGGGACATGATGCAGCAAAGGAGGCTAACAAAGTCGGACAACAAGTGAAAGATTCTGCTGAATCTGCTGGTCAAGCCACAAAGGATGCCTACAATCAAGTCAAGTCCTCTGTCCAAAGAGAAGGCAAGGACGCTGTAGAGAACGCGAAGGATAGTGTAGATAAATTCCGCTCTGAACATCATCTGAAGGAAGGTGATCGTTCACCTGAAAGTATTGTATCTGACAAGTATAATCAAACGAAGGAAACGATCACTGATGATATTAAAAAATCCAAGGACTACTTTGCTAATTACAAACATCGAGAGAGTCCTAATAGTCAAGATAAAAACCCCATGGTTCATGAAAAGGTCTCCTCGGATGCTACTAAAACACCTCGTGAAAGACAATTAGAATCTTATGCTGAAAATAAAGTAGGCGATACCTCTACTCTCGTCAATAAGGACACTAACAAGGTTTCCTCTGTCTGGAAGGATAAAGACAATCAAGAAAAGTCCGGCAGTCGTAATAGCCCCGTTACTGTTGAACATGAACCCGCCAACAACGACAACAACAAGAAGAAGGGCTTTTGGAATAGTATCTTTGGAGGAAGTGGCTCGTCCTCTTCAGCTGCTTCAGCTGAGGCCCATGATAAATCCCATCAAGCCCCTATTCCTGCTACACCCGTAGATACCTCCTCCAAGAAGGATTTTCAAAAGGGTTCCTCCGCTGATGGTAACCCGATGGTGAACGAAAAGCGCTCAAGAGATAGAACCAAGTCTAATCAAGAATATCATATGGAGGCTTACGCAAATGACCATGTTCATGATACCAGTACCCTTGTTGGTAAAGACACTGAAAAAGTGAAAGGTACTTGGGAAGATAAGGCAAGTCGTGATCAAGGTTCTCAAGAACCCTCTACTTCTAGATCATCTCTTACATCCTCCTCTTGGTCTAATCTCGTCAATCAAGCTAGTGAAAAACTTCATGAAGTAGAAGAAAAAGTGGAAAACTACATTGAAGATGATGGCAAAAAGGTGGCTTCCATGTGGGAAGGTGTTAAGAATAAAGTCGGACTCTCTGCAAAGGAGAGTTATCAAGATGCAAAGTCAAAGGCCAGTCAAGTTGGAAAGGAGGCTAATGATACCTTAAAGGATGTATCTAATAAGGCAAGTCATGAATCAGGTCGTCTTGAAGAAGGGTGGGAAAACGTTAAATCACAAGCGAAGGAAGAGGCTGATTCGATCTATAGAACTGCCTCAGATGTTGTCTCCTCCACTTCGAGTAAGTTTAAGGAAGGAGCTGATCAAACACGTCGTGATAGCTCTAAACTTATGCAAGATCAAATGGATCGTGCTAGTGGTGTATTGAATGAAACAGAAAGGGAGGCTAACAAGTTAAAGTCAGATACTGAAAAAACTGCAAAGAGTTGGTATGCAAAAGGTACAGAACAAGCGAAGGACAGCTATGATTCTATTAAGGATACAGTCGATAAGGATATCCAATGGACTCGTCAAAAGGTTCAGGAAGGTTTAAATAATACAAAAGAAGAAGTGAGTCACTTGTTAAGTACTCAACCAAAGGAATCGGACTTGGCTGGTCATATTAAGCGTGGTGAAAAGTTTGCTGAAGAGGAAGAAGGTCAATTGAGATCTACGCGTAATAATGTTGATAAGAAACCTGCTAAGGTCGTTGTTGAACATGCTGATGGCAAGGATATGTAAACAAATTTTGTTACAAAAAAAAAAAAAAAAAAAAAAAAAAAAAAAAAAAAAGAGGGGGATGAAGTAATTTTTCTTCTTTCCTTTTTTTTTTTTTGTAATAATATCTTCTTCATATTTACTGTTATATTATTATGGTTATTTGTTATTTATTTATCTATGTAAATATTAAAAAAAAATAAAATAAAATAAAATTGATTCTATTCAAAGTGTTATATTTTTTGTTTTTTATTCTGCTCAGGTATTCATATCTTGTGAGTAAGCTTTTTTCATGGTAAAAACGAGACAATGTTTGAATTTTTTTATTTTTATTTTACACGGTATATTTATGCAATAAACAAATTCAATGTTAGTTCAATTTCGATAGAATGTTTTCTGTATTTTTTTTTGAGTGCTTTCTATTGTCAGCGATGATGATGGCTAATATGTTACTACTTATGGTAAAGCAAATACTTAAAAAAAAAAAAATATGGCAACCGTCTGTCATTGATTATGTAAAAGTAAACAAAAGCTGAATTTCAATCTGATAGAAAGCGGAAGATGTTTTCCTTTTGACAGATACCCCTGGGGTTTTTCTTTTTTCCTTTTCTTTACCTCCTTTATTTTTTATACCCTATTATCATAACGATTCTTTAATACATTTCTCATTTAAAATGACATCACGATTATTTAGAATTGCAATGTTAGCTAATAGAGCAACATGTCTACGACCTCCATTTCAATCATCGTCAAAGGCAGCTATAACTTGTCAATTACGTAAAATAAATTCAACATCAATTATGCGAGAGCAATATTTGCATGGATACAAAGATAACGAAAGATATCACGGTAATCATATATACAAAAAAAAAAGTATGATTATATTGAATGAAGGAAAGTACTAAGTATTAGTAATAAAGGTGAATATCCTGGTCGTACTCACTATTGTGGCGAGTTACGTGCTTCACATGAAGGAGAAAAAGTTGTTTTGTGTGGTTGGGCACAATCTTCTAGGTATATTCTATAAGTTGAAAAAAAAAAGACATACACATACATATATACACACACAGAATTGGTTATTTATTAAAATATGGATGTTCTAGAGATTTGGCTCAAGATTTGATTTTTTTACCTTTAAGAGATCATTCAGGTATTACACAGCTTGTCTATCGAAATTCTAAAGATGAAAAACTTCGAAAACAAATTCAGCTTTTATCACCAGAAAGTATAGTGTGTGTAGAAGGCATTGTGCGAAAGAGACCCGAAGGCATGTCAAATCAGAAACAAGCGACAGGTGATATTGAAGTAGAAATTACAAAGTTGTATTGTTTAAATCCTGCTTCACCTTCACTCCCTTTTTGGCCCAATCAGGCACAACTGGTAAGTTGAAGTAAATATTCATAGCAAATATATATATATATATATATATATATTAATAAGAAATACAGCCGAATGAAGAGGTTAGACTTCGATATCGTTATTTGGATCTTCGTAGAAATGTACTTCAACATAATCTTCGTCTTAGATCGTTAACAGCTAATACAGTACGAGATTATTTGATCAAAAATGGATTTACAGAGATCGAAACTCCTACTTTATTTAAATCAACACCTGAAGGTGCTCGTGAATATATTGTGCCTACAAGAAAGAAAGGCGCCTTTTATGCTTTATCACAGAGCCCACAACAAGTAAATAGAGAGAGAGAGAGAAAAGAGATTTTTTGAATTACTTATTGATATATTACTTTCTTCCTTTTATTTTTTAGCATAAACAAATGCTAATGGCAGCTGGATTCGATCGTTATTTTCAAATTGCCCGTTGTTTCAGAGATGAAGATTTAAGAGCAGATCGACAGCCTGAATTTACACAGATTGATTTGGAAATGTCATTTATCAAAATAAAGGATATTCAAGAAATTATTGAAGGAATGGTAACCGCTGTCTGGGACAAAGCATTGAATGTCAAACTGACAAAAGAAGATTTTCCACACATAACTTATAAGCAAGCCATGTCTCAGGTAAATACATTTTTATATATCCCTTTATATATATATATAAAAATATATATTTAATCATCTTTTGTTAGTATGGTTCTGATAAACCCGATCTTCGATTTGACATGAAAATTAACGATATTGGGGCATATTTTAAAGATGTTGTAGGAGATAATTCGATTGATTGTATGGTGGTGAAAAAAGGATCTTCTATCACTGGTGGTGAATTGAAAACAATGCAAAAAACACTCGAACTTGCTAATGATTTTGCATTTGTAAAGATCAATGAGAACAATCGTTTGTCATGGTCATCCAAATGTCTTACCTTACGTCATTCTCAATCCGTGGGACATATTGAAGAACAATTAAACAAGTCTCTTCATATTGAACAAGATGATTTAGTGCTAGTTCATAAACGACCCAAATACATTTATGGTGGTAATACAACTATGGGTCGTATTCGTGTTCATGTATCAAACTTAATGCAAGAAAAGGGTCTTTTAAGATTAGATGATAAAGAGAAATACAAGTTTTTATGGGTTGAATCTTTCCCATTGTTTACACCAGATGAACAAGGTATTCGTAAATGGCAATCCACACATCATCCTTTTACGGCACCTTATGATGAAGATATCCCCCTGTTAGCGACTGCTCCTGAAAAAGTAAGAGGACAACACTATGATTTAGTTTTAAATGGTATGGAAATTGGCGGAGGATCGATCCGTATTCATTCACCTGTCATGCAGACGTTTATTCTCGAAAAGGTGTTACAACTGGAAAAATATGAATATGAACGATTTGATCACTTAATTGATGCCTTAGGAGGCGGATGCCCCCCTCATGGTGGAATTGCTCTAGGCTTTGATAGAATGATGGCTATTTTATGTGATTCTACTTCTATTCGTGATGTTATTGCATTCCCAAAGGCTGCAGGTGGTAAAGATTTTGTTGTGAATAGTCCTTCGGGAATAACTGCGGCTCAATTAAACGAATATGGATTGCAATTAGCTAATGTTAATAGTCAAAATGATAACTGAAGATTGACCGTTTACGATACTACACTGTTGTAATTTTTTTTTCTTTGCGTATCATAGAATACCTTATTTGATTCAAATAAGAATATTTATATATGTGTATATATATTTGTATACATAAAGTTATAGATTTTTGTTTATATTTGTATTACTAAATTTTTTTTTTTTTTTTTTTTTTTTTTACTTGTATATAATAATCAGCCTAATGTAGTGTCATTTATAAACAGTAAATATAGTGCAAAGGTGCCATCATTTTGGCTGTTTTTATAATAGATAGAAAGCGTTTGAAAAAGGCCTTTCTTCTTTTTTAAGATTCTGTACTTGAGATTTTACCATCATATAATAAACAGAAAAAAAAAAATAAACAAAGATGGTCTATACTTATCTTAGCTCCTTACTTTTATTTTAACTGCATGTGTTTATGTTCGAATTTTTTTTTTTTTTTTTTTTTTTGTAATTTTAGTGATACGCTATGCAAGTATATTTAAATAAATACATGTATATAATATACATTCTGTAAACATGCATTTCTAGTGTATATTGAGTGCTATGCATATATTTATTTTCCAACTATCAGATGAATCAGATAAGAAACAGTACTAATTGAAAGTACATATATATATATATTAATTATATATATTGATATACTACCTAAAATAAATAATACAAATACAGGTGAATCAAATAAATTTATTTGATTTTATAATCCTACTGATTTAATGCTATAAGATTCATTAAGGGCAATTCAAGAAATAAAGGTAAAATAGAAATATTAAAAGTAGATTTTTTGATAAAGGAGGCAGTGTAGAGAATTATACTGAACTAATAAACTGATATTAAATCAAAAAAAAGAAGAACTTTCACACACACACACACACACACACACACTACTCCTCTATTGAAGAGCTTGTTATAGTTGACTAGAATAAATGGAGGATATCTAGTTGTTAACTACTTAACCCCTTAGTAGCTATCATAATTTCGTTTTATATCATCTCAATATTTGTTTGCATTTTTCAAATCTTATTTATGGTATCAGATAAATCATCGTATTGCGTATATATTATCAAAAATGATGATATTCAAAAGACATTCATCTGTCATCACCTTTCATAGTCAATGCATAATATGTATATAACTCCATACAAAGGAAAAAAAGAAAGAAATTCACCTTTCCACGTATTTTTTTTTTCGTACAAGTTATTACTTTGTATAAAATATGACAGCTAATTGATTAATACAGAGCCCTATGCATCTATTTAATGGTAAGTAAGAGGCACATCATATATTGATTAATCGACAAATACAACAAAATAGAACCTTTTTATCATTAATCCCTAATGGTTTTTTTTTTTTACATATTCTTACTTTTCTCGAGACGTTATTATAGTTACTTCCTATATGTACATGAATGTATTTTCAAGATAACTGTTTCAATAAAATATTTTTGAAGAGAAAAAAAAATAGTATACAAAAGTAGTAATAATTATCGAGAAGGAAAAGTATGATAAAATGATGTATGCATAATCATGTATTGTCTGTGTCGTAACGTGTATATTGTCATTACTTGAAAATGATTATTACCATCAACATAGATGTATATATATATATATATATAGGAATTACATAATATCAAGATATACATCTTGTATATAATAATTTTCTTTATTATTTTAATTTGTATAATACAATACTTAAGGAGGCTTTCATAGGAAGAAGAAATAAAGGGGGGTAAAGGAAAGAGAGAGAAAAAGACATAAGTATATTTTTTTTCTACAAACTGTCATGCATTAAAAATATAAATTGATATCGTTCTAATATAAAAAGGGAGAGATGAATATAGCTTCATTTTTTCGTGTAATTGTATATATAAATCAACTCTTTACTCTTATTTTTTTTTTGTTTTCCTATTTGTATGTAGATAAATATTTTATAAGTAACTTGAAGTGTGTGACGGCTCCTTACAGATATTAATGATTTCGGGTTTAAATCAGCTTTCTTCAAAATCATACTAATTTTTTTCTTTTTTTTTAGGCTACTATATCCTTCTTCTATTTTCCTGTTTCTTTCTTTCTTCTTTCTTTTTTAACATCTTTATTAAAACAGAATAAAAGTATAATACGTATGCCTAATAATAAAAGTATATTAATCCTAAGTAGTTCGACCATTGTAAGTTCACAATAAACTTTTTTTTTTTTTTTTGTACCTTAAAAAAAAAATTTGAAACTTTAATTTAGATTGCATGGATTATAACATTTGTTGGTGCTTGTGTATTTAGAAAAGGGCTTTCAGGTGGTGCTTGGTGGATTGTTATTTATGAGCTCTTACTAATTATGACAACCATTTTTATTTTGATAAACAATGTCTTTACACAGTATCGACTCATGGTAAATAAATAAAAAGAAAAGAAAGGAAATTAAGTCTCATACTTTTTTTTTTTTTATCAGCTCTTGACATTTTTAGCTGCTAGTGTAGCTATGTCTACTTACCAACTTGACTATGCTTTACCAGTATCTAAATTTGCTTCAGGCTATAGAAGTGGAGCAAGCGCTTATGCTACAGGATATATCCTTTTATTAATAGCCCAAGTAATATATATATATATATATATGTTTTATCTCATACTCATCATTCACCTTATTACTACGAAAATTATTTCTTGTAGTTTTTTTGGATCATTTTATTAGGTAGTGAACCTGATAGCTATTTAGGCAAATATCTTCCATCCTATTATAAGGGAAATTCAATTGAAAGTATCCATCAGCAAAATCAATCACAGCAATATGAAATAACATGTGATAAAACTATAGTGCCTGATTTATCCAATATACCCCCGTATGGAGCTGCTAATAGTTCTAATAGCCATATGTCTTATACAAACGCTTCTGTAAACATCCATGATAAGACAGTCACTGATGATTTAGAAGATAATATAATTCAACAACCTATTCTACAATATAAAGAAAAAGTTCAATCCTTGCATGCATGTTAGTTTAAAAAAAAAAGTATATAATAATCTTATTTATATATATTTATTTATAGATAAAGCAAACCCTGAAGACCCGAATGAATTAAGCTTTAACAAAGGTGAAGTATTAGAGATTGCTGAAAGAAACGGTAATTGGTGGCAAGCCCGTAAAGCAGATGGCACAGTGGGTATCATTCCTAGCAACTATGTAAGTTATTAGAATAGTTTTTTTTTTTTTATATTATTTTTTCATGCGAATGATTTTTATTTTATTTTATTTCTAATATAAACATTTACAACATTGTAGTTTTCTTCTTCTTCACCTCCAACATAAGAATATATTACGTCACTCTGTTACTTATTAGCGACTCTTTTATATTTATTGCTATATATTTATTCTTTGATCTAATCTAATTATCAATTTATATTTTCCTATTTCTATCTTTTTGAATGAAAATATTATATTACTACTTTACTTTGTCTTTAAATAAAGAAAAAAAAATCTATACACACATATAAATTCATTGCAAGACCTATTCTCATCATATCAAATGCACTACCATTGATGATATATTTATTGATCCATGCTTTAAAATAAAATAAAAGGAATCGCCGCTTATTTTATTTTATTTATTCTTTTCTTTACAGTTGGGTTATCTGAGATTAATAACAAAGAACGTGTTTTCTATAATTACAATCGTTGTTATATAATAAACTAACAGCAGAAGTTATTTGAGGAAAAACTTCATTAATTATATATTTATATATAAATAATAAAAGCCAGACTGTCGATCTTTTCTTTCTTTCTGTCTTTCTTTCTTTACAACATGTCTTATATATATATATCGGTATTTTTTAACCTATTTATCTGTCCCAATTTATTTATTTATTTTTTATTTTTACTAAATTGATATGTACAATTCGGATTATATAATATAGTTTGCCTTTCTAGTTTGTTATGTACACTATCTGAAGGTTTCATTTCATTTCTTTTTTTATACTCCACCCCACATCTCAGCCTATTCGGCTATATATTTTATTTATTACGAACATAAGTTTAGAACCTAATAGCCATCACGAGATAATACATAAATATCTTGAGGAAAAAAAAAATATTACTCAAGGTAGATCAGACGAAGTGATCAACGTAGTACTTAAAACAATAATTTGTATGTGTTCGGGGATAAATAATGATCTAGATGCAGCTTTTTTTTTTTTTTTTTTTTTTTTTTTTTTTTTTTTTGTTCACTCTGATGCCTATGAAAGTGTGTCTTTCTCTCTAGACGAGTTAAAAAAAAATCCAATCCATTAATACAATGAATGAAGATTTGTATATTGGAAAAATAGATTCATGAATATTCTAAATTCATTTATATTTCTTGATAATTATTGTTAAGTGTAGCAAACTACTATTTGAAAAAAAAAAAAAAAAAAAAAAAGAATAATATACATTCTTTTCCAAAAACTTTTGCTTGTGAATAAGTCTCAAAGTTTTCATTTATAACTACTACAGAAAATATGCATTTATTCAATTATTTTCCTTTAAATTAGCCTCCCTCAAAAAAAAAAAGAAAGAAAGAAAGAAAGAAAGAAAGAGAGAGAGAGAGCCAAGCGCTAGATTGGTAAGTTCAGTCATGATGTTAATTGAATATGAGAGACTCCACTTCTTTGGGAGCTTTCGGTTATTAATGAAACTCAATCTTACGATATCGGATCTTGTTTTATTATGGAAATAAAGTTTACAGTTTTTTTTTTTTTTATATATGTCTCTCTGAAGAGATTAAGTAGATTTGATCATTTTTAGCACTTTTTATAGTGTAAAATTGCCAATGAAAATGAAAAAAAGAAGGTACATTTTCATTGAATCATCCATAGTTAATTGCTTTAAAAGCCCTTGATAACTGCATTATTCCTGCTACTTGCTTTAATCTAGAAGCAAAGATTACTCCTGTGGGGAAAGGGGCATCAGCAGTATGCTTGTTCTTTACAACAAAAGTCTACAATATTGAATACTTGACTTTTTTTTTTTTTTTTTAAGAAATGTCTATTAGGGGGAGGAGGAAAAGAATAGCGGGAACATACAACCTGAAAACAATGATAACAAAAAAAAAAAACAAACTATTCCTACTTGCAAAGAAATATAGACATATTTGACATTTCAACAATACAGCTTTCTTGTCAATAAGTTGTTGCATAGATTGAAGAAGAATACAATACATATTATATAACTGCTGTTATGTAGTAAGAAGATTACTCAAGTCCACTATTACTGATACTGTATGGAGCGATGGTAGTGGCGATAGATCTATTTTATTTAAACCTTATTTCCCTCTCCTCGTCGCTTCCCTCTCATCTCCCTCATCTCCTCCTCCTCCCCCCCAACTATAAATATATCTTTATTCAGTTCAGACTGCATACACTGTTGTCTAAAAAAAAATGGCTCAAGTTTACTTTGTCCAAAAAAAGTTCAACATATTCATCTGAGCTATAAATTTACTTTCATGAAAAAAAAAAAAAATCTGAAATTCAAGATGTCGTGGCTGACATCTAATCCTTATTTGGAGCTAAGAAAAAAAAAAAAGGCTAAGATTTAATTCGGTGAATTTAATATCTCCTATTTTTAATTAAGGGAGATATATTGAACCAAGAGAAATAGAGCGAAAAAAAAAAAAAAAAAAAAAAAGAAAACCTTTCTTTTAGTTATATAGTTTAGCTCAGTAGTAAAATCATAATTAGAAAAAAAAATGATAACCTATAGATTACGTTTTATGAAACAAATAAAACTTAAATTATCTCTTCTTTCTATCATCTTTACAGCGGTAAAGTATAGAAAAAAAAATGACGCTAATTCTATGCCATTAAGTATCATCATAGATTTCAACTTGTATAATAATTAAGATAAATAAATGTTAATTATATCATCTTTCTTTTTTTTTTCTTTTTAAAAAAAAAATAAAATAAAATAAAATAAAATAAATAAATACAGTTGCATGAAAGAAAGAAAAAAAAAAAGGGACAGCGCAAAATACACAGTTACAGAATCTAAATGTCATATGTGTTAGATAGAACTTTGTATAACAATAACATATAAACAATGATGATAGTATGCTTACTTAAATCAGTAAGAAAGAAAGGATCCTATTTCATAACCCTTTCTTTTTTTTTTTTTTTTTTTTTTTTTTTTGGTCGGTTGATTTATCACCCATTGCTGCGAACTTGACTTGCAACCGGCTATTTAGTCATAATTCGCTTTTATAGTATAAATTGTGGAGAATGGATACCATTATAATATAAAGAAAACCTAGTATGTGCTATATATGAGTTTTTTTTTTCTTTCTTTCTTTCTTTCTTGAAATATATTTCTTCTGTCATATTCTTCAAAAAAGCCCGAACCCTAAAGTCATATTTAGCATTACTAAAAAAAAAATAAACAAGATAGTTGTTATGATTGGCTCTATTATGCGGAAGCAGTTTATGTATGATATCAAAATGTTACAATAAGGTTATTTATTTATTTTTGGGTAAAACGAGATAAAAAAGAAAGGTAAATAATAATAGGGTAAAATGGTATATATTTACATTGCAAATGCATATAAAAATGCATTTTGTATATAGAGATTATGTGTGAGAAATTCACAAAGGGAAAATGGAGAAATTATTAATGAAGAATATGTAGATTATAATATATAAGGAGATGATAGTGAGGTCCAATTTACAAACATATTTTTGCAAATATGTGATATACAAGATAATAATAATAGGTTTCCTTTCTTTCTAGCAAGACAGAGAGTAAACAGGTATTCAACAAGCAAGCGTATCAGGTTGATACCATCGTTCAGTATTCGGTGGTCTTGAATTAGTAGTAGTAGTAGTAGTAGTAGTATTATATATTTGTTGAGCAGCAGCTGTTTCTGTTGTCGTATCAATAAATTCAGGAAAGGACACATAAGTCTTTTCAAACTGAGAAAGAGTTGCATTTGCTAATTCTGTTGATATAACATTGTTATGATATTGATTTGATTTATCGAATGAATGCTTTAATATATTTACAAATTGACTTAATAATTCACGAAGTGTAGGTTGTTGATTGAATTGCATTTTTTTTTTTATCAGAAACTTCTTCGAAAAAAAAAAGAAGAGGAATCAGGAAATATAAAAAGCTTATATTTATATGTATTTTAAAAGTTGAGAATAAAAAAAAATGAAAAAAAAAAAAAAAGAGAGAGGGGGGGGAGAGGAAGAGCGATTTTTTACGTGGTGAGTTGCATTGTTGTATTAGAATTCCTCCGCTAATAAATTATTAGCTCCGTTAATATGACAAAACATGCTCTGGACTTTCCTCTTTTGAAACACACTTCTATTTTATTTTTTTTCGGGATTTATTATTATAGACTTAACTACGATGATTAAATAAAAATATATATTTTTTTTTTTTGTTGATAAAAAAAAAAAAAAAATATTAGCCTATAAACATATATTAAATTAATGAGCTCAAAAAAGAAAAAAAAAAATTAAACAGGTGTAAATACTAAAAAGTCTTTTTTGAAATAATAAATGGAAAAGAAGGAAAATAATATTCGTATTAAATTGATAACTAAAATAATAATAATCAAGGAAGAATTCGGTTGGGGGTATGGAAAGAGGGTGGCGAACCTTGGTGAAAATAGAAAATTAACTTCATCAAGATATGATGTGAATAAATAAACTTAAAGAAGAGCAGATTGAGCTACTTGTATGAAAAAACCCTGATTTAAAAGATAGAATAAAACGGTCTTCAGTATCTTAAAGAGTAATGAATATAGTTTATAAAATAAATAGATATGAATATAAAGGTTTAGAGTGTAAGTGGTATTATTTTTTTTTTTTTTTGCTTTAGAAGAATTACAAGAAATAAGTTTTTAGACCTATAAAAACCTAAAGAAAATAATATTGACTATTTATAATAACATATTTAGAAGAGAGTGGGAGAGTAAGTGAGAGTGAGTAAGAGAGAGAGAGAGAGAGAGGGAGGGAGAGCTTCTAGGAAAAAACTCTATAACATGTACTCATTCTATCTTTCCTCACTTTTCCGGTTTAAAACAGATATGAGCATGATATTCTTTGAAGAAACTCTTGTGTCACATTGCCAATGTATAATACATCACTTTTTGACAGAGATGTTTGAACTACAAACTTTTTTTTATAAATTCACTAAAGAACTAATGCAGCAGTTATAGTTACAACCTTTCGATGTTTTACGCTTATCAATCATTGCTATTATTAATAAACTACTTTATGTCTTCGCTTTTTTTTTTTCTTTTTTTTTTTTTGCTCACGAATTTATCTCAAAAACCATCAGCGACAACGTATTGTTTTCTTTTTCTTTTCTAGACGATAAAAAAAAATATTCTGAATGAATATGCAAATATATCATATTATCTCCTCCTTTTCACTAAAAAAAAAAAAAAAAAAAAAAAAAAAAAAAAAAAAAAAAAAAAAAATTGCATTGTAAGTTATGCTATTGTTAAATGAAGTTTCAGTATATTGGCAAAGCCAATGGCATTGAAATCGTTTTAAAATAACAAATTTATGTAATAGAGTATCAGAGTTATCGTTTAAACACACTATAAATACCAATTACTATCATGAAATTTTGGCTAAATGCATATTAATAAACTACCGAATTCTGAATATGATTTGATAATCGTCTTTGCTAGTTGTAGTGGCATCATATTTGATGAACTTTATTACGCCAATCGTATTTGCACAGTCCTCTAGACGTGCAGTGTTTTACTTGTAAAATAGATGGTATAACTAGTATTAAGGTTTTCATTTACCATCTGCTTTTTTTTTTTTTTTTTTTTTTTTTTTTTTTTTTTTTTTTAACAAAATATATAACACTCCCATGTAGAATTAAAAAAAAAAAAAAAGGACGTATACAACTACTGTCTTTTATACGATTTATTGATATTAATATCCTTCGTTTTTATTGGTTTAGTTTATTTTTATCTGATTTGAAGATACTTGATAATTGCTTACGCCTATCAATTGCTTTTTTTTTTAACTACAAGCTATGACTCGATAGTATCCATACATGACCTTCCTATCTTCCAACTTGAATGATTTATCTATTAAATGTTATTTCAAGGAAATATATCATAAATAAGAGGAATAGGCTTTACAACAATAGTGTAGTATAATCTTTAAACTAGGAGACCCCTTATATATATACTTGACATTGAATGCATTTTTCTTTTAAAGATGTCATGTTCATTTGTTGTTGAATCAATTAAGTGCATATCATATACGATAATAGATCAGAATAATTAAATTCATCAATTCACTATTCCAACAATACAGACTCTTCTTTTATACTAACAAAAAGGCTATTCAAGGAAATACTATAACCCAATTCTTGTGGATCCAAAAGTAAGAGTTTTTTTTTTCATTATTTGTTAGCAAGTTGTTGCTTGGCAAAATAAAAACATTCATTCTATTTTCAGTAAAAAGCAATAGTATTAGTTTTATTTTATTAGATGATGGGCTGGTTTTTTTTTTTCTTGTGGAAAAATGAATAGAAAACTACGAAGAAAAAAAAAAACAGGTAAATATTGCCAATTAACGTCAATTAATATTCGAAACATAGTAATTGAAACCTTACATATATATACATACATATGAAGGTATTTGCAGTGTTGTTTTATAGAACAATAAGCGATGGATATATATATTCACTTCTCTTTTCAACCAATGAAATATGAGAAATGAAGAATTAGACTATAAATGTAGCTCTGTATAAAATTAAACTACCATTGATATACAATATACATCCAATTTACCAGTTACACGAATATACACGTGTTGATAGATTCTTTACGTGTAACCTGTTAATAAGAAAATAAAAAAAAAATACCACAAATATACATGTGTACTTCTGACATTTAATATTCTACTTAAGCAAGCAAATATAGACGTTGTTCAAAATTAAATTTCAGATGCAATGTGTACCAAAAAAAAAAAAAAAAAAAAAAAAAAAAAAAAAACTTACGGTCACAAAGAAACTAATTTTTAGACCAAGTGGGACATCTTACATGCAACTATCTTTATATCAAAAAAAAAAAAATAAAAAAATAAGCTGTTATTTATAATATAGCGGTGAGAGACTGTTGCTTTTTTTTTTGGTTTTGGTTTTTGTTTTGTTTTTTTGGTTTTTGTTTTTGTATCCTGACGAGTGCTGAGTGATCGTCATTACCTTTCCATGTCAAAATAGATATGGCTAATAACATGTTTGTGACTGCATTCGCATTTGACTGTTACAGTGGGAACAGATTTTTGCATACTGACACACTATAGCCATGGATATGTGATGTAAGTATTCGAGCTTCCTGTTGATAATCAATGCAGATCTTAGGGGGAGGAGTTGTTATTGAGCTCGTTAATGGTAACTGTAATCAAAGCACTTGTAGCTTCCCATCTTTTCACCTTCTCCTCCCCTCCACACACACACACACACACACAAACACAAACATCGATTTTTCCTTAACCTCACCGGATCTTTACTAAACATGCTTTTTACAATCGGTATTGTTTGAAATAACTAATAGACCACATCTCAAAGGCCTCTACTACAATGCTATTGCTGTAACATATAGCTAATAACTACGTATAAGCCTCAGGTGAAGGTTGGTTGGTTGGTTGGCTGGCTAGCTAGCTGGCTCCTTTTGGAGGCTTCTTCTCTTTATATGAATAGCGCTTGAGTACGAGGCTCGAAAATTTGCACAAAATTTCTTGCTGTTCGTCAGCCAGTTAACAAACTGAATACCTATGTTTTCTTTTTTTTTTTTAAAAAAAAAGATAAACCTCCTTCTTGTATCCAACTTGTGTAGATCGTTTTCTAACATATAACTTTACTTTCATGATACAATTGTTATATTTAGTGGCTATTATTTTGTTTTTTAACTGATATGGTTCTAGTTACTGATTCAGTTCTTTTTCAACAGCATAATTTTATTAATTTAAAAAATAAATACATAATAATAATAATAAACTCTTGGGCCTCATCCACATAGCTAAATGTTTTAGTGACCAAGTTCCCCCTATATTCACTTTTTTTTCTTTTTCTTTATCAATTCAACTCGGGCAGATTTGATATCTCGTACTCAAATTTGAAGACTATTTTAAAGGAAGACTATTATTACTGGGAAAAAAAGATGATATGTAGAACTTTTGGATTATTATTATTTGTTTTATTTTATTTTATTATAGAGAAGATACTAGACAATGCATGTACGTTAACATCTAGTTTACTACTACTTGAACAAGGTCTATTAGTATGATTATTATCTACTGAGCTTTTGTTTTATTATTATCATTGTTATTACCCTTATAAGGGTTAACATCCTTCCTCTAAAAAGGAAGAAGAAAGTAGTTTAAAATAAGATCTAAATATAAAAAATGAAAAAAATAAAAATAAATAAAATAAAATGGATAAAAATTTAAAAAATCTTTTTGATAAAGTTTTGTGAAATCTTTTGAATGATATCCAAAGTTTGCAATACTTCAATAGTGCCGCCAATAAAACTGGTATCATGATATTTGATATTATATTTTTGAGCAAGTTGTTTAACCATAGGTTTGATGGTTGATAAATGATGTCGAGGCATTTCCGGGAAAACCTTTTTTTTTTTTAATAAATCAAGTAAATAAATGAAACAGTTTAAATCCCTTTCTTTTTCTTTTTCTTTTTTTTTTTTACTTGAATAAACTTACATGGTGCTCGATTTGATAATTTAAACCACCCATAATCCAATCACCAATAAAGGAACAGTTCACATCACGACCCGTAATTACCTGAAGTTCATAAAATTCTAGTTTAGAGGCTTCTTCAGGACTAAGAACAGGCATCCCATTATGATTCATAGCAAAGACAATAGCCAGTAAATAGCCTGTCGTAAGCTGACTCACAACAAAGAACATAACGACATCATTCCAAGTTGCAGACCAAGCAATTACACAATAAGCAAAGAAAATCCAATGAATAACCAAAAAGACACGTTCACACCAAGATAAAATCTTGGACTTGTTCAATGATTCATTTTTAAAGGAATAAAGGATGGATTGAATAGCCCAGGAGAGACGAGCGAATCCGAGAATGAAAAAGTAATATCGTGTTTGATAGGGTAAAATATGTTCAGCAATCAATTTATCAAATCCGCTTGAATTATCTTTTATTGAGCCATAGAAATTAGCCGCTGCAAATTCATCCCATAATAAAATGGGGGCTGTATCGATATCTGGATCTTCACCAGATACATTTGTACTAGCATGATGTGTGTTGTGTTTATTCTTCCACCTATAAAAGCAACCAAGTTAAATATTTCGTGAGTATAAAAGAAGAAGAAGAAGGTTATAATAGTATGCTAAAAAAAAAAGAGGTGAAACAACCTTTTTTTTTTTTTCTTAAACAATAAGAACAATAAAAAAAAAAGGATTAGGTTTTATATTAGATCGGAACAGTACTTTACCATGAAAGTGAAAAACCTTGAATAAGATTCCCAAACGTGACTAAAAAAAGATCATTTAACTTGGGATCCTTAATAACTTGATAATGTGCAAAATCGTGAGCAAGCCAACCACATTGTTGCCAGAAGAGACCTACAACAAACGCAGATAGATAGACAGCAAGACTTGAAGTTTTACCCCAAGCTTTGAGGATAGTCAAACCTATAACGCAAACTAACACGGTGGATAAAACTTTATAAACGTAAAAATTTGTACTTGCGTCGAAATAACCATCCTTTTCCAATCTATGACGAAGATCACGAATCTCTTGAGCAAAGGCTGCAGAGTTCAATACTTTTTCATCTGTTGTATCTATAGGAACTCTAGGCTCTGCATCACCAACATAACAATTAGCTAATAATTCATATGCAGAAGATGGATGCATTTCATGAAACACATCTAATTTTATTCACTTATAAGTTGACCCGCTACTGCTGCTCTCTATCTATCTATATTAAATGCAGTGCGTTGCTACTTACCTGAAGCATCTCTGCCTTCTTGAGTCAAAATAACTTGTTCACCACCAGGATGATCAGCAGCAAAGTCTGTAATATCATAAACCTTATTATCAACTACAATTAATTTCTTAGCATCAGGTTTATTATCCAATACGTCTTGATGAATCTTTGCTAGTTCAGCTCTTGTAAACACATGGGGAACTATTGCAGTATAGGATTGTTATATATGAATTATTTTATTCTTTCTTAACTCCCTTATTACCTGTCGATCCTATGTCTTTGGTCATTTCTTTCAAAAGAAATATATATATACAAATATGTATATAAATATATCAAATAAAAAAAAGAAAAAAGAAAGACAAGTCTAGGGACGGGAGAAGCATTTCATCTTTATCTTGTTTTAATTTAATATAATTTAACTTCAACGATTTATTATTGGATTTGTAATATCCAAATTAAAAGAACAATAGACTCAGGTTTTAGATGATAACGCACGCACACGCATATATATATACATATATATATATATATATACACAAATATATACACGCACACACGCACACACACACACACACACACACACACACACGCCAAAAAATGAAAAAATATATGTGAATACATACATTATTCATTTATGTATTTTTGTTGGTTTTTTTTTATTGGTATGAAGAGTTACGAAAAATAGGGAAAAAATTATATAATATTAAAATACATATATATTTTTAACAACATCCACCGCTACCTTGTTTGGCTTGTTCATCAGGTGATTGGGATACGAGGATAGTTTGGCCACTTGTAGGCTTAATAGTATTGTTAGATGATTCCAAAGCTTTGTTGGATACAATACGATAAATTTCTAAATGTACATGTTAATTTAAATATATTATTATTATTATTTTTTTTCAAGTCAATTTGTATTTACCTGTCAAAATCTGTTGGAATGATTGATCGACATTAGTAGCATCCAATGCAGAAGTTTCGATAAATGAAAGACCATTATCAGCTATTTTAAATAGCATTAATCAATATTTAATAACAATAAACTAGAATTATAGTTACATGCAAACTGTTTAGCTTCTTCAGTAGGAACAGCTCTCAAATGTCTCAAATCACTTTTGTTACCGACAAGCATAATAACAATGTTTGAATCAGCATGATCACGAAGTTCTTTTAACCAACGATCAACACTTTCATAAGTAGAATGCTTAGAAATATCATAGACCAACAAAGCACCTACAGCACCACGATAGTAACTATATAATATAATAAAAATAAAAAAAAAATAAGGGTTCCTGTTTTCCATAGAAACATATCTCTACTACTTACGCACTGGTGATTGCACGATATCTTTCTTGACCAGCTACAAAGTATCTTGTCATTAGCTTGAAATTATTTTATTATTATTATTATTATTTTCTTTTTCTTTTTCTTTTTTTTTTTTTTTACCAGTATCCCAGATTTGTGCTTTAATGACTTTATTATCAACTTGAATACTTCTAGTGGCAAATTCGACACCAATGGTACTCTTTGATTCTAAATTGAATTCATTACGAGTAAAACGACTCAAAAGATTGGTTTTACCAACACCAGAATCACCAATCAAGACAACTGTAAATTTCAGATGAAAGAGTTAATTGGAATGCATTGAACACATTATTATCATTGTTTTACCCTTGAAAAGATAATCATATTCTTCATCTCTGCTCATTGTATTGATAACTTTTTTATTATTATTAATTTATCTTGATTTTTTTTTTTTATACAAGAAAAAAGAAATAATAATGATAATGAAAAAAAAAACTTAATAATAATTATAATTATAATAATTATAATTATATTTTCGGAGGCTGTAACGAACAACAAATTAAACCTTGTATCGTTATTATGATGTTCGTGTTTATGTACCTATACACACAAATAAACGCGTGTGATACGTAGTCCAAAAAAGCATAGAAAGTCACAAGAAGTATCTTCATCTACTATAATTAAAATGAATTCAACACTCACATGATGCATAAAGCCTTATATAATGATATACATATATTTATATGTATCAAATAAAGTTACAGTTATAAAGAATATTATATTTCATACAAACGTATAACTTTTTTTTTTTGTTTTTTTTTGGCTATATATACATTTGCACTTGTTAGTATATTTTATAGTTTTTATTATATAATTTTTTTTTCTAAAAAAAAAAAAAAGAATTTACTACATAGAAGATGTGTCATTTGCTGCTTACCAGTTATTTACTTGTAACAAGCAAGTATCCTATATTTATCACGAAAATAAGCCCTCAACGATTATTATTATTATTATATCTAGTAAAGAGATATTGTAAAAAAAAAAAAAAAAAAAAAAAAAAAAAAAAAAAAAAAAAAACTGCTGAGGCATTTTTTTTTTCATGGTTGAAGCAAAATTATTAGTGAAATAATTAAAATGTGTCATGATAATAGATCATCATATATGAATTTATAAAGAGGAGGAGATATATTGACACGTAAAGACAAGCCAATGAAAACTTTATATTGATTATTAAAATTTTCATTGATATAAAAGAATATTTTTATAATGGTACGAATAGACGCGTCAGTCTTGACGATTAAAGCCTGATACAGGATGGTATAGAATAATTTATGCTATAATCACGATAGTTATGATAGTTTCAGTCCCCTCCCCTTTTTTTTTGAGCTACTATTACTGTTAATAGAAGTAGAATGAGCTATTATGGTTGTTTCCATCGATATTTTTACAGAAAATAATTTACTATCTGTAATAACAATGTCAATTCATTTATACTCTATTATACACACAGCAATAGCTATCATTAGTGTATTCAAATAGCTTGAGTAATGACTATTATTAAAATTGTGTGTGTTGATTAAATATAATAATTGTAAAAGGTACGCTATGCTGATTTATGACCTCTTTTGTCATGTAAGAATGAATTGATTACTTTACTGTCAATACAATAACAATTACTACTACTACCCATTTATTAGGATTCATATCTGAGCATTGTACCTATTCAATTTCCAAGGATATACTGATACAGTGAAACTGCACAAAAAAAAAATTACCCAACAAAATACTTCTTTAAATAATAAACTAATTTACTGCGTCTATTATTATTAGTTTCAATTATCGTCTACTCATGTGCCCCATCTGGTTCATAATTTCTTCCTTAATCGCATCACAAAATCTTAGAGGACGTTAGTAACAACACTTTACTCCTCTCTCTTCTGCTACCTCTAGAATTGCTGCTGCTCTATTCGTTTGTTACGGTCTTTCTTTCCTTATAAGAAAAATGAATCCATTAGGACACATTTCATCCTTTTTCTCTTCTTCATTTTCATGCTGTAGATCAGATACAAGTAAAGTTATCAGGATAATGAAGATACCTTTCTTGTTGTATCATAAAACTGAAACATTAAATATTTCCATATAAAAAAAAAAAAAAGGTGTCTGAAATATAAAAATAACGTCGAATAATGCGCATAATTTAATATTATGTATCATAGTAGAAAATACCGCTAAAATAATAATTATACTAAAAAAAAAAGGAAACTAATTAAGCTAACATAGAAGGAAAGATAACAAAATGATTTATTTAAAAACCTTGTAATACAAATTGATGATATATTGTTTTAAAGAAGAAGAAGGGAATGTGGATAAAAATATATATAAAAAAGTAGATATATAAAATGAATATAAACACACACAGACACAAATATAAATAGATATAATAAAGTAAAAGTTATACGCGTAAAGAGGAGTTAAAATTAAAACGATTATTAGAGAATTTTACAAAGTCTTTTATGTAGTTTCCTCATGCCACCAGCAACAGCGGCTCTTGTTGCAGCTTCAATCACTTCATCCACATTAATATTTTTCATCGCACTGCATTCATAATATTTTGCTCCAATTTCTTTAGCTAATTGTTCTCCCTAATAATTCAATGTAATCAGTTTCCTTCTCTCTCTCTCTCTCTCTCTCTCTTTCTCACTCTCTCTTTCTTTCTTTTTTTTTTCCTTTTTACCTCTTCTACCGTGATTAATCTTTGTCCTACTAAACCTAATCTTCTAATTTCTTCCTGATTTTGTCTAAAATCCAATTTTGTGCCAACTAATAACTTTGGTACATTTTCACAGAAATGAGTTACTTCCGGTAGCCACTAATTTAATTTGTTAGACTTGGACTTTTTTTTTTGCTGTCATTTCTATTTTTTTTTTTACCCTATCCAAAACATTTGTAAATGATGTACGAAGATTGATAGCAAAGCAAATAAGAACAACATCTGTTTCAGGATATGATAAAGGCCGTAATCGATCATAATCTTCTTGTCCAGCTGTATCCCATAGCGCTAATTCTACAATCTTCCCTGAGTCTAAAGGTACATTTGCAATATAATTTTCGAAAACAGTAGGAACATATCGCTTTTATACGTAAATAAAGGATAAAAAAAAAGATGATGATGTGAGTATAATCTATATACACATGTATAGATGTATATATAAATATAAATATATATATATATATATATTTTTTTTTTTTTTTTTTTTTTTTTTTTTTTTTTTTTTTTTTTTTTTTTTTTTTTTTTTTTACTTGAGGAAATGCTTTCTTTTGATATACAACTAATAGACTTGTCTTTCCACATCCACCATCACCTACAACAACTAATTTTTTACGAGCTACCTAAAATATTAAACCTTCAATATAAATATTCATTTTATATATTTAATATTTTGAAGCTAATCTTACTCCTCGAGTCATATTAAAAGGTATACTTTATTCTAATAAAATGAAAGAAAAGAATGTTATAAAAAAAAAAAAAGAAAGAAAGAAAGAAAGAAAACAAGAGAACAAACAAACAACAACAACAACAAAAAAAAAAAGAAATGTATAAATTTGGTAAAAGGAAAACAATCAAAAAAAAAAAAAAAAAAAAAAAAAAAAAAAAAAAAGAAAAAGATTTTTTATACAGTCATTTCAAAAAGTCGTAGTTTAAAAATAAATACGATTAAAGAAGAATTTTATTTAAAAATTAAAAATAACCAATAAACACATGGCTTTTATATGCTGTTTTGCCCTGGTCAGATCGTAAGTGGATATAAAGGTGAAAATGTTAAAGTGTATGTATAAGTGATGATAATTAATTATCAGAAAATCGTTGTTGTATTGAAAGAAGATGGTTCAGGGATTTGGGAGTGAAGCTAGATAGTCCATCTCCAAGCAGAATTGCACATATTTAGAAGGCCAGCGTATGAGCCAGGCATCAATTGATTTTCTCACTTTCTCAGTAAGGAATGTTGGTTGTAACAGGAGGTTCAAGAGATAAGAGAGTGAGTGGATCTTCAATAGACTTGGCGCATCTGAAGGCGGTTATGCATGCATATATACAAACAAGAAAAACTATGTGAGCATGTGAAGAGTTCATTTGGATGGAAGGGGTCAGGCTTAGGGTTTTACCAAGAGGTAACCAACCAGATCGCCATTGTACGCAACGAGACCGTTCACTTCTTGTCATTGGTAGCGTGAGAATAATAGGGTCGACAACCAGATTATTACGGCAAAGGGATAAAAGTGTCGAATGTTTTTCTTGTAGTTTTGAGCGGTAGCTGTCAAGCAGGAATCGTCTTCGTTTTTTAATAAAATCCTTATGAGATGTAGTGTTAAGATCTTCATTGCAAACTGATATCCATAGAAGAGATTTAGATAGTTGGGTCCATTTTGAGACTGTATGTATGGTAGCAATTTCGTCAATAATGCACTGTCTGGCAGAAAGGATGATCTAAAAAGAAATTGTGCTTGGAGTACTGAAATACGATCTTTCATGTTAGGTAAATTTGTTAGGTGTAGCATTACTTTGGTTGAGGTGAAAGATCGTTGGCTCAGTTACTACAATATTTCTACTTTAAATTTAGACAACGAAAAAAAAAAAAAAAAAAAAAAAAAAAAAAAAAAAAAAAAGCATTTACAGACAGTGGAAAGAAATTATTCAGACAAGAACTTGAAAGGATAGTTGACGTTTTTCATTATGTATAGCTTTAAGAGCAACAGTTTCACATACAGCCTTATTTCTACAAGTAATATTTGCCTTGGAACCTCATGTAATAGTTACTCCTTGTATGTCAATTTTAGTCTGGCATAAAGATAATTAATTTAACAACAGCATATATTACTGATGCTAATAGAGTAGATCTTGAAAACTACATATATTTCTCAAAGCTTTCACAAATCTTTATATTCAACCAAAACTAACAAAACAAATTATTACATTATTAAAATGTGATCATAAATAGCCAAAATACTCCAGCCTGTTTAATACGAAAAATAACATTAGCAATCTTACATCTAACGGCAACAATGAAGTCTTATTTGGAAACCTTTTACGCTCAGACAGATTTTCGGTGGATTGTCTTTTTTTTTTACAAAAAGAAAAAAGAATCTTATCAGACCGTTAATAATCTAGATCTCAAGTTAACAGATTTTGACTACGAAGAGGTGGTGTCAACATATAATTCAATTTATTTGGACCCCGGAAGAAAGGCAGTATATACAGCAGTGTGTGGCCTTGTCAAGGATGTCCACCCTATTATACGTTTTTCAACCAAAGAGTATTATCACTACACCGGTTCAACAAAATTTTTAGTAGATCAACAAAAACTTAAAAAAAAACCAAATGGAATTGAGGAAGTAGAATCGAAAATTCCAACACACAAGACAGCAAAAGCAGAAAAATATTATGAATACTTACAATTTATGCTTGAGCATATTGATATACTATTTGATTTCTACAAAGATACCAGTGGCAAAGGTCGTTTCGCATTGTGTCAAGGTCGCCAACGGGCTCCAGAAATTGTGACCAACATCTTGCTTAATGGCGGGCTGAAATACAACCGTGAAAGAAGAAGAAGAAGCAGGAAGAAGAAGAAGAAAAGTAAGAAAAAAGAGAAAAGAAGACAGGAAAAAAAAAAAGAAGGAAAAGAACAAAAAGAAGAGGGAAAGCAGGAATAAGAAAGTAAAAGAAAGAAAGGAGAAGAAGGTTATAAATAAGTAAGCAGTTTCTATTTCAACGTGTTAAATAGTTTTTATCTAAAAACATTTTAAAAGGTCAAATAAGCGGAAGCCCCAGAAGTACCGTGAAGATAAGAAAAGGATTCCCTTAATTGTTTTCGGCGACGATATGTTTGGAAAGGACTCAATTAAGCTAAGAGGAAACCGATGTGGAGTTACAGAGATTTTATGGCAGACTCTGAAGAAGAGAGAAAGAGAGGGAAGATTAATTACTGTTACAATTGACGAATTTAATACTTCAAGAGTTTGTAGTAGCTGTCACAACAAGACTCTGAAGCTTGTTGAGCATGCTCGTGGTAATAGTATCCTGGAATGCAAATCCTGTGGAATATTATGGCAGCGAGACATTAACGCAAGCAAAAACATGATGGAAATAACATTATCAATTTGGAGACAAACTGGTCACCCAACCTCATTTCAAAGATCGAAGGAATCACAACAATAACTACGAGAATCCTATCGCTGTATTATCAACAGCTTGTCTCTCGAGACATTTAGAATATTACAGGTATCACTCATCTAAAAACTGATTTCTGATTCATCTGAAAACTAATTTTAATTCGTTCAAAAAAAAAAAGAAAGAAAGAAAGATTATTATTTTCATCATTAAAGACGTTAAGAGAAATTATATATCTATATGTCTGCTTTAACATCAAAAAATAACAAAAGAAAGTAGCATTTATTATTTAAATCAGTGAATCTGGTTTGAGATACAACATCTAGCAGAAAAAAAAAAAGGGGGGAAAAGCAGGGTAAATTTACTACTAGCAGTTAAAGAACAAAAAGGAATTAGAATGATTAGTCTATGTTTTGTATTGTTGTATAAAATTCAAAGTTTGATTCAATAATTCGCCTTAAAGAAATATCCGTAAATCTTTTGATAAATGTCCATTATTACTGGCTGATTAAGACTTTAAATACTAAAGTTTCGTTAGAGCTATTTTTTTTGTTCTGAATAGATTCATTTATGGACTACCCTTAAGAAAAAAAGGTATCGAATTTTCTTTTGACCAGAAAGAATGCCTCTCTCTCTCTCTTTTTTGACTAACAAGTGAAATCAAATTGGATGCATATATTTACATTGTTTTAAAAGTAACGACAATCATAAGAAACAAAAGACTTGAACAAGAGACTTTGAAAGATTTGTAAATATGTTTTTTCTTTTAATGAGAATCAATCAATTATATTTTCAACTTTTCCAAACTAAATATACCCCTCCCCTGTCTCCTCCCATTGTATATTCAAAGAAACAAATATATACTATCTTTATTATTCATAGTGAACCTTCGCCATATAATACCTCCCCTCTTTTTTATTTTATTTTTTATTTTTTTATTTCTGGAAAATCAAATTGTATAAAAAAAAAAGACAATTTATTTTATATCTGTAGTAACTGTAGAAAGACTTTGCCCTTCCAATATTGGTGATAAACTTGTTATATCAATGGATCGTTCATTTGCTATGTTGGCTATTGCTTGGACAGCAGCTATAATATCACGTGTGGGGGGTTCTATAAAATAATAATTAGCATTCTATATAGATCTTTTTGTATCTTTTTTTTTTCTTTTTTGCCTACTTGATTCACATAAAATGGACAAAATCCTTATAACAAGTGTTTCTCCTCCAGAAGGAAATTCACGTACAAGTTGAATAAGATCCTGAGACTTCATACCAATGGATTTAATCATATTCACCATATGGAGTCGAATATATTCTTGTACTTTTTCTGTCGTTTGTTTGTATACTGAAAATAATCTAAAAAAAAAGGTTATGTATTAGTGTATATTCATATATGTATGTATATGTATAAGCTTTGCTATAAATAATATTACTCTTTTAATAAACTCGGTCGTTTAGTACATAACACAAAATATAATTCAGCATATCGAACAACATCTTTTTCCGTCCATCTTTCAGTTGTTCCTTGCTCTATCATACTTGCATCATTTTCTGTCATGTCTACATCCTCCTTCTTTTCATTTGTATCCATTGTATCCTCTTCCTTTTCTTTTGTTAATCTATTTAATGCCTCAATCGAAAATGCCTCTACTCTATCTCCAATATCAACTTGATTTTCATTCCATTTCTTAACAGCTACAATACTTGTTCTTCTCATCTTATCATTTTCATATGTACAAAGATCTAAAAGTACTTGTAAAGCCAAAAATCGTACTGCAGGTCTAGATATCACTAAATTACGTAGTGTCGATATACAGGATACAAATCTTTCAGGTACACTGTTTAAATTCTCCTTCACCATATCAATCACCTTTGAATCTAATTCAGGGGCATCCAATAATAATTTGGTCAAAATTCGATCCTTAGCATCCAAGTTAGGAATTATCTTTTCTAATAATTTATAAAACCAATAAAAATAATTTGGTTTATATCCTAGACCCTTCTTTCGTTGATTTCTTTTATCCATTAAATATTCTTCATAAAGCCATTCTAAAGCTAATTCATATCTAACATAAAAAAAATGTCAATTATTTTGTTTGTTTGTTTGTTTTCCCTTTCTTTAGTACTTTTTGTACACACACACACAAAATACCTTTGCCCTATATTCCCTATAACAAAATCTAATAGCATTTCTTTTAACTTTGTATCTACCATAGATACATTTAATTCTTTATCATCTGTTAAAGTGTCTTCATTATTTTCTGCTGATGAATAGTTGTTGGTTCTGTTTTGAGTCATTAATTTAGCTATTAACATGAGCCAAATATTTTTTGCTGTATTGATTGTTGTTACTGCGTTTGTCACTGAGGTTGAATTAGTTGCTTTTCTATCATGATCATATACTTGAAATGCTCCCTCAGCATACAGGATACGTTCAATGGACATTTCAATCATCTCTATCTTTTCTGCTTCACTTAAACTGGTTGAAGTCGTTAATGCATAGGGCTTCATTTGAAGCGCTTGACTAGCTCGTTCTTCAACACTTGACAAAATCTCAACCTTTGGTTTCTTTTCCTCTACAAAATTAAAATGTTCTTTTTCCTCTTCTTCTTTTTCTTCTCCTTCTTCTTTAATAGGTGGTGGCTTTGATTCAAAATGATCCATCATGTCTTCATCAGAGTCATCTTCTGTTTTAATGGAGGGCTCTTCTTTCATTTCGTTTTCATATTTAAATCGAGGATCTCTGATAAATTGAGGTTGCTCAGGTGGAGGTGGATAAGGTGGAGTTGTAGATCGAACAAAGCCTGGCCTCGTTACAGCTAACGTAACACCTTCAGCTGGTAATTGTCTAACTCGTTCACGCATCACTTCAATAGAAACGTTCTGGAGAACCGACATACAGAGATTGACGATACTTTCCAAGGGTATTTGTGTAATATCATAATTAGCAAGCACATTGGGTCCTGATGGTATCACATATTCTGTAGTAATTCGAGCTCGCTTTTCACGTTCTGCATCATGTTGCTGTTGTGCTACTCGTTTTTGTCGTCTGGCTTCGTCCGAACGAGCATGACGATTTTGAAACATGGCAACATTACCTCCTATTGAGCCAAATGCTGCAATCAATTCAGATCGATACGATGCGAGCGATTCAGTTCTAATAAGATTAATAACGTCAATAATTAGACTATTCTACTATAAGCACGCCTCCCCCCCTCTCCTTTCCCCATTTTTATTTTATTTTTTTATTTTTACCTTATTAATGAAACAAATGCTAATTTTAATGCTTTATCCATGTTACGTAACATTACAGGTGAATCATCTTTTGATCTTGTTTTTCTCCAAGATGTGAAAAGGTTTATGACTGGCTTTAAGAACACATGACGTTTTTTAACGATAATTACAAGACAACTGATGACAGCTGTTAAGATGGATCTAACAAAACAAAACAAAAAAAAAAGAAGAATTTAGTCATTTATTTAAAAATAAGTACTACTTTTTTTTTTTTTTCTTAATTACTCATGATCAGATTTCAAAAAATCAACTAATTTATCAAACATATCTTGTCCTTCTTTTTCAAGTTCTTGGGCATTTAATAGTCGATGATCTGCTCTTAACTATAGATGGATTAATATGTAGTGTAAAAAGAGAGAAAAAGTTTGACTCAACTTACTTGTGAAGACTTTGAAAACAATAATATGATAACTTGTAAACATTTGATTGAAGTGATTTTAACACCTGTATTAACATGATGAATGAGTTGAGATTCTACTAAAGTTAATAAGGATCTCGTGATTTCCCATAAACGACTCTCTGCTTCATTCTGACAACTATACAACAAAGACATCATCATTAGAGACTCTTACATTTATTCTTTCTTTCTTTCTTTCTTTCTTTCTTTCTCATTCCTTCTTACACAGTATTGTAAACAGTGGGTAAGATGGTCGAAAAGGCTCGGATAGCCATTTTTATTGTTTTTAATTCTTCTTTATAGTCATCACTCCCGTCATCATCTCTTTCCAGTCCAAATTGAATCAAGTCTGAAATTGTTTCTAAAAAGCCTTTTGTTGCATAAGAATGAGCATTTTCAGGTTGTGTTAGGACTTGTTGATCAAACTCGTGTAATTGAAGAAGCTGCTGGTCGTGGTCCATATCAAAACGCGTTTTAGATATATGTGTATATACGAGGAAATGTTGGAGATTGTTACAACAAAATAAACATATATTGTTTTAATAATAATAATAAAAAAATTTTAAAAGTGTAGTAGTAGAAAAAAAAAAATGCGGATATTTAAAAAAATAATTAGGGGAGAGAGAGAGAGAGAGAGAGAAAGGAAGGAAGATGGAAGCAATTGTTTAAAAATAGCAGGAACAAAGTAGAGAATAAATTGTCTATGTAAACTAATAATCATAAGAGTAAGATTAGAGTTATCACAAGTCCACTTTATTACTCTTGATTTTTTTTTTTTAAAAAAAAGAAAGAAAGATACGTGTAGTGTATTATCTTGTATATGTTAAACATTTTTCCCTTATATAGCACAAAAAGAATGTTACTATTGCTGCATATACAGAATTCATTATTAATCTTATTTTTAAATTTAAAGACAAATATTATATTATTTAGTTGCATATGACAATCATACTCTATATAAATATGTATATAGATAGATAAATAGATTTAGCAGTTTTTTTTTTTTTTTTTTTATAAATATAGATATCCATTTATATCGATTTCGTCATAGTGGCATATAAAAGATATTATATAAAAGCTTAAACTTTATTATTATAGCATTAAATGAAAAAAAAAGTACATAAAAAAAGGAAAATAGATGTAATGCTGATGTACATGTTACAACAACAATTAATTAGAATAAATAAATAAATAGATAGATAATAAATAATGAAGTATTCACTTATGCAAAGGATGATGAGCCATGATGAATAGCATCAGTAGTAGTAGTAGTAGACTTGTCATGAGTTTCATTCTTTAAATTATTTTCCAACTTTACTTCTGAAAGAATATCTTCTTGATGAAGAGCAATACGATCAGAGAGAAAGTGGTTAGCGTCACGGTGAACAGCTTCATCGGCCCTTACAGCTAATACTACATCACGAACAGATGCAGAAGGATGCAAGTTATAATAATCAATAGCAATTTGAGGAGCAGGAGCATTTCTAATTAAACCTTTATCAATATCATTCAAGAAATGAGTATAGGAGATAACAGCTTCTTCTTCAAGATAACCACAGAATCGATGTGCTGTCTTGGGTGAAAGGATATAAAGTAAAAAGTAAGCATTAAAGAAAACACCTTGGACACCCAAGACAATTAAACGATCAAACAGACTAGGACTAAGACACTTCATCCAAGTCATCAAATGCATTCGTTCATTTTCAGCTTCATGTAATAAATGAGAGATCCAACCACTATCTTCCGTCAAGGTTCTTAAGGATTTCATGTGACGCCACATGGCACCTACCATACCAGGTACTGCCGCAACTGTTTCCAACATCACAGCACGCATATAATGATTTCTACCGAAATAAGTATCAGGTAATGTACGCAAAAATTTAACAGTATAGTAAGCAGCTTTATCACTAAAGCATCGAGGTACCACGTGTTTGCCTTCACCAAAATCCATTTCCTCTAATACTTTAGTGGTTAACTTGGATCCTTCAATAAATTCTTCGCACATAGGAACAGGTCGAACTTCACGCATTTCATGAAGGAGATCCCGAGGCATATTTCCAATTGCATCTGTCATTTTCATATAAGAACTTTCTTGTTGTTGTTTATTAGGAGCAGTAGTAATCGTACGACGAGCAACCATTGATACAGAAGGTAATAAAATACGAGGTACCAAAGTTGCTGAGACAACAGACTTTAAAGCCTGACGTGAACTAATCGTTTTAATCATATTATGTGTGTGTTTATTAATAATAATAATAATAAAAGAAGAAAGAAACTAACTCTAAAAGAGGAAAAAAAAAAACTGAATAAATCAACTCTTTTTATATATCCTCTCTGTTATAAGCTTTTGACATTTAGTAACAGTAACGTGCATAATGGCTCCGAAATGAAAAAAAAAAAAAACTTGATAGTCATACCCAATTGTTTTTATGTGTTAAGACGGAGTTTCTTTCCGATTCCTTTTTTGATTTCCGTTCAACTAAAGAATAGAAAAAGAGAAAGAACCAACTAAAATATTACGTAAGCCTATCAAAATTAATAGAATGACACTATTACTTGTAACTTAAAACAAGTATTCAAAAGAATCCAAACTCGAATTGCTTTAAAATCATATGAAAATCAATTCATTAAATGAATAAATAAAAAGGGGGTTTACTCGGACAAAATTTATGACTCTTTCCTTCCTATATCTCCCCTGTTTACTCAGCCAATCATTTGACTGAAACTCTTAGAACAATAAGATTATAAAATTAATTTAAACCAATAAATTGTTCGCTGTTTTTTTCCCCTCATTTTATTTTATTTTTATCCTAATAATTTGATATATATGGATACTAATGAGAAGGGCGGGCGGATGGATTTTCCCCCTTTTACCTAAACGTTTAAGAGGAAGAAAAAAAAAAAAGTGAAGTATCACACTTCATTCCTACTGACTTTCTTTCTGTTGGAAAATGAAAAAAAAAGTACAAATGACGCAATCAAGTCAAGCTAAATTCCACTCTTAACAAAAAGAGGAAGACAAAAAATAAAATAAAATAAAATAAAACAATAAAAAAAAAATCCTTATCAAATCAACCATCTTCTCTCCGGCAATTTTTAATTTTAGAAACTTTAATTGTTTTTCAATGAAAACGTGGTTTCAACAATTGTTTTTATTATCCTTTGAAATCATAAATATCATTTTTTTTTAAAAAAAAAGTAAATATTTCAAAGTCATGATGAACATTGATAGCATATGTAAATTGGACTCATGACTTCTGCTAACCTTACCAGGTGCAAATATAATAGTTATCGATTACAAGGTTTTAGCCAATTGTGTGGGTTCTGTTTCAAAAATACAAAAAACAATTTTTTTTTTGTTTGAAATTTTTTATTAATTAAACATTAGAAGAAGAATAAAATAAAAAAATAATATAAAATAAAAAAAAACGGAATATTTTTAGTGCACGTCTTGGGCGATATTTATGATATATAATCGTAGTTATATGAGCTACACAAATAATAATATAAAGGTCTCTTTTTAAGCATGTTATTTGATATAAGCTTTATTAAAACGGAAATGTCTTTCGTACCTGTAACTTTATTTAGCTTTATTTATTTACTTACTTTTTTTGAACAATGCTAATAATTAAAATGTACATGTAAATCGTAAAAAAACTTCTTGAGGTTAAAAATACATAGCTAAATAATTCGGAATAAAAGTTGCTCAACAACATAATAATGCAATGCATTTTAATCAGATATTAGTCCACGATAGCTTTATGACATGTATTGTGTTTTTTTCTATAAATGTTAACATTACTTTTTTTTATTTTAAAAGCATTTCTTCGAATTTGGTTGCATCTTTTTTCACTATAAAATATCTACATTTTTGAAGATCACAATTTTAGTTTTAACTACTGTTCTTCCCAGAACTCAACTTTTATCAGAAAGTTAGATTTTATGATAAAGAGGGAAAAAAATTTTTTTTTTTCTTCTCTCAAAAAAAAATCTGGACTCTCACGTTTTTCAGAGAGATAAGTTTTGCTTCTAGATTAAAGTAAATAGCAGGAATTATACAATTATTAAGGGCTTTTAAAGAAATTGAATACGGATAATTCAATGAAAATTTATCTTCTTTTTTTCATTTTCATTGGCAATTTTACACTATAAAAAGTGCTAAAAAATGATCAAATCTACTTAATCTCTTCAGAGAGACATAAAAAAAAAAAAAAAAAAAAAAAAAACTGTAAACTTTATTTCTATGATAAAATAAGATCCGATGTTATAAGTTTGAATTTCATTCCACTATATATCATTCAGTGATAACCGAAAGCTCCCAAAGAAGTGAAATCTCTTATATTCAACTAACATCATGGCTGAACTTACCATTCCAGTGCTCGACTTTTTTTTTTTTTTTTTTGCTGTAACAGTCCTTGTTCATTATTTCACAGATTTGGTAAACTAAATTTAAGTCTATCCTACCAAAGAAAGTTTTACGAATTACTTTGTAGTAATCAAACTAATCTTTGATATATATGTACATATATCGAGTTTATGATATTTATATTGATAGTCAATTGACCTTCCAGAATTTATATCAAGTTTACAAGAATTATATTAGCCACACAAAATTTCATACTCAAACGCAAGTCATTTGTATGCATATATTTAAATTCCTGTATAGTCAGGTGTTTTCTATTTTATTATTTATAATGCATAATATAAAATTAATCTTTAGCCATCAAAACAGCTCTGTAACGATCCAAGCTCTTATCACAACGATCAATAGTCTTTTCTAAACCTTCAAGGGTAAAAGGATATTCTTCAGTAACTGCACAAATGTTGTGACGTTAGGCAAATTCTAACATTAGATCAATGACATAACGACCACCAATAATAGACCCCTTTAAAGGCGTTTTCGGGTTAAGTAAGAAGCTCGATGCGTCCTTGATCGTAACAGGAACATTAGGTAAATCAATTAAATAAAAGGCGCCATTACGATTTAAGAAGGTCAAGATGAAGATCAAAATCAAGTTTGACCGAGACTGTATCTAAAGACTAAATCATATTTTTTTTTTTTTTGTCAAACTTGGCAATATATTCTGGAGGTGGAATCTTTGGAGCTCAAGAAGTTATGAGCATCCATCTTAAGGGCTTCTCCATTTTTTATTGAGACTTATGAGAGATGGCAGTTATATGAGGCCATCTTGAGCCATAAAAATACAACCAGTATAACATACACCACAGACCAACGCTTTTATAATAATATCATTTGGACCAAGGTTTGGAGCATCAACGATTTGTTCTCTAAATTGTCAGTAGAAGAGTGCTGAGTAATCTTAATGTCCGCCATATTAGGATTGATACTGGTTTTTTTTTTTTTTTTTTTTTTTTTTTCAGAGAAAGAATAGCACATTAAAGTCATGTATATTTACTTTGGCATTTTAATATAATAGATAGATACTATAATGGTCTACTACTGCTACTATAAAGCTTATTGATTTGTTTCCATTAGTCTTCAATTATAAGAATTGATAATTTACCCTTATCAATACACAATCCTTTACTAATGTAGAGATAATCATTTTATAACCTTAGAATATATCCTCTTATATGGAGCCTTTTATTTTATTTAATCCTCTTTACCTATAAAGATTGATTTTTAAAAATTTATTTGTTATTGTTTTTTTTTTTATTGCTGTCAAAAATGTTTCATTATTTTATTAATTATGCTAAGGTGGCTTATATTCAGTCTGTTTTCTTTAAACTTCCAGCTTAGCTTTTTTTATTCTTGATAGCTCAAATCTCATTCAATTAAAAGTTACCCATCATTCTCTATGAAAAGTGTATTGAAATTTACATGTCAATACGTGATTGTTTGGTTAATCTTCCATGTTGTAATCTACTTTATTCAAAAGGTAATAAAAAAAATAAAATAAAATAAAAATAAAATAAATAAATAAGAAAAAAAAAGTCACTGTGACATAAACTTATGTAATACTCTCTTTTCCCCCACAAACACACACACACACACACACACACACAAATATATACAAACTTTGATAACAAGAAGAATGCTTCTAGAAAACATTTGTTTAATGTGAAACCTTTTAATATAAGCTGGCGTACTTCATTTTTCAATTCATATTTTATCCACATCACACATAGTTATGCGCCTCATTTATGGCGTACCTGGTTTCAAATTGGTACGATCATCACATTTTGCATCATGTTTGTTGGAATTTGGATTGTAACTCAATCTAGTGTTGAAATCTTCAAAACCATACTTACCTATATACCTACTGTCAAGGCACAACTGATAAAACGTAACTTCATATTAATGGAACAACAAGAACGACATGGTATCTTACTGCCTATAATTCCGGGACTCACTCTACCCTTAGATCATATACACTATTTTTTGTTAGCTCTAATGATGGCTGCCCTTTTCCATGAGCTAGGTCACTGTCTTTGTGCTGGTGTCTATGGACTCACTATTAAATATTTTGGTTTATTCCTTCATTACTTATACCCTGGTGCCTTTATTTCTATTTCTCAAGCTGATTTGGATACAGCTGGTTCATGGCAAAAAATACAAATTGCCTGTGCAGGTATCTGGCATAATCTCATTTTGTATACTGTCTGTATTGCATTCAGACGGGCAAGCGAATTTATTTGGAGTCATTTAGGATGGAAAAACTTGGTAAATGAAGATAACGAAAGTGGTGGTGGTGGTGTAAGCGTAGTAAGTGTCCATGCTACATCTCCTCTTTATACGCATCTATTGCCTGGTATGCGTATTATACAATTGGATGATACACCTCTTAAAAATAGCTCCTCAGATTGGAAAGCCTTTTGGAATATGAATTATACTTTACCATTAAAACAAGGATTTTGTACGTTATCTCATTTTATGATTGAGGACAAGAGTTGTTGTGATATTACAAGTGATTTACCTTTTGGTAATTTTAGTGATCCAAACATTTCCTGCTTCCAGAACATTGCAGCACAAGATAAGGAAGATGTAGAAGGGAAATGTCTAGATACAATGCAGATATTAACATCTATCGAGACATCTCGCTGTACTATAGATGATGACTGTTCTGGAAATAATACATGTGTAGTTCCTTTTACCCCATCTATACATGGTCAAAGGGTTCGTCTATTTGGTGAATTAGAAAGTAAAGAGTATACAACGATTATTTATGAGGGCACTTTAGAGGATGTTCTAAATAGTGGTACATGATATAATATATAAATAGATGTATAAAATAGTATTCTTACACTATTTATATATTAGTTCAAGTGAGTCATTTGCATCCAAAATATAATTATTTACCACCTCAATTACCACATCAAATCGATCTTTTAACAAGGTATGTATGTTATGATAAAAAGATATATAGGCATATTAAACGTATTCTTTAGTTTTATTGCAACTCTCTCTCTTTCACTAGCCTTATTGAATAGTGTACCTGCATTTAAGTTAGATGGAATGTCTATTCTTTGTCAATTGTTAAGAAAAAAACGAAATTTATTTACAGTTATTACAAGGCTCATGTCTGGATTAGTTCTGTTTATTGTATTCGGCAGTGTATTTATATTCATTTTACAAAAGATGTAACATTTCTTTTGTATAGCATGCTATATCATAAGTTTAGAATAAAATGTTTAATTATTGTGGTAACAAGAAGGAAGCATAAAACTGCTACCTTTTTTAAAAAAAAACAACAACAACAACAACTTTAACAATATAGAAGATTCTTCGTGTAGTCATTTATGTATGTATTTAAATATAAAACTTCTCTCCTTAACTTTCCTTTCTCTTTTATTCCCCCCCCTTTTTTTTTTTTTTTTTTTTTTTTTGCTGTTAACTGTAGAGAGCAAATATAAAATCGTCACGTATATTTTCAATTCCTTAATATCATTCTTCTTTTCTTTTTCTTTTTTTTTTTTAATTTTTACTAAATATCAATGAACATATTTCGATTAGTAGCGGATTTAATGCATTTAGCATCTATTATTATTTTACTTTTAAAGATAAAGAAGACTCATTCTTGTGTTGGTAAAAAAAAAAAAAAAAAAAAAAAAAAAAAAAAGCTTTTTAAATGCATTCATCGCCTAATATGATTTGATAGGCATATCGTTCAAGACACAACTGCTATACTCTATAGTTTTCCTGACACGTTATTTAGACTTATTCGTTACCAAAATTTCAATCTATAATACTATTATGAAGATGTTTTTTATTACATCCTCATTATATATTTTGTATCTTATGTATTTCAAGTATAAAGCTACTTATGATGCAGTCTTGGATACCTTTCGTATTGAATATCTTTTAATTGGATCTACTGTTTTCAGTCTTGCAACTACTTCTTACTATACAGTATTAGAGGTGAGGAATATAGATATATATTTGTCTTTTTTTTTTCTTTTTTCTTACTTTACAAAAAAAGTTTGCGTGGACTTTTTCAATTTGGTTAGAATCTGTGGCTATTTTACCCCAATTATTCATGCTGCAACGAACAGGAGAAGCGGAGACGATAACGACGCATTATTTATTTGCCTTAGGGGCGTATAGAGGACTTTATTTGATAAATTGGATTTATAGATTTGTCAGTGAAGGACACAAAGATTGGATTGCCTGGATTGCAGGTTTTATACAGACAGCACTATACAGTGATTTCTTTTATATCTATTATACTAAAGTTCTTAATGGTGAAAAATTTGAATTACCAAAGTATGAGTGGTAAAGTTTTAGTAAATAATGATGAAAAAAACTAACATTTTAAAACAAAAAAAAATATACACATTTATATAATAGGATGGTTTGAGAATTTTATTTATTTATCTTTTTCTTTTTCTTTTTCTTTTTCTTTTCTTTTTCTTTTTTTTTATATATACATATATATTTATATATACATCATTTTCTTTTATTACCGTTATGTCTGATCACTCATCACATATATCTTCTGAGAAACAAGAGTATTTAAAATTAATAAATGAATTAAACCAGGAAGTGAATCATCATCTTCCAAAAGATATGCTACAGTTTTGTTTTAATTTCTTTTTAAAGCGATTATTACAAGAGAGATCACAGGCAAGACATGTTTCAAACATGAATTCTTTTTTATTTTCTCAAGGTATATACACCTATTTATTTTTTTTAAAATAAAATAAAATAAAATAAAATAAAAATAAAAATTCTTATTATACATTATAAAGATAATAGTAAAAATCCAACTGATACCACTCTGGAGGACACTTTTAATACTACTTTTGATGAAAATATCAATAGTAATGACCAAGAGTATTTTGTATCAGACAATTCACCTAATCTCAATGACGCATATCTTAGAAATCGTAGGATATCAGTCAGTGCAGAATCCATGCAACCTACGCATGTAAAAGCTACTAGCTTGACTGATAAAAAAAGACCAGAAGCAAAATCAAAATCTGAAATTGATTTGATTATCACTTCTTTAAAGAGTCATTTTTTTTTAAAATCAATCGAGGAAGAACAACGTAATGAAATTATTGACTGTATGGAACAACGGAGATTCCAAACAGGTGAAGCAGTCATTGAACAAGGTGATGTGGGTGATTTTTTTTACATTGTATCCTCTGGTACTCTAGATTGCTTTGTGGATGGTATGCTTGTAACAAACTATCAAAGAGGTGATAGCTTTGGAGAATTAGCCTTGATGCATAATACCCCTCGTGCCGCTACTATCAAAACAACCTCTGAGACACTACTTTGGGCTCTAGATCGGGTCTCCTTTCGTTCTATCTTAATCGAAAGTAATGCTCAGAAACGCATTATGTTTGAAAAATTTCTAGAAGGCATCCCTCTCTTTAAGTCATTGAAAAGTTCTGAGATACATAAAATTGCAGATTCTTTAAAGCCTGTTAGCTTCCGTGATGGTGATTTCATTTTAAGGCAAGGCGATACAGGTGATCATTTTTATTTGATTGAGCGTGGTGAAGTCCTCTGTTATCAAGCTACAGAAGATGGTCAGCCACAATTAGTGAATAAATTGAAGAAAGGAGATTATTTTGGAGGCAAGTATATATACATATATGTATATATATATATATATATGTAAAGGACAAAAAAAAAAAAAAAAGGATAAAGAAGGTAATGATAAACATACAACTAATAGTACTCTTGTTTAGAACTTGCATTATTGACAGATAGACCGAGAGCTGCAACAGCTGTTGCAAAAGGTGATCTTAAGTGCGTCACCTTAGGAAAAGCTGCGTTCACTCGATTGTTGGGCCCTGTTATGGATATTCTTAAACGTAATACTACTAATTATCATGCTATTCTTAAAGAAGTTCATTCATAAATAAATAAATAAATAATTTATTTATTTATTTATTTTGATTTTTTTTTTCTGCCTCCAATTTTTGTTTCTTTCTTGCTAAATAACGCTCTCGAGCACTCATGGCAGCATCTTCTGTTGTACGTTTAGCAACTGCCTTTTGTTCAACTTCTTTTCGTTTTCTTTCTTCTTCTTCTTCTTCCTTCTTTTTAAGTTCCAACATTTGTTTCTCCACTTCTTTACTAAGACGTTCACGTTCATCCTTACTTTTACCTTGTCTTCTTCGTGATTCATATTCTTCTAACTTTTTACGCTTATACCTTTCATATTCTTCTACTCTTTCTTTGATACGTTCATCTGAGGCAGCCAAGGATTTAAGAGAACCAAACTTGGGCTTCACATTCAGACCTGCACCCAGTAATTGTCTTTTATCTACAATTTCGTTATTATCGTTCACAATCACATTCTTTCCTTCTCTTTTCGCCTGTTCAACCAATTTAGTTTCGTCGTCTATATTAGAGTCAACTAGAGTAGATTGATTTGAATTTTTATTTTTGCTTCGTTCTGCTATTGCCTTCATCATGGCTTGATGCTCTGCTTCTTTTCTTTCGAGTACTTGCTTATAAAATGTATCCATTCCTCTATTTTTTTCTGCTAATGCTTCTCGTTCTCTTTCCTCTCTTTCAATACGTTCTAATTCTGCCTTTTGCTTTTTAAAACTATCAAACAAGTTAATATGTATATTAATGTATACAAGAATATAAATTTAAAAAAAAAAACTTACGACTCAGTAATAAAAACTTCTTTGCCAGCAAATTCTTCACCTTCTTCTTCTCTTTCTCTTGCTACTTTCTTTTCTTCAGCAATTAGACGATCTCTTTTTCGTATCTCTGCCATCTCTAGCAATCCTGTAATATATTTTGGCTTTTTTGAATCTGGTTTTAAAGCCTCCTTTTTCTTTCGTTCAACCTCTTTTAAATCATCATAAACAGCATCATAATCAAAGATGGTTGGATCTTCTTCTAAGGCTTTAGCTTGCTCTTCGGCAATTTTTTTTGTCATTGTATTATAGCCAGACAATTGTCGATTAACTTGTGTTCTTGCTTTTTGATTCTTTTTAGAATTTGATTCATTTTGTAATGTATCCTCTTCTTCGTTTTCTAATTCATCATCAGTAGTATTAGCGAATGCACTTGGTTTACGAAGAATGGTGGAATTAATTGGTGCTTTTTTCTTTTGTAAATTCAATCCAAATTTCATTCTTGTAAAAAAAAAAAAAAAAAAAAAAAAAAAAAAAAAAAAAAAAAAAAAAAAAAAAAAAAAAGATAAAAAAAAAGGTATATTAATTTTATTGGGCCTACTTTAATGTCCGACGTCCCTTCAATTTTTTAAAAAATAAAAAAAATTTTTTTCTGTTTTGCTGTTTTTTTTTTCTTCTTCCTCTAATTCGTTATATAAAAATGGTTCACGCTAACGTTTGGAATTCTCACCCCAAGTCCTATGGTAAAGGTTCTCGTCAATGGTAAGTTGAAATGAAGGGAGGAAAAAAAAAAAAAAAAAAAAAAAACTAATGATGTGTCTAGTCGTGTTTGTGCCCATCGTGCCGGTTTGATCCGTAAATACAACTTGAACATCTGCCGTCAATGTTTCCGTGAATATGCTAACGATATTGGTTTCCACAAGGTAATTAATTAACTATCATTAAATTAAACGTATCTAATATTTTTTTATTTTTATACAAATATAGTACCGTTAAATTTTGATATATGGCTGTTAAAATATAAAAAATGGGCCATTTGTGATATTTATATATATACACACACAAAAAAAAAATTAAATAAAACCTTTTCTTTTGTGGAAACAGATGTCAAAATGTCAAAATTATTGAAAAAATGAATTTTGAATGTGTGTGTGTGTGTGTGTATTTTAAGGAGAGTTAAAGGATAATTGTTCATAAAATAATAAAAATAATAATAAAGTTCTTTATCAAGTTATTAAAAGATGATAAACCTTTGTAAAACTGGTAAAAGAGAGAGGAATATTATAATAAAACAGTCCTACATGTGTTAATAATAATTAAAAAAGTAGATTATGAATTCTTTTTTTTTTTTTCTTATAAATGTATATGAAACGATTGATTTTATGAAATGAAAAGAATTTTATACAAATACACATTTCTTTTTCAATTAAAGAAATCTTGAAATACCAAAATTTCATATTTGGCAAGCTTAAATAATATCTTTTTAATATCTTTGATAACGATCATTGAGAGCAGGTGAATGATGTACGCAGATCTGCAGAAGTTTTTTTTTCTTTTGAACATTTAAAAAAAAGACTTTTAATTGTCATTAAAACTAAACGTAGTCCATAATAGTCGATTTAAATTTCTTTATGAATGTCAAAAAGTTTAAGAAGCACTTAAAGAGCTTCTCTCTCTCTCTCTCTTTTTTTTTTTTTTTTTTTTTTTTTTTTTTTTTTTTTTTTTTTTTGTTAAAAACAAAAATTAGAGTGTAGCTATTGTAATCTTTAATGTTGATTTTCTTTTTGTAATAGTGATCTCATATACAATAAAGTATAAGAAATAAATACACGTTGTTGATTTTCATGCGTTTACTAAAACCTTACATAGTATTTCTAGTATTCGTATTAAATTACTCCTTAAATAATAATTCTTTATTGTAAGTTAATACAATTCATATTCCCCCTCAGTTCTGACATGATATCCTTTTAGATAACAGCAGCTTATAAATATTCCTTTATTATTTCAAGATAGTAATAATAAACGTTTGGGAAAGAGAGATCTAGAAGATTGTCTAATCCTTAATCTTGTGCTTTACTATTCTTGATTCTAAATGTACACGACAAGACTTGCATCGCAAGAATTATCAAATTAAAGCTTCTCTAATAGAAAAAAAAACAGGCTCTTTTTCTTTTATAGAAATACCAGTTACATATGCTACAGTTATTAATTTTACTTCTTTCAAGCAGGAGAAACAGCTGTTTGATATTAACTTGAAAATTAATAAAAGATATTAGACTATAAATAGTTTTTTTTTTTTTTTCAAGAAGCTCTGTACAAAAATGGAAAAAAATAGGAGAAATTTAAAATAGAACAGTTGTAGAAATCATTTGTTATGTAAGGATTGTTTAAACGGCATTTTAAACCAGAATTTGTTAAAAGGTAATAATTCGTTTAATGATCTATAAGAAGAAGGAAAAAGAAAGAAAGAAGCTATTAGAGCATTACAAAAAGTAAAATTAAATGCTGCTTGACTTGTTGACATAGTGAGAAATTAGGACATTGATCAAAATAGAAGGTATTAAAAAAGGTAAAACAATAAATATCAAGTTTTTTTTTTTTTTAAGGGGCAAACTAAAAAACAAGAAAAGGTCAAATTAGTTATTTTTCACATTATATATAATAATACTTTACATAATTACTCGGTACAATACCAATTGTACCATCTCGTTTCTTGGCCTGCCACCAGTTTCCACTCTTATTTAAAATTTCGAGAACTTCATCTTTAGCAAAAGAAAGTTCATTTGGATCTTCAGGATTTGCTGTATCTAATATTTCAGAAGATAGAAATATGCAGTCAGTTAGTATAGTATAGTAAAATAGAATGCTTTGATATGTTACTAACATGGATGTAATGCAGTTACTGTAATTGTAGGCTGTGGCATCATGATAGGTGATACAATATGTATTGAAGATGGAGGATGTTCAGGTGAACTTAATGCAACTTTACTTTCTTTTGGACTGGTGTGAATTTGCACCCTATTTACTGTATTATTCGTATTTACTGTGAATTGAGAATAAATAAATTGATTTACAAATGAATCTTCTGTACTTCCAAATAAAATAACCCAAAAGAACTTTGTATTTTTTTAAACATATTAATAAACTTGAATCACATGACATCATATAACACACTTACTTCTATGATAATTAATATGATAGCGCCTGCACTAGTAGCTTGATCACCACTTGAATGAAAGAATAATAATTGGTCGATATATATTGTTAATAATGCAATACTAACTCCCAAAAAGACTAAAAACTAATATTAAATATTAAAAAAAAGAAGAAGAGATGAATATGAGAGACTTTATAAATTCAGATAGAGTTTACCATAAGTTGATAATGATGGAAAACCTGTCTCCAAATACTAAATAAAATGCTACCAACTAAAAGTAATTCATAAATTATGATCCACCAAATAACACCACCTCTTCCCGCAATACATGCTCCAATAAATGTGATAAACCAGCCTATCTTTATATAAAATAGATTCAATAAATAAAAAAAAAAGCATATCCTCTATTTTTACACTTCTTTCTTACCACTGACATTATAAAGGATATAAGAACGATAGGACTATTTTTAATATGGGCTCTATTTAGTTGCATTCTTTATTTATTATTATTAAAAGAAAGGAAGAAAAAAGATATTATAATACTTTTTTTTTGTTTGTAACATCACACTAAATTTATATCAGGTAACGCAAATATAAGGGCAGTAGCAAGCTGTCTGCAGCTTGTTACTGTTGAATAAGGTGGTGCTCCCTCCCTCCCTCCCTCCCTCTCCCTTCACCCCCCTCCTTAAAATCTTTTTATTAAATGCTTTATTCTTTCTTTGTTGTTCATACTTATTTAAAATTCCGGTGTAAGTAAGACGTCACGGCAACCCTGCCCATTTGGTGGTTATTGTTTGTGGGGGGTCGGATTTTATTTACAAACCAAATCTATTCACTCCCAACTTTTTTTTTTCTTCCTTATTAAAGCTTATATATTTTTAAACAACAAAAAATGGCTTCTGGTTTTGGTTTAGACGGTGGTATGTTTTAAATATATATAAAAAAAAAAAAAGAATAATAATTTATACTTGAAATATGAAATTTTTGTACTTTAAATAGGTCGTGGTCGATGTTTTCATTTTTGGCAGGAATTCAATAAATGTTATGCTACTGCTGATCTTCCTCAACAATGTCTTGATCAACGCGATGACTATTTTGAATGTCTTCACCACACCAAAGAGGTAATAAATGAATAAATATATATATATATATATATATATTTACATATATATTAAACTCTTCAAGTTATCTTAGTATGCTCGAATGGCACATATCAAGGCAGAGGAATTAAAGCAAATTCAAAAAAGAAGACTTGAACAAGAAAAGGCAAAGAAAGAAGCTTCAAGTGCAGCAGATTCAAATATGCCAAAATTAAAATTAATTGACCAACCAGGTGCTGCTGCTGCTGCTACTGACGCAAAGGCAAGCGCATAATAGAATTTCGTCAACTTATCCTCACATAACAACCCATATTTAACGATATCATTCAACACAAACGAACAAATAAAGAAAGGGAGGAAGGGAAGGAAGGAGAGAAATGAAGTTTATAGTTGTATATTAATAAAAGTGTATATGTATGTGTATGCATGTATGTTTGTATGCATGTATGTTTGTATGCATGTATGTATACGTTTTTTTATTTATTTGAAAACTACATAAAATCAACGTCCAATCATCCTCATGATAATGATCAAATTCAAATTGTAGATAATGTCTTTATTTATTTTCCTTCAGTGTTACTAGGATGCATTTTATATGAATATTCGTTAATTGTGTAGCTTAATTTATTATATTATGCATTCAACTTGGAGAGGATAAGCTTTAGTCATTCTCTTCTTGTATTAACAAAAATAGTCACATATACGTGACAATGTGCATAGTAGCCATGTTAATTATCATTTATATAGAGCCATTTATAGTAAAGCCTCTGAATAAAAGATCAAATGATGATTCAGTATTAGAATACCTTAAAAATAAATAAATAGAAACTAACCCTGTTATTATGCGATTCTTTTAGAACTAGGTCTTCATACATTAATTTCTTCTGTTTTGTATAATTATAATAAATGCATCAGCTAATAAACGTTTCTGCATTCACTGTGTCAACTTGTACATGGTGAGCAAATCGAAAAATAAAAAAAAAGTAGAAGCTGTACATTCTAAATTGTACTAGATGTTACTCAAGTATTCAGTTGTTAGGTAGTGTCGGTTGTTTTGACAACCACCTACTTGTTACTAAACAACGATAGTAATCCTAGTAACCGCATAGGCCCTTATATAAATCATTTGCTTCTTATATTCATCTTCTTTTCTCGTTCATTGAATTGCCGTAAAACTTTGTATATAACTAGAGTCAAATTCCTACTTTATATGTCTGTTTAATAATTATTAAAAAGTAAAGGCCTTTGCTAAATTAAATTATAGTATTGCTAAGTTTTTAAAAAAGAAAAAAAAAGCTATATAGGATTTGTTAAAGATATCAAAATATATAGATAGTAATGTTTTCAATGATATTAAATAACATGAGTCTTCGTCAGTTTATACAATCGACAACAGCAATGTTTGGGGAAATCATCAGATTAGTGTACGACATTCAATAGTGTGAATTGGTAACCAGAGTATAGGATCTAAAGGCAAATTTAGATAGCAATTGAGTAAAAAGCATCTTATAAATAGACTGGAGCGCCTGCTAAAATATATGTATATATACATGTATATATATTTGATAATCCAGTTTCTTTTTATTTTGTTTTATAGATAGTATGGTAGTAGCAATATGAAAGAAGCTTAAAGTTATTGTTTTTTTTTTGATTTTTGGTAGCTTTTGAAAATTGAATAATCTCTTTGAATAAGATAAATAGTTATTAATATTCTTCCCCCTCCCCTTTTGAGTACTACTGATATAGCCTACTTTTAAACAAAAAGGAAAATAAGCTTTTAATTATAAAGTCTTAGAAGCCCGCATAAGATTATTTAACTACTAAAAGTAAAAGCCATATGAAAGTATTCCTGTGGATAAATATTCTCATCAGTCATCATCTTGTATTACTGAAGCATAAATGGCAACAACTGTTGAAGATTGTCACTACTAGATTATTTATTCTCAAGCGTACTTGAACAAATGAAACAAAAGAAAGTGAATGTGATATTTCAAAGAAAGCTTATATAGACATAAAAGTCAATGCGTCGTCTACATTTTTTTTTTTTTTTTTTTTTTTTTTTTTTTTTTTTTTTTTTTTTTTTTTTTTTTTGCTTTGATCTCTTAATTAGTCTGCAAGGAAACCAATATTAGACTGTCTTCAAAATTTTCGATCACGTCTTGTTTAATTAGGTTAAAATTTTGTACGACGATGAAAATGAAGATTACTTGAGTTGTTATTAAGGTATCATTACACAAACAAAATATGATTTACTTTAATGTGTAATTCTGTGACAGTATTTTGAATTTGTCATAAAATACCCTTTTTTTTTCTTTGGTGAATGTGTATATCTCTTTTATTTTATTTTATCTTTTGTTTTACTTTTGTTTCTGTTTTTTTTTTTAGATCAAATATGAATCATGATATTTCATCATTTTGGCTTATTTGTGATAATCAAACCTGTCACTGTGACTGGAGAGTAACTATAGTAGATTGTAAAGAAAGAGAAACGATGATCTATATATATATTATAAACGCAGTCTGTTCTTTAATTAATTCGTTTTTAAGTAATATTCATTATACAACGATCATTGTAATAATAATAAGCAAGAACTGACATATACTAAAGTTTCAGGGCTACTATATTATAGGGTGATGTGCAAAGGATTTCCCATTTTTGATTTTGGATCTCAGACTGAACATAAGTATATAATACGACCAAAACCAATTGAATCCCTGTTATTTTTTGGTGCAATATTCAACATTCGTAAAAAGAAAAAAAAAAAGTCTAATAATGTATAATGTCATAATATATTTACTAATAAATATATATAGTTAGATGTATAGATGCTATCTTGTTAGTTACAGATGCAGCACCAAATGCTATATTTAAATCTCGTAAATATGACATATTTAACGTCGTATTAGAATAGTTTAGTTATATTATATAAATTTTAGTCTTATATGAGCTTCCTTGGCAATTTGGTATTTGCGCTTTTGCATGTTATCTCTTTGGTATCGCTCATACAGTATCCAATGTACATATAAGTTTAAAATTCAAAGGTCTTCTATCTACTAACTTTAAATGTATATTTTTATATAGAGTAGTAAATTCATTAAAAACAACTGGATAAAAATAACATTCAAAACTGACGTTTTATGTTCGATCATGATCACATTACCTTTTCTTACAAATAATGTGTGTGTAATTGGAGCTTCCGTTTATGCAGAAAGAGGCGATATGGCTAAAGCAAAAATATTTACAGATATACTTTATTTTCTATGGACAGCTTATTGTTTTACATTAGCCCTCTGTATCTTAGTTGCTGGTCTTCGACTAATTGCTATACTAAAGCATCATTTAAAAAATCAAGCAACTCTTGATCCCGATAATAATTCAATTACAGGTAAAATAAAAAATGGGCTATTTAAGGTAATATATAAATATATAGAAATATACATATTTATATAATATGTAAAGTAGGATAACATTAACGCGTAATTTAATCATAGGTTAGAATGATTATGTCAATCAGTATCACTTCACTCTTAATATTTTCTTTTATTAAATGTATGTATGGTATTCTGCGAGTTCCTTTATTGAAGACGACAGGATTAAACCTCGCTATTGCAATAATATGGACTTTTGATGGTACATTGGCCTCTATTCTTGTTGCAGTAGTTGTCTTTATCAAGTAAGTTTCTTCAAGTTAAAATATAAATAATGTATACTAACATACACATACACATAAATATATAAAAGCCCAAAGGCATTGACATCGTTAAATATAACATCAAACAATGATTCCTCAACAATAACTAAATCAAATCATTATATAAAAGACGATGATGGGTATTCTTTAAACGATATTAAATATGATGAGAAATACTATCGCTCTTCTTTATCAATACAAAAAATTGAACCTGCCTGTATTTTACCATCATCCCATTTTGAACATTCTTCTAGCTCCATATCCGCTACACAACTTCTATGACATGATTGTTGTACAAAGAAACGTGATGATTACCCTAAAATGAGGTTTTGCCACTACTCAAATTTAACCTTCTTCTTTCTCTCTCTTCATTCTCTCTCTCCCCCTTTATTATTATTATTATTATTATTCATACTACATGCATAATGTCAAGATCTTTAAATCCTTCATCTTTTAATCAAGAAGAATTGGCAAATGAATGGGAAGAAGCTTATCACAATAAAAATACCATTTTAAAAAATAGCAACAATAAAATATCCGATTTTAATAATACTTTTAAACACTTTAATGCTATATTCAGTGATGATGATGATGATGATGACGGTAATGATCAGCCAGTTACTTCATTAGCTCACAGAATATTTCAACATGAATCACCCATGTTGACAGGCTATGTCGATCCTCTTATAAACTCTTCTACTTTTCATATTTATCAGGCAGATAATGCTTTATTAACTCTAAAACATGTCATTTCTGAAGACGGTTGGAAGAAAGCTTTGAAACATAAAAGTGGCGTAGTAGTTCATATAAAAAACGGTAAAGGAGATAAAACGCCAATTTTTAAGGGGGAATTTGTTATACAAGGATTTTCACCTCAAGCTGTCTTTTATGTCATTGGTATGCGTAAATTATGGGATGAACAGTAAAGTTTGTAGCGTATTATATTTTTTTTTTTTCAGTATTCAGTTTGGATATACACAACTTATTTATTTGATGCCAACTCTTTTTTTTTAATATAGATATGAGGATGGAAATCTTGTAGAAAATTTAAATGACACAACATCATTAACATATGAAGTTATGAAGCCTACAGCTACAAACAAGTGAGTCGATTTTTTTTTTTTTTTTTTTTTTTTACATAACATAAATAGTAATTTATCTTGTTCTGTATAGACCAAGAGATTTAGCTTTAGTTGAAAAAATTGAATGTACTCGAAATGGTGCTATTATTTTTGCTTGTACTAGTGTAGAAACACCAAAAATACCTAGAATTAGCGGCAGAGCACGTATAAATATAAAGGTTTATATATAGTTCTATCCTTATTAAAAAAATAATAATAATACTAATAACTTAACAATTATATAAAGTTGCAAGGCTGGGTATTAGAACCTTTATACGGAGAAATTCAACCAGCAACAAAAATTAAATATATAATACAAGAAACTATAAAAGGATGGGTACCTGGCTTTGCAAAAAAGGCTTTAGCTAGAAGACCTTTAGTGATAGCTAAAATATCAGAATATTTAGAAAAAAAGACAGAACGAATGCGTGCAACACATCAAGCATTAAATAAAAATGCATCTACTTTACAGCAAAATATGAATAACAGTAGGACACCATCTGCTACAAACTACCATACATTCCCACAACAATATAATAATCCACTTCCAAGTCCCTTCCAAGCATTAACATCTTCACAACCATCTCTAAAAGTCTCCCAACCATCTATTCTACAGCAGCCAGAAGCAAATACATCTACTCAACACTCTACTAAAAAGCATATATCGTTTGCAGATAATATTTCACATACACTATCCCAAAATCAGACCACTAATGAATTCAGCAATGATAGTACTAATAGTAGTATAACACAAAAGAGCAGCAGCGTATCATCACTAACACAACAATGTCATAACAATCCCCTTTTGGTATCATCTAAAAGGCATCTTTATCCCTCTCATCGTCATCCTATTCAAAAAGCTGAAAGTATTCAATTATTGAAAAAGCTTACTTCCTCTTTTGAGAATTGGTCTTTACTCAAAGAATGTGAGAATGGGACAAAATTATTTGTCTTTAATTCACCGCTTTCAGTTAATGACGATAATAATAATAATAATCAAATTACTTTATCATCCTATGAAGTACCTTTTATTAGAGCAGATAGTATTATTGACGGTGGCTGGACTGCTGAACAACTTTGCTCTGTTACGCGTTGTTTTGGTGCTAGAAAAATATGTAATGTAATATTACAATTCCCTCTTTTTTTATTATTTTTTTTTTTTTTTTATTTTTTTTTTATAAAATTTACACATATTTATAGGGGATTTGTCTTTTGAAAGAGGTCAAACGATAGAAAGATTTAGTCAGAAGGAATATTTGGATCAATGGTTTTTAGGAAGTACGATACCTATTGCTAGTATAGATTTATCTGTCATTACAAGTATTGAAACAGACCCTACGACAGGTACAGTTTATACAGCTAGTACAAGTGTGACAGATCATCAAGTACCACCAGACGAGTTAGAACATCGTATTCGTGCATATTCCGATCTTTATGGCTGGGTCTTTCGACCAAAGCATCAGGGTCAATCTATATATGTTAGTTTTATATGTAATATGGATTTCAAATACAGAATACCGAAAGAGACGATGCAGTCATGGATAGATACTTCATTACAATCAATAACACAGTTACATCACTATTTAACTCAGTACGGATGTCCACCCTATATTCGTCGTGTGGCTGGCAAAGTACAACGGGAAGCATTTGATGCAATTAGTAATCATTATGAAATTACATATGTTGCAAAGCATCAACCATCACATGCATACCGTGCACGTAAACATGCAGTCTGGTGCACAGATATTAAATTTCATCAAAAGATGTTCTCTAATGGTCTTGATATTCATGTCACTCCAGAAAATGGGACTCGAATTGAGATATCTCAACAACAAAAGAGTATAAAGATATACACAATGGATGAATCTATTGACGGGAAGGAGATCACGATCATGATTGACCCTTTATCGACTACGAATGAAGGTGATGGTGATAATTTATCAAGATCTGGTTTGTATTCTTCGGATATCACATATCGTTATAATGGGCAATTTCATTATTCTAAAAAAGAAAAAGGGAATACAGATCATTATCCATCCAAGGTCCCTCATCAATCTATTCATAAAGAAAAAGAAAATAATGATAATAGTTATTTTCCTAAAGCAATATCTCGAACCAGTAGTCAACTCTCATCAACCATTGATAGCGAACCTTCTATTTTAGAAGAAACGAAGGAAAATAAGAAAGTACATAGAGAAGGTAAAAAAAAAAAAAAAAAAAAAAAAAAAAAAAAAAAAAAAAAAGGCTATATTTGAATATTTTACCTTTTTTTTCTTTAATATAAACAAAAAAAAAAATCTATTGCATAGAAAATAAAGCAAAGGAAACGCAAAATGAAGAAAATCTATCTTCTATTCCTACAGGATATGTACTTGTTCCTGAGTATCAGGTGAAATATATATTATATAAAATTATATTTTATAACTGGTTATTCTTATATATTTTTATTTTTTTTTCCTTTCCCCCACTCTATTTGTAGAATAATAAGGTAGTCATTATTTCGGATGAACTATCATTTAATAGTCAACAATTATCAGTCGTTCTTATTGCAATGGTTATATGCTATTATTTTGGCAGATTTACATCTTGCAATTCATGTTGATTTATTTAATATTCTTATATTACATTTATACTTAATACCTAATTATACATATCAAATACTAAAATACATAGTTTAATGGCTTTTATATATATATATAAAAATCGATATTAATAACAATAGACTACTCGCTTTCCTGACAATAGGATTATTATAAGCAAATAGCTAGTTCATTGGAGTTAAAATTTTATTAATGCTTGTTTTTTTTTATTTTTTCTACTGTTCCAAATAACCTACATGAAATACTTATGATAGTGAATGTCTTCTTCTATACAAAAAAGAGAATACATATTGATCTTTCGGCTTCTTTTGTACTATCGTCAACGATTATTGTATAGCATGGACAAAAGCCTTATATTAATTGTTTAAGAAGAGAGCTAGTTTATTATTACTACTAATATCCCCTCCCCTCCCTTGTTTCTTTTTCTAACAGTTAATTTGTGTACAAAAGATTCATTGAGCTTTATTAAACTTGTAGACTAAGAAAAATACTATTTATTTATTTTATTTTATTTTATTTTATTTTATTTTATTTTATTTTATTTTATTTTATTTTCAGTAACTAATATTGCTCTTAAAAGCTATTGAGAGGATAATATTGATGTTAATTCTTCTTGACTCATACTTATAGGGGAAGCACATCTTGTTACACTTGATAGAATCTCATGTAACATGGTTGTTATCCATCTAATAATAATAATAAAAATAAAAAAAAAGGAAAATTCCATGAGTTATATACAAAAAAAATATAGTTTATATGGGAAACTTACTTTTCATCTCCTACATGAGACCATATCATACGTTTTATATATGCTACATCTACTTGAATTTGTTGATAATGAGCTGTATCTATCTGCATTTCTCTTGTTACTTCTAAAAATGTTTTAAGAATAATCAAGATTAATCCAGTATATACGCCTATAGGTGTTGGCTCAACTTTTCGATAGACATCAATACGTTCGGCAAATAACTTATCAATGTTGTTCATGATATGCATATCATTCCTTGAAGGCTTATTAGAATGTGTATCGGATGATAAAGAGGCTAAACTGTGAGAGGATGGAAGAAATTTCTGAGTCCCATACGGATATTCTGAGTTTGATACAGTGCTATCAATGGAACGTCGAGATTGAGGGTAGATGGCTTCCATTAAGCGCTCTATGTAATTAATACGTTGATGAATAAAGAACCAAATAGTTGATACTTGACGTATAGGTGGTATTGATAATGGTATTGGTATGAAATAGGCTTCTTGAATTCGGTTTGATAGCTCATATCCTTCTTGCATTACTTGCTTATTCAAAAGTGTTTGACCCGTGTTCAAGTAATAGTCTATCATCTCATTCATATCGGATATTATACAAGGATCAATATTGGTCTCTACATCAGAGAATGAATATGTTTGCTTGTCTTGTTGTTTACAGAATTTGGCAGAAAACACTGAATATAATTGAAAGATGCCATTATCAGCTAAATCATAACATAAACGGGAACATACTAAAACCAAAATTTGTAATGAAGAACTGTTTAAGTTTGAAGTTTTATCTACGTTCTATAAATAAAAGGAAAAAAAAAATTAAAACAAAGTAAAAAAGGAATACATATAAATATATACATGTATTTATATATTACCTCAAATTTATTAGCTAATTTTTGCCAAACAGCTTTAATTCCAGCTTGAATACGGGCTAAGCTTTTTTTATTAGAAATATCGAGACAATCTTTGAGAGGTAGCAAACATGATTCTATTAAGTAATTTATAAGCCAGGCATGGGTATCTTGGATAAATGCTGCAATTCCACTTATATCAAACTCATTTTGATTTGTTTCTTGTAATGAATTGATAAATTTATTTATACTCTCTAAATATTGAATTAAGTATAAATTGCATGCATATAACGTATATATGTAAAACTTACCTTTTAAGCCTGGTAGTGAAGAGCTTAATAAATTATTAATAAGGTCATTTTCCCATTCAGCAATATGTAGTGTCATACGCTCATCTATTTTAGCAATGGATATTAAAGAAGAAGCATATTCAAATAAAGCTGATTTTAGTTCATTAAGGTGTTCAACTTGTTTCAACGGAGTCTTCAAAGAAATATTCAACTTGAGAAAAAAAAAACGTTAAACATAAAATAGCAACTACGTTCTAACTACTTACTGGTAGCTCAATAAATTCAGAAGTTAATTCGAAAAATTTGTCAATATATGGATTGATTTCTGTAAGTAGATCATTTTTCGCTTCTTCTTTTTCCTTTTATATGTATATACATACATTGTATATATATATATTGTATATTGTATATCATATTAGCGTATCTTAAATATGTGTGTATGTGTATATTTATTACCTTTGCATTTAATAGGCATTTTTTTGAATTGTTATCATAATCTATACTTTCTTCTAATTGTCCTATAAGAAATATATCTTCGAAATGATGAACAATATATTCTAAAGGCTTTATATATGTAGGAATCAGATCTTGAACACAACATGGCTCAGGGCTCTCTCTTTCTATTCTCTGAAATACTTTGAGTTGTCTACAATAAATGTTATAATTGATTGCCCTTTAATATCTATTGTCTTTTCTTTTTTTTTTTTTCTTTTTTTTTGGTTTACATTTGGATATATTGTTTCCATAATTCTTGAACATTATCTTTTCCTAGTAACACAAGCAATTTTATATTTTCTGCAATATTTTGGAATGTAACGTTATCTGGATTTGCTAAGCTTTCCCAAATATTGGTTTTCACTTTTTCCATAATATCATGACAATCCATTTCAATACCCTTAAATGCAGCCATATGTTGGTAATGATTCAGAATTCGACTTGCTTTTGAATAATATTTGACAGCATTACCATATTTACCCTTATTCAGACAATGTTGCAATCGATTAGGTAATTCGAAAATAAATTGAAGTCGTTTTAATGAATTATGAACTTTAGATAGTTGTTGAATTTTTTGAAGATTAGGTCCTAATTCTTGATTAATGATTTTGGATTTTTCAGAAATGTTCTTGATGTTTTCATTTAGTCGAGTCATTTCAGATTCCATACTATCAACATTTGATTTCATCTGACGTATACAAATATATACATATACATATTCAAGTTAGTAGTAATTCAATTCAGCACCAATACCACGTATACCTTTCTAATTGTATCTGTTGCGCTTATAAATTTATTGTAGTTTTCGTAAACCAAGGTTTTCATGTCGCCATCAATTTCTCTAATTTCTATAGAGAACGTTGTCATAAATTCAATAACGGCTTTCGTTTATTATCATTACCTCCAACTAAACAATTATCTTTTTCCATTAAGCCCTGAAGTGTTTTTTCTTTTAATAGTTTGGCAAAATATTTATTTAAATTAAACGATGGCGCATCTATGCATGTAATTATATATTTTTAATAAATTTCGTTTGTTGTATTTTTTTATATGAAATGCTTACCTAAATCAAATGGCCTTGAACTTTCTTCTTGCTGAGCAGGTGTACTATTTGAGGCGTCTTTAATTCCATAATATTTTTTTAATAAGCTATTTCTTTCTCGAGGCTTTGGTTGACGTTTCATCAAAGTCGGTGCATTTTCCATTTTTTTTTTTTTTTTTTTTTTCCTTGTGAATGCTGTTGAAGAAAAATAAGAATGAAGTTATTAAATTTATGCCCCGCGTTTTTTGCTACTGTCGCAATAATATGAAGTCTGCGGTTCTTTAAAATTGCTTTAGTCTTTGAATGATATGAACACAATTGCTTAACCCTAAAGCCCTGAATGAATCAATTGCTTTGAAAATAATAAAGAAGGGAACCTTTGTTTAATTTTCCTGTCTTTACATGTCTTTTTTTTTTTTTTTTTTTAACTAGTAAGTAGAAAGGAATCAATTTATAGGAAATAAAGAGGAAAACAGCTAAATCTACATTTATATATAACTCATAATCAGCTTTTTCCATAATACTTGTGAGATAAATAAATGTCGTATTATTATAACGCAACTTTTCAAGTTTCCCTTTTATTTAGCTAAAGAAAAGAATAAGCATGACCATGACAAGCGAAGATGACATAGTGTAAACAAATATCCACAAGATTTAGACAATACATACTTATTTATGTATTTATTTATTTTTTGAAGATAGTAATGAAGTATAGTAAAAATAAGTAATTAATCGGTTTGAATTTCATATATTAACCATGTTTATATTTTTAGAGATAATTATATAATGACTACGTCTAAAATGAGTGAAGTTAGTTAAACTTTTTCAAATAGATAGTATACTGAAATGCAAAGCCTATAAGATAATATAAAGTTGCATGCATGCGAAAAAAAAAAAAGAAAGTCAAAGATTCATATTTCTTTTAGAGATAGTTACTTTTGATATATAAAAACATGACTATTCATAAAACATACACTTGATTATTACACTACGTACAAATATTAAAATGTGTACAAAGTCACACTATGTTTATTTATCCATGTTATGTAATAGTGGTAAGGCCACTTTGATTGGACAATATATAAACTAGGGGAATATAGCATTACTCTTCTTCTTTTATTAGAATTATTTATTTTACTTTTTTTTTTAATTAGAACATGTCCATTCTTAAAACTACATTGAAATATAATTTCAGAAAATCAATATTTAATAATGGGCAGTACCGATATTTATCCTATACTCGAGCATGCTTTGGAGAACAAAAGAATGTCAATAAAATTCAAGATTTTCGTAAGAATTTTATTTTAAAATATACATACATTAATATGTCTGGAAAAGAGAATACGAAACTCTAATGGGCGTGCATATTTTATGATTAGCTTGGTTATTAAGTACAGATCAGCCTCGTATTGCAAAATACCCTTATGAACAAGCAACTCGAGAATGGAAATTTTTAAGTGCATTTCCTCTTGGAATACAACATGCATTATGTAAATGGTTAGGTACTCGTACGCTTCAATTAAATACAGGCATGGATAATTTCCCGGATCAATTTCTAGTGGGGGGTAATATACATATGATATAAGAGATATAATCTTTTATATATGCATACATGTATTTAAAATATGTAATATTTTTTTTTTTATTTTTTTTTATTTTATTTTTTTCATCTAGCTAGCTTAGCAAGTCGTAAAGCAATTAGTATGTTATCTGACCAATTGAAAGATCCTAACAATGAAGATAAAAAACAAGAATTACAACGTATTCTAGGGCCTGATCTTGTTGATCGTTTTTTAAAAGCAGTTCCGTCTGATGTAGATATTAGTATAGATATTCCTCAAATATACGATGTTAATCTAGGCGATATTTGGGTCACATTAGGTAATCCTGCCGCTTTCTCTTCAAATGGACAGCAGGATTATGAAGTTATCCGGTGGATGACAATTCGAGTAGGGTTACATAAAACAATCAATATGCACATTGAATCATTTCAAGAATATCGAGAGCGAACGTTAAAGAGTATAATGGAAGGTGCTCAAGTGGGTGTAGATGTGTTGATTGACGCTGATATTATTTATAAAGCAAACAAAAAGAATGACGAAAATGACATTATTCTATACGATGAAGGTAGACGTACATTAAGAATGAGATTTGCTACACCTTATTTCTCACCAGCTGATAAAATGGTATCGGGATATGATGCAAAGACAGGAGAGCCTATTAATGATTGGAATTGGTGTCTTGTAGATATAGATCAATTATTAGAAAAAGAATCTATGGATATAACTGATACAAACAGTACTATACAAGATGAATAACAATAATAATAATAAGGAATTGCTATAATATAAATGTGTTCTATTATTTATTTATTTTAAAAGAAAAGAAAATAAAAGAAAATAAAATAAAAACAATTTATTGTACTAATATATCAAACGAAGGAGTAATATTACATTTAGAAGGGAAGGAAAGAAAGAAAGAAAGAAAAAAGTTAATTATACTTTAAGCTTTGACGCAGTATGCCTTTCCATCATCAAGGTTGTCACATTCATGTTTGCCAGGACCATGAAGACCAGCATTCCAAGAGTAGAGTTGAGCTCTAGTGATTCCGAACTTTTGAGCGAAGGGTTCACACCAACTATCACTTGCGGTAACAGTAGCATACTGGGTACAAGTAGAAATAATATGTCTAACGGCATTTGAAGGAGCATTAGCAGGAGTAGAGCTCCAGTTATCACCAGGCTTAGATTGGCTGACCTTAGAGCCAGGGGACTTTTTAGTAGTAGTCTTTTTGGTAGTCTTCTTGGTGGTCTTCTTGGTGGTCTTCTTCTTAGTGGTCTTCTTAGTAGTCTTCTTTGCTTTCTTCTTGGAGGATGCAATCTTCTTTTTAGCAAGAGCTAACTTTTGACCAGAAAGACCCTTTGTCTTATAAAACCAATTTCTCTTACGAAGTTTATTGTCGACTTTAATACAATAAGTTTCGCCAGCAACAAATTCAGAGCAGTCACCAGCAGTATTTTCATCAGCAACAAAGTTCCATCTGTACAACTGTTGGAGAGAGACTTTCTTTTCTACAGCAACAGAACGACAGTTATCACCTTCCTTGGCTAATTAAATACAATTATTTAGAAGACAATTAACTATTTGAATGTATTAAAAAAAATATCATTATATTTACCAACATATTCCTCGACACAATTAGGAACAACAGCAGATACAGAGGCTGTAAAAGCAAGGACAACGGCAGCAAAAGTAAATTTCATTTTTTATAGTGAAAGGAGTGGGTGCTTATAGAGGAATGAAAGTTGTTATCAAAAGGAAAGTTACTGAACAAATGAAGAAAAAAGAAAAGATAATGAATAATAAATCGAGCATTTATATTAAAAATAAAATGCTGCACTCTATTTAATTTAATTTTGTACACTTTTAAAGCTTTTACAAGGAAAAAAAAACAGTTTTTTTAAAATGATTGTCACACATTAAAAATTTACTGCAAAAATATATCTTCATTTCCTTATTTGTTGATCAAGAATATTGTAAGGAAAAAATAAAAAATAAAATAAAAAGAAGAGATAATAGCTAGTTGTATTATGAATCATTCTATATATTATATTGATCTACTTGAATGTTGAATCTACTCACTCTTTGTCCCTTTAAAATAGTTTATACAAATATATATTTTTATGACATATTCATAATTAGGTTGATGTAAGAAGAAAGTAGTGCCAAAAAAAAAAAAAAAGAACACAAAACTATATTTAGTACTTTAAATCGTGTATTAAACTTGTAATTGACCATATTTTAAAGTAGCAATAAAAAGATGAGAATGTCTTACATTCATATTATAAAGTGTTTTTATATTGTTGTTATTAAGACCATATATAATGATGATAAATAAATTAAAAGAACGTAAAATTTTATTCCTCTTCCACCATTACTGCTACAAATAAAGTATTCGCCATGATAATAATAGCACATGTACATTCGGACTTGAACCTTTTTTTTTTTATGTATTTATACAAATATATTATTATCAATTTAATGACAATATCATTCTATTCTATTAAGTGGTACTTGATATTTGTAAAATACTACTAACAGGAACGAGACATAATATATTTAGTTGTTAAATTGTTGATTTCAGGAGAATTTTAAGTGGTACAGTACAGTGATAAAAAAAAAGAAAAAAAAAAAGGAGAGTAGAACTGACAAGTACGCATATTCACAATTAACAGAAATTTTATAATATTCTACTTTTTCATTTATAATACATGATTGTTTTCCACCAAATAAATCATGCTTTTATTTTTTTAACTTTGGGTACCTTTCCTCCTCTTTATTATGATGAACTATTTAAAATGTCGAATATATATATTACTACTATATTAAATATAACAAATATATATACAGACGTACTGTATATCCTCATAATATGCATTGATATAATAGAATTATGCAAGACATGTATGTAATTTAGATAGTCTTCAAGATATTATATATACATTCTTTCGAGGTTTATTTATGCCTTCATATCTTCTTTACTATACAATTTTATTAAAATATTCTCACACAATCACTTATATTCTCTTGGTTCTATACTCGATGCTCTATTTATCGTAAGATTTAATAAACTTTTTGGTGGTTTTACACATCAATGACTATAATTCATGTATTGCTGTTGGAAACAAGTCTTCCAAAAATGTACATTCTCAGCTTATTCATAATTCCATTCTTTAAATTATTTAATTTTCGATCTCTATTACTATCTATTAGACTGCTTTCTTTATGCATATTTCTTTACCTTTTTTTTTTTTTCCTCTTTGCACTTTATTATTGCTTAAAGAAAAGAATCCTTTTTCCTTTTCAAAAATCTCTAATAAGTACCAAATAATAAACATATTATCGTCATAAAAACATAAGTGCAATAATTTTGCTACAAATCTTGTAATTTTTTCCCTCTAACGTGGTTGTTTGTTATTTTATAAATAATGAAAAATTATGGTTAATAATACCATATTTTTTTAGAAAAAGTCAAAAAGGTATCGTCGCCTGCAGGGTTTGAACCTGCGCACGCATAGCGTATGAGATTTCAAGTCTCACTCCTTAACCACTCGGACAAAGCGACTCAATTTTGATATGAAAAATTTGTAATCATATTGTCTCATACCCTAAAAATTTGCGCGGACCGGAACTGAGAGATCACGTGATAGTTCGGCAATATCCGGTTTTGCTTGTTTGTCCATTTATCTATTTTACATTATTGTAGGCTCCTGTCTGATTGTATTGCCTGTTGTTATGATTGTAGTAGCCTTTATAATCAAGTTAATAGAAATAAACCATCATTTATTACATAATAAAGAGGTTATTCAAATAAAACTAATATATCGCGCTTCACAGCATAATATTCATTCTACTCTCAGTTTTGATAATGGTCATTGTTTGAGTATTCGAGCATTAAAAATAATTATATACCGTGCATTATGTAATAATAATAATTCAATAGGATTATGACTGTTATATTCAATTACATAATTATTTATAAGTCATACATATTATATATAGATAGCTATAAAGATGAGTATTGTTATGTAATGTTGTGTATATAATGATGTATTACATAATATCTTATAATGTACAAATCAGAGTCATGAAGAACCGGATGATATTATAGTTATTAGTTATACACTTTATGCATACAATATTATTTGACTTCAGTTTATAAGACATTCTTGTGATGAGAAAAAATAATGTTATAATAAATACTAACTCTACAAAATAATGATAAGAAAAACATAGTGTAAGGAGTTATTAATGATAAAGATATATGAATTATAGATTATACCTATTAATTATATCTATGTATTATTATTTAATGTTGTCTAAAATACTAACTTATAAATATAATCATATACTATCTATGAGAACTCTATTCTAATTGAATACACTATATAATATAATGAAATTCATTTAAGTAGTACATTGAGGAATGAATATAATATAGAGAAGCTGGTTAGAATATAAATCTATATATCAAAAGTGTCTTTCCTATATCATTCACAAGTATGAACAAACGAGATTTTATTATTTTGTTTCAAGAAAAATAACCGGCTAGATCAAGCACCAATAATTTAATGTTTATTAGAGTTAACTGAGATTAATTCTCAGTCAGGGCAAAGACTAGAGCTCTAACACAATAATTTTAATTATTCTATGGGAAATATTCTTCTTTCAAGATATCTTCACTCTGTTCCTGTCTCGAAGTAACCCGTTCTCCACAAGATATAAATAAGGATCCATTTTGCACTCATCTTTTGAAAATTCAGTTTTTTCATTTTTTATTTTTGGATGCTATTGCAAATAACCCCGTCGGAGTTTGAAATTTCGAATTTCCTTTTTTGGAAATTGACTACGCACACCACATTTGTATGTTATATGGCGGAAGACTAAAAAATAATAAATGTTAAAATGTATAAGTGGCTAGTAATCGTGTTCTCAATCTGCTGGAGCAAGTTCGAATCCTTTTTGCCTCAATTTTTTGTCCCCTTAATATATTAGTTTTTTTTCATAAATGCCTATATAAATGTGGGGAGTTGTTTTTATTTAACAGTTTTAGGTAATTTTATTATTTTTTTTTCTTCTCTTTTTGGTTTTTTTGTATTGATTGCTTATTCTGTCGGGTTCTACGGTTCTTAATTTTATTATATTTATATGACGTTTGAAATGTTATGATAATATTTGGGGAGGTGTGCCAAGTGTGTAAAAAAAGTTAGCTTTGCCTGTGTAAGCGAGAATTCTGCTTGTCTAAGTTTATTAGTGAAAGACGGTTTGTATTTTACTAGTAAAATATA